CCTCATCAAATCGACCATTCCAATAGTTGAACAAATTGACATCGATTGTCTCCTCGTATTTATTCGTCAGTATTGAGTGTCCGCTTGGCCGATTGCCTTGATCAGAAATTCAGCTCTATCAGAACCTCTGGTCGGATGATATTTGTTCAAACAAACAATGACCATAAACACTCAAAGTCTTTAATACAACAAACATATGTGTCATTGCTCTAACAAAACAAATCATCGCTCAAAAAAGAAAATTGTAAAACTTTATTTCACAGACAACTAAAACCGAAATCACAAAATTAAAGCATCAAAATTATACAAAACCCGATAAAATCCTCAAAATTGCATCATTCCGATTGGGGATGAATCGTAGAAGACGAAAAATTCCGTCCACATACCTTCCAGATGGGGGGTACAGATATAAGCATGTAGACACAATCCTTATCCGAGTCAATGCTCTGTCGAAAAATAGAGTGTCAAGCTCACCCCCTCTCCGAGATACGCTTTCAAGCGTCCGGTCGCCATTTCGATGACTTCCGGCTGATTTTCTCCTGTCAAATCCGCTTCATTCCAGGAATTGCGAAAGAAAATCGACGATTCTGGGAATTCATCTCCAGGGATTCAACAGTGCAACAATTCAACACTACACGAAAAGTGGCCTTCAAATTCTTGCTTGGGATTCCCTTTTTAACGATTGATTGCGCGATCCCTTCAAGATGATCCTCTTGCAGCGGCCAGATTATCAAGTTTTTGACCCGAAGTCTGGCAAAAGCATTGTAGTATAAGTGAAACCTGAGTCAAATGTGGAGCGAAATGAAGACAAGCGGCGTTAGTATAATGAAGGCCGACTTCTTCAAGCAGTTCATTCAGCTGATTTGTAATGAAATTCTCAAAAGCCCCTTGATCACTTGATTTTCTTCAACAAATCGTCAAAGCTACCTCTAAATCCTTCTTAAAGTAAATGTGCCCACTAAATTCAATCATCGAACGGAAATTCTCAAGAAATTTCAACAAACACTCGTTTCCATTCACATAGAGCCGCATACGTTTCACAGACTTCAATTGATTCAGAATCGTCGAGTGCCCGTCGATGAATTGTTCGTCGTATATAACGAATTCGTCACACGAGTGAATTCGTTCGATCAATGAAAAGTCAAGATCGGCATTAAGTTCGACCGAGGATAAGCTGGAGAATTTCTCGATTCCAATTTTTCTTCCTGCATAGAACTGGTGCACGTGACACCCAAAAACTATCCAGGGTTTCCGCAGCAGAATCGATCGAAATCCTGCACTCACCTTGATCAACTCAATCGCATCATTCGGCTCCATTTGCTCGAACATCTCCAGCTTTAGGTCGTAGCATAGTTTCTTCATTGGGAATGACGTCAGCTTTCGCATTTCAAACGGCATTTTACTTGGCGTCGTTCTGCCTGTAAATAAAAAACAATTAGATTTCGCAAAAACAAAAAAAACAATTAGAAGTAAAAGCTTTTAGACAAAATTTTAAATAATCGCTAGAGAACTTCTTAAATTCTAGCTCAAGATCGATCAAATATCTTATTTTTTTCCAAACTCGATAAAATTCGATAATTCGCACTCACACTGAGCATTTTCAACAAGATGATCACTAAATTCGAACAAATTCTTCTAAAATGAAAAATGGGCGGTGGGAAAAATGCGACCTTTTTTGCACACCTGGTAAAAAATGCAGGCTAAAGTGGTGTATCCGGGAATGTTCCAAAAATGCATTTTTTTCAGCTGAAATAGTAAAAATATGGTATTAGATGTATAAAAAACATTTAATCTAGGCGCGGAAAAGAATTTAAGTTTTTTTGTTAAAATTTTTTTTTGAATTGTGCATTCTTAAGAGTTTTTTGGGAAAATATGGCGAATGCGGTTTTTTCGACTAATTTCGTTGTATATATGTTGTGTTCGATTTAGATTGAATCTAAATCGGACACAACATATATATATATATATATATATATATATGCTTTATTCAGGGGGCGAATAGAAGCGAATCAGATAATCATAACCGCATATAACATATTGCTAAAATACTTTCACAAAAAAAAGAGAAAACTAAAAATAGTACAGTAAGACTACAGTTAGGAAACACAGGTACAAAAAGATTAAATATAGGGCAGATTTGACATGGCAATCAGATCTAATTCGTTTATAGATACTTTGAATTTTCCTACAGACGAGAAGATACCAGACGGGAGCTTATTCCAAACCCTACTAATACGGTTCGCAAAAGAATGATAAAGGGAAAGATGATGGAGATGAGAACCGACCGAAATTTGATAAGGATGACTACGTGTACTTCTAGGAATTTCCACAATTTTCAAGAGCTTTTGAAATTCTGGATGCGACTTAGGGTGGAAAAGAATTTTATAGCAAAAAATACGATCAAAGTAAATACGGCGATATAAAAGAGGTTTTAAATCAAAAACTATAAGTCTAGTCGCATAATTTGGAATAAGAGAAGAAGGGAAACAACGAGTGTATGCTTTTTTAGTGAAACGCCGTTGGCCATTTTCAACCAAGGTGATAAGTTTCTTAATGGAAGGTGACCATACGATGGTGGCATACTCGACCAAAGGCCAACAATAGGTTATAAAAGCCCTGCGATTTTAGGGAAACAAATGGCGCGAAGAATTATGTTAGAAATTCTAGAAGCTTATTTGGAAATGTAGTTTATGTGAGGATCCAATTTTAGAGAGGGAACTAGCAGTATACCAAGATCTTTTACAGGATCATCGGTCAATCCCTGTGGTAATTGTAGGTCCCCCAAATTTCGCATACTTGAAAGGATCCTTGAAGTAATCCCCGAAAGCGGCTAGCCGCTAGCGAATGATTCGTTAACAGCCAGCCGTTTACAAATGATTCGTTAGCGGGTAGCCGTTAATCTAAGTTCACGCCGTGTTGCCTAGGGTTTCGCTGTGGCGTGGTTGGTTTAATTGAGAAGATGAAGCCATTGTCGCATAATATTAAAAAAACAAATCTGAAAAATTGAGCTCTAAAACTATTTGAGTTTGGCGTTCGTGACTTTCTTTTAAAGATTTCAACAAATTCATTCTATAAATTAGCACTTATGAACGCCAAATATGGCAATTTTCTTGCTTACTCATATAAAAAAGGCAGTAAAAGTTCAAATTTTTATAAAAACAGTCATGTGGTTTTATTGCTATATGTTAGATTTTTAAACAGTTATGCTTTTTGATATGTTGTCCTTTGGCCTTTTGTTTTTGTAAAGATTAAGAAACGATTTATTCAAAAAAGATGTTTTCATTTACGGTCCCACCCAGACCTTGCATCGATCCTGATCTTTTGGATACATCGTCGAACCACGCGGACAGCTAAAATCTTGTCCAAACTCGGGAATGTCTTGAACAACGTTGTTTGTTCGACAAACTGGAGGCGAGTGGGGATTCGTGAGCATCTGAAATTAAACAAGGTAAGGCATTGTAGTGGTTAAATTGAAACTTCTTAAAACCATTCACAAAGCGTATTAAAGATATTCTTTCCATTGATTCCTCTACCTGTCTCACAAGCGAATCAATCGATTGCACGGTGCACCAGACGAAACCCTTTGCAATCCAGAAGATTTGATTTGGTGTGTACTCTTCCAATCCTGGCAATCTCTGTTCTTCAACTCCATTCAATTGAGTGGCCACATACTTTCGATAGGCCCGATAAGCGGCTTGTTGACCTAGGAATAGATAGAATCTCCATTTTTAGGGGATTTTACCTCCCAAATCCGCGATGTTCTCTCCTTGTGTGATAGCCCCGTTCGCACAATGCACATTTCCCGTTTTCACCGGGCAACATTGAGTAGTGTATTGGGTAACAACACACTAAATAGATCATCTATATCTAATTGTCTGTCTGTCCATCTGTACGGGCTTTTTCTCCGCCGTCTTTGAGGCAAAAAAATAACATTTTTTTTAAAAGTCTAAAAATATAATATAGTTCGCCATTTAAAATCAAAAAATTAAGACCAAAAATCAAGTGGCACGACGGGCGGTCAAACCCGGATCGTGTGTGCCTTAGACCAGTGCGCTCCCGGCTGCGCAAAGGCCACTATGCATCGCCCCCAAAACAGCTAGAAAAACCAGCTAGAAAAACCCGCCGAAAACTAAAGGATCTGTCGGTCCTTTTTTACCGTTGGGAAATTTAAGATTTTTTGTGCCTTTCTCAGCACCAACCCTTCGCTTTTGACTATTTTGACTATCATTCGATGCAGAATAAAATTGCGCATCGAATGATACCAAAATGAACCCAAAACGTAATATTCACGTAAAGTTATGAAGCAAAAAGGTTAAGTCCCGCCCAGAATGAGCAGGGTTTAGGTTTTTACCCAACAACTTTACAAGTCTAGTAAGCAGTTAATTCAAGAAATATCTCACTTGAGCCATATCAGTGAATCCGGCGGTCGAATTCATATCCATCCAACCACAGCGGAACGAGTCACACCCAGATAGGGAACCGTCAGGACCGAATTGAACTCCTAAGCTTTTTGTTTTCTAACAAGAATCGATGTTTTGAGTCAAAGCTAGCAGTTTTTCTTTTGGATTTCAAAAACCAGTTATCATGAACCGTTACCTTCATCATCATATCCATGGGTCAACTCGTGTCCCTCCACTCCACCCAAACCTCCGTAATTGACTGCTTGTGGCCAATCAAGTCTAAGATTGTTGATGGCTTAGTAAGTTTTTGAATCGATAAAAATAAAAAATGTACTCACTTGTAGAACGGGAGATTGAAAATAGCGAATGGGAAAGTGATCGAATTTCTCTCCGGTTGATACCAAGCATTGACCAAGGCTGGCGATTGGAGGAACATTTTGCTGAAAATTCGTGACTTAACCATATTATTGAAATGTTAAATTGGTTTCTATTGGTTTCTAATTGTTAAAAGCTTCACCGATCAGCGGGTGCCTGGATAAATCTCAAGCTTTCTCTGCTTTCCATTCCAGATTTGAGAATCAAATAGATTTCGAAGAACTTTGTTTTATCCAAGTCGAGAATTTTTCCGTAATCAGCCTAAATCATTCCATTGTATTTGATTCTTTTAAACAAAACCTTGTTATAATTATCCAAATCAGTGGTATCTTTGAAATCCTTGAACATATCTGGCCAACCAATATTTTTGATAAGACCAGCGGCTAAAAGAATTGGTTTATTGTGTTAGAAATGGCTTTTTTTAAGTTCCCAGATTGAAAAATAATGAGAAAATAAAGTTATTTAAGGTGTAGAATTCTTATTTCCATTTTCAGCTTTGTAAAAGCTTCTGCTCTTGCTTTATTTTGTGCCAAAGTTTTCGTTTTTTTCGTTACCTTTTGTGTTTGCATTCGTTTTACTGCTTGGAGTCATCCAGCTAAGAGTTCCGATCATATCCTATTTACAATGAATTAACTCTTTGAAAAATCGCCGATTCTACCGTAAATGAGCTAATGATGTGATCCGTTTGAGTGGCGACATCAGCTTGAATCGCATTTCGGAGGTCTCCAAGTTGTTTCACGTACACATATCCTACAGTTTTCTGATTACTTTATCTCAAATTTCTTCTATTTCCCAACCTGTTCCATATGGCATAAATGTGGTCACAATATCCACACAGAAATCATTAATCGAATCAAAGTTTCTTCTGTCCCGTCGCGTTCTCGACAATCCGATTCCGTGTTTCATCAAGTACGGTAATCTGTTGTTTTTCTCAGCCAATTTAGATAAACCGGAGCCAAGGAAATCGGCTGAGTCCTAAAGTTACTTTTTAATTCTTTATTCTATTCATTAGTGTTATCAAACTTACATAAATAGCTTGAACAGCAATATAGTTGACAATTGTGGCAGCTGGGATTTTCTGTTCCGAAAACAACGAGTTCAACCAAGCGAAATAAGTCGGCTCGTTCACAATAGCTTCTCGCGATTGGAAAACCGTGTTCGTTAAACCCACATTCTTCAATAAATTGCTAAAGAAAACTTTTCAAAGCATCGATTTCTCATTTACTCAAAATAGGCAGTCCATTGAATGTTCGGATAGTTTGCTTGAAGTCCGCTGATCGTGTATGGATTGTACATTTGTTTGTAGTTTCTCTGTTCCTCATCGGACCATGAAGCGGTAGCGATGGAGATCTCAAAGTTCACGACATCGGCAGCCATCTAAAAGAAAATGCAAATAAACTTATTCAAATCAGAACTAATCAAATCAAATCAAATCAGGTTTTGAATCAAAACTTACTTGATAAATCGCATTCGAGTCAACGGTCTTTCCCAAATTTCCAGCAACCATCGTGATTAGCTAAATTGTGAACGATTTTATGTCATCAAAATTTAGAAACTTACATCAGCATACTCTTGAACGTGGGCTTGAATGATTGATAGAAATTGTGGCTTCACATAGTAATCACGAGGAAGAGGAAGATCCGGCTAAAACTTAGCTACTGTATCTTTTAGCTTAATTATCTACCTGATTCATAAACAATGCATTTTGTTTGATATTTTGATAATCGACGGTTGTCCACGAGAAGAGAAGTGTGCCCAAAGCGTGAGTGCCTTCGAAATATCCAACAGCTGAGAAGAGTTGACTTGTCGGGATTGAGAACATTGATAGAGAGCTTGGATCCAAGAAGAATGGGATTTCAGGGATTCCGAATCTAAAACTATTTAGCACCAATTCGTAAGCAAGCACTTACGCATTCGTTATCTCTTGATAGATTGTTTTTGATTTGTCGTTCACATCTTGGTTGTAGTTGTACACGCAAGCGGCATAGGCCTGGAAATTCCATACCGTAAATACTCTAATAGAAGCCCTATAGGAACGTCGCGTGGTCTAAGTTTGCTCTAAAACAAATGCTCATATCTTGACACCAGTACGCTTATTTCTGCGCACTTAGGTATCAAATTAAAGTAGAGAGAACGGGTGATTTCTTAAGATATAACACATATTTTCAGCTTTAACCTACGCCTAGAACAAAATGATTGAAAAATGATGAAAAATCGGTTTTTTTTGCCACTTTTCAATCAATTTTTTCTAAGCGAAGAACTTTTCTTGCACACTGTAAAAGCAATTATTATATTAGTTTAAGCTAAAACTCACAGCTTGCGCAATTCTCTCAGTAAGCGAAGAGCTCGCGGAGATAGCATCAAGTGCAACAGCTGTATCTTTATTGACTTGAGTTTGTGCTTCGTCGAATGTTCCAACCCTGGAAGAAATGTTGAATTGTTAGCTTTCATTGCTCATTTTCTTCAAATCACCTCGATTTCCCATTCAACGATGTGTTGTTGATGTAAGTTCCACAGGTGAACTGGAAGAAATCCTCACCTAAAAGAAGTTGATAATGATTTTATTATGAGTTTTTACATGGATTCGCTGTTGGATCGATTCCTCTCAATAAGTAGTCAGCTGCTTGCTGTAAATTGAAGATTTCGATGCATCCAAAGTTGTTTTTATATTTACCTTGAAACCGGTTGAATTCGAAACGATAAATGGTGGAGTCTCAGTGATCTTGCAAATGAATGCGTGAGACTCCGAGCAATTCACTTGTTGCCATTTCTTTGTTGCTTGATCAATTACAAGACAAGGTCCACCATTTGTGGATTCTAAGAGTTGATTAAAACTGTCTCAAAATCTTAGCTTACTGTCAACATTATCGAAAGAGAACGGCAATCCATCGGACCATGTGAAAACACCATTCGTTTGTCTCATTCCACCAATGAAAGCCTTGGTTCCAGCTAGAGTTTGGTTAAGTTCTCAGCTTTGAATTGCTCTAAACATTCAAATCAAAGAGCCAACGTTCTATTTTCCCTCTAAAATTCTTTTTCTTGCCTTAGCTACAGTTCCCAAATTTTCAAGAGCTCAAAAATGGGTGTTTTTGTTGGATTTTCATCCGCTTTTCGACGTCATTAAGCTTTTTTGGTTTATGAATATTCTTTAAAACCTTTAGAAGTTTTTAAAAAGATGAACATTTTGCTATCCGAGAAAATAAATTTTGTCTAATGGGGCTTTTTTTATTGGAGAGGGCTCTTCAATTGGAATAAGTACGGTAATAAGACTGAGCTAGAGAGCTTGTTAAGTGCTGTAGCTTGTTTAAAATATGCTCTCAAACCTGGCAACAGCCCAGCAAGATAGAGATTCTCGAATTGGTTCATGATCGAGGCCAAATGACTGTTTGCTAATCCCCTTCCCGCACAATAAGTATCAGCCATTGTGTAGTTGCCTGGCAGAGAAACCATGGCTTGATAGCAATATCCATTGAATTCCTGAAACAATTTGCATATGGTGAAACTAGTTACAAGCTATTCCATTCTAAAATGATTTCTCAGTGTTCTCACCTGACTGTTACTCGGGCAATTGAGTGCGGCTGAAGCCAGGGAAATTATCGAAAGCGCTATTAGGTTCTTCATTTTTACCCTGAAAATCCCTTTTGTCAAGAGTTGAATAATTTTCAAGCTAAACAAATTCAAAAGTAAGCACTTGTCAAAGGAAGGAAGCACAAAAGGAAGGAGCAAAAGGAAGCAAGCCTTTTTAAACGCCAAAGCTGATGCCAGCAATTTGCATCAGAATGAAGAAGTTCATTGGTCAGTGCTTAGCCGAGAAAACCCAATCAGAAACTCTAGAAAATGACACCATTTCGTGGATAAGGCATTTACGACAAAATTTCCCTCTTTTCACTTCTTCCTCCTCTTATCTCAAATTAGAGTTTTATGTAGCGTTTATGTTGGCCGTCAACCCCGTTTAAAGGGAATGGGTTTGGACTGGACTTTTTGCAAACTGTATAGTATCTGCCGATCAAGGAAATGTAAGCGTTGCATTAGATTGTAAAAGTTTCAGGGCAATGCAAAGAAAAGTTTGGTAGCAAAGTTACATAAAATATAGTTTTCTAGCGCCTCCTACTATCAAGTTGGCCGAAAGTCTTGTCCTCTTTTTTAAAGGTTACTTTTTGAAATGAATAATGAACCAATCAATTTATAATTTGTTTTATCAGAAACTCCTATTATTTATTTACAAATTGGCCTTTAAGAAATTCAGAAAAGCTTGCGTTATTTAATTTTTGAAAGGTGTGGAGTCGAGAAGTCAAAAACGATGAAACTCAAAGTTTAGATTTGAACACTTGTCACAGAAACTTATTTTGATGTCAAAAGATAAAAGATCGAGAATAAAAAGCTAGGCAAATAGAAAAATTTTCATAATATTTCACTAAGCCTTTTTCATTTTATGTCCATTGTAAGGATTTTAGGAAAAACAAGAATTCCCGTTTGGATTTGCTTCAAAGCAGACTCAATTTTATCTTTTTCCGTCCGCTTTTTTAAAGGTTACTTTTTGAAATGAATAATGAACCAAGCGATCTATGATTTATTTTATTAGAAAGCCTGAACCTGGCTTCTGGATCTCTAATCCAGTTCAACTTACAATAAACCATTAGTCAGTCGTTCAAAACTCCGTAAAGTCACTGAATATCATGTTGTCCTCTTTTTTAAAGGTTACTTTTTGAAATGAATAATGAACCAATCAATCTATGGTTTATTTTATTAGAAATTACTATTATTTATTTACAAATTGTCCTTTAAGAAATTCTGAAAAGCTCGCGTTATTTAATTTTTTAAAGGTGTGAAGTCGAGAAGTCAAAAACGATGAAACTCAAAGTTTTTTGAGCACTTTTTATCACAGAAACTTATTTTGATGTCACAAGATAAAAGATAGAGAATAAAAAGCTAGGCAAATAGACAAATTTTCATAATATTTCACTAAGCCTTTTTTATTCTATGTTCATTGTAAGGATTTTAGGAAAAACAAGAATTCCTCTTCAGATTTGCTTCAATGTGGACTTAAATTTGCCTAAAAATGAGCTAAATGAAATAATTAATCTTTTTGATTTAAACTAAATCATACGTTGATCGGCTAATTATTCATTTATAAATGAAAATTTCAAAAAAGCGGGCAAGATTTTCTGAACAAACCAATAGAATCATTCAAATCAAAGCAAATGTAAACGTTTTGTGCCAACTTTTGCTATTGAATTATTTTATTTTCAGCATTTTATTGCTCCATCACAATATTTAACGTTAAAAGTTTCAAAATTACTTAATTTTTCGACTTTTTCCCTTGATCATTATGCTTTCCTGCAAACAAATCGAGCCACTCGAGTGTTATCGCTGGCAACCCTCCAGAATTTCCCCATACATCCCTCATCATTGGACATCTGAAATTACGGGCAAATTCACCTATTTCCTATTTAAAACAATAGTAATAGAGTAAATAATAGATTCTTACCATCCATAGAGCTGGCGTCGTGCATACAGCGCGGCCTCCAGTGTAATCAACGGGACTCTCATCGATCCATTCACCATTCCCAACAATTCCCGTCCCGTTCAACCCAATCCAAGCCCATTGCAGATTGCAATCATCTGGTTGAACATTTGATTTCAATAAATCTAAGCTCTTTTACAAATCATAAAGTTATTGACAAAGTACTGTAAACAAAATCGTTCTCTGCTTCTGAATGAATCGATGCGAGATGACCGTTCATCAGATGACAAGCCGCTTCGGCTTCAGAACGATTGAAAAGTTGCCAGTCTTGACTGTCTGCTGAGTCAAAACTCTGAAAGATACAAGTCATTTGAAATCTGCATTTAGTTCTTTGCACAAACCTTTACATAATAACAAAGTTGGGTGATATTTGAATAGATCCATCCGGTTGGGCAAAAGCTTCCATTGATCGCCTCGTGATATGAGCAGAAATAGGGACGGGTGGCTGTACAGTCATCCATTGACCACTTCCCATCACCATTCAGCACAGTGCATTGTTTTTGCGGATTCGACATGTCTGGTTGGCCTAATAAACTTGGTCAGTCAAAAGATTCAGCAGAAACAGCACACTTTTTTTAAAAAGACTTTACTATAGAAAATGAACAGCTGGAAAGCTTACTGTTATTTTGATTTAAAAAATGATACTCTCAACCACTTACCGGGTGCCCAATTCGCATACGTTAGTGGGCCTCCATCGGCGTAGAGCCAATTCCCATTCGATGACCTCTGCACACCAATGTATGGCGTTTGAGCACTTGCGTCTAAAAAGATACATTTATTCACAAGAATAATGTGGTACAAACAATACACACGCATAACCCCTAAGCCCTAAATTTAGGGAAGAGAAAAACCCATTTATATGGAAAAAAGAATCACTAATCTAGCCAGCGGGCTCAGACCTACAGGGCTCTCAACCAGTCGGCCTTCAATTCAAATCAATCAATCAATAAATCTGGTCAAATTTCCGGGATTTCCCCCATTTATTCTGCACACTTCTAGTTCCCAACTGAGCAAATATCACAACAAAACTCACTGGATTGAGCGAGGTTCGCCACGATGAAGGCATTATCATAAATGTTCTCGATTTTCACTACTTCCGCTCCGCGATTATCACAAAATCGATAGGCTTCCGCGTAGGAATTGGCTGCAAAAGAAAACTCACTTTTTTTGTTTCAAAACTTAGAACTTTGACTATTTGGCTTTTGAGAATGAGTAAAAGTTTTACACACCGATTTTTGTTTATAATTTTTATTAAAATGATCTACCCATGAGAATAGGTGATAGGCATTTTTCTTCGTTCGGGAATTCTTTTGCTGCCAAATTGCACGCGGCTTGAATCGTTGCGATGAAGACAATGAAGAAATATAGAACCGTTTGAATGAACATAATTTTGATGAGATGAAGTTGAGTTCAAGACGATGCTCTTGATGAGTTCAAGAGAAAATTCCGTAATTTATGAATTCAATAAAGAAATGAGAGCATAGATTTCCCGGATTTTCATTTTTTTCAATACAAGAAGCTGGTTTTATCAGCGGTTCTTTGGTCTTTTTTCGATAAATGGCCAGAAATTCAAGAAAATAAGCTGAGAAAGGGAGATAACACTTATCGAGTTATGAGTCCAACCACGCGAAGAAACGTCATGCATGTGTTAAACCTTTGCATGGCTAAATTATATATAAATTTATTATAAAATCAAGCTTTCAAGACATAACGCAGTATTGGTAAGATAAAGGCAAAAAATAAACAAATGCTTGAGTGAGAATTCTTTGACGGAGTGTCACCGGTGTTGAAATGAAGCAAGAAAAATGTTGCTAGCGTTTTTGGAGAAGTGAATTGGATCTAAAAATTTCTGATTGTTGATTCCATTGTTTTCTGATTTCTGATTTTCTTGATTTACCCGGAATGATTTAGCAGTTTGGGCTTGAGAAAAGCTGTCTGTTGAACGATTAAAACTGAAATTTTTTCATGATAAGATTTTAGATATATGTATTACATGTATCCAACTTTTTCGTCGTACAAAAATTTGAATTGGACACTGGAATCTGGGTCAGTTAAGAAGTGATCAACGTGAACGTTGAAATCAATGCTGCGGTTGGTGATTGCTGAAAGTTTTTTGGTGAGATTACTTTAAAACTGTTGTAAACTTTTTGAATCAAGATAATATTTGAGATCGACATTCATTCCACCAAAGCCTGTCCCGGTCATTCCACCGGGAAAATCTCGACTCATCACAAAACCATATTGCGGCACCGAGGACATCCCAAAAACTCCCATACCATCATAGACTGAAATTGAAGAAATGGCAAGTTTAGAGTTAAAACTTTAGTCTTCTCCAGGCAGAGCCATGTTTTTGATGCATCAAAATGGTTAAAGCTTGGAATTTTGGTTAAAATCGAACCCATTCTTCAAATGCTTTAAAAAGCAAGGAACTGTGCCCCAATTTTTAGCTTTTTTTTCGCCTGATCTGGTCGAGCCATGTTTTTGATGCATGAAAATGGTTTGAACTATGATTTTGGTCAAAACCGAATTCATTTACACTCACGTGAAGTGTAATCAGCCACATCGATGGACACTGGACACCTGGGAGGCACATAAATGGTAGCCGCAAACGCTGGAATGATCGATAATGCGAAACGATCTCCACTGTTTTCAGGACTGGAATCATCTTTTTTATCATTTTGTAAATAGTAAGTAAAGTGATTTCAAGTAAAGAAATATAAGTAAAAATCGTAAAAACGAACGTGAACGTGTGAATTCGATACGCATTCAAGCCTCTATTCGTTGCTGGATATCCTGCTTGAAATAAAGAGTACTCACAACCGGTTGTTGTCTGAAACATTCACATTAATGATAGATACATACAATAAACTTTATTTGTGGGTTTAATGACAAGAGATGATCGACCATAGAGTGCAGGCATTGCCGAGAAGGTGGCAAAAGTGCCATAGTTGCCGGATCCCTGGAATCAAATTGGGTAATTTTCTACTATCAATATGAGCTACTAATGCTGAACTACGGGTTTGACAGGCGTCCTTTTCTGAGAACTTCTCAAGCCGAGGCAAAATTTTAACACTGATGTTTATCTACGTCATATGCAAAAAGTGGAACAAAAAGTCGGGAAGTTGCTCTATAGAAACAAATGGAACGGCCCCGTTTTCGTTCTTCAGGATGGTGCAAGCTCTCACAAATTAGAAAGATTGATCGATTTTGTTATGAACAACCTACACTGGAAACTCCTTCCTCATGCACTATATTCTCTAGACATTGTTTGTTCTGACTTCTGACTTGTTCTTGTCGCTAAAGGATTTCTTACATGGCGAAAAGTTCAAGATGAAAGCGAACTCGAGGACAGATTAAATGACTATTTTTGCTGGCGCCCGCTTGGGTTTTACGATTGGCAAGCTACCCAAAAGTTGGAGAAAAGTTATAAATTCATCTGGAAAATATACAGTACTGGACAACGAAATATGATATTTGAAAAAAGATCGTCACTTTCGCGCGTCTGTAACTCCCTTGTCTTTGAGTTTAAACTATTAGTGTTATACATTTTCTCAAAGCTCTTTTCAAGGGCTACACAATGGTAGTATTAATATTTAGAAATACGGTAAAGACAAGGGAGTTACAGACGCGCGAAAGTGACGATCTTTTTTGATCATTTGATTCTGATTCTTCGTTGTTTCTATGTGTTGAAAATATATGAAATTCAAAATCTCTAAGTTTTTATGGAACAATCACCGTAAATTTCGAAACATATCAAAAACAAACCTTGGTTTGATATGTATATGGGACGGGGGTGTTTGGTACAATTGTGAAAAGGCGACTCGCGTATAGAGCAATTGCTGAATTTTGAGAATTAGAGATTATCATTGGACTATTTTTATTTGTTTTGATTTATATAAATTATTTATTATTAGACTCAAATTATTAAGCAAAACCAGAATCAAAACGATAGTTTCACAAAAATTGGCATATTTTAGTTGAAAGAAAAAATCTTCTTACAGTCCGTAACGTTGTGCAGCCGAAAACTGAGACTGTATGATCCGACGGCTGAACGATCAATGATTGTGAGAGGGCCATGGAGAAGTTGAAGCGATGTTGAGTTGAATGTTGTGGATCTGGAGAAAATGAGCGATAATCAGCAAATGGGTGCTTACTGAATCTGACTTCCTTCTGAGTCAGTGATCGTAAAGTCGGTTTTCGTCTGGGTTCCATCTTCGAATCTCATCATTACTTGGATATATTGTGTGCAATTTGAACAAGGTGTGATGATGATTGGCTGAAAAGGATTTTTGTGTTTGATTGGCTGAAAAGCATTTTTGAGTTTGATTGGCTTAACTAAAAAAGAATTGAACATACAGAATCGAACATTTTGCTTACCGTAAATACTGTAATAGTACCCCACCCCCCATCGTACAGTCGCGTAGTCGCAAAAATTTTTTAGTTTTTCATTTTTTCAAAGCGCCCGTACTTTCAAAAATTTTGTCTTTGGTATCAAAAAATAGCTGAAATTCAGGGCTATTTTTTGATGCCTAAACGCGCATTGTAGCATAAACCAGTGTCGAGAAAAAACGCGTCCAAAGCTAGACTACGCAACGCTCCGCACTGTCATTATGGGGGTGGGGTACTATTACAGTATTTACGATAGGATATTCTTAAAAAAAATTTGAAAGTCAAAAATGTTTTAAAGCCATTCTCTGACTCCGTTTGAAATCTTAATTCAACCAAATGAAGCTTCGAAATCAGAAAAGCTGTAGAATACCGATATTTGTCTTGTTTGATATCCACTTGCAATCCATGTCGTGTCTTGTTCTGTCAAATTGACTGTTTGAAGACCGTACACTAAAAGTTTTGTGTTTCTGAAATAAAAACCAGAACTCATAAGTGAAAATGGGGATTTAGAGGTCGAAGTTTGGTTGACTCAAAAAGCCCAGCCAGAGCTTGAGCCAGCCATTCTCTCAAAGCAAGCTTGAGAGAATAATTTGATTTGCAAATAAAGCCAAATGTGGTAAACTTACGCGTTTCCAAGTAGAAAATCGAATAAACTATGAAAAATCGATTCATTCTAGCTTGTCCTATAGATTTCGTGCAATATTGATGCAGCTGCAAAGCATTTAAAAGTCCAAGATTTATTTTTTTGAAAGCTCTTTTTTCCTTATCATGCAGACATTATCGTTTCTTTTTTTTCCTTTTTTTCTTTTTTCGTGCGCGCTTTTCGCTTACATTTCTCAAATCAAACAAGAAAGAAAATCAGAAAATCGGTATGATGCACAGGAATAGTGATTGTACCTAAACTTTAACACATACGACATATGGTGATCAATCAATTTTTAGGCTTTGAAACGATTTGTATGGGTTTCAAGCAAGTTGATGCGTCAGAATGGCCACAGAATGGGTTAGGCCTAACCGTTTATAGGGTTAGGCCCATTTAGCCTAATTAGGCCATCAATTTGATTGATGGGATTTCTTTCAAAGTATATTTTATTCTTTTTGAATTTTGATCTTGATTAAAAACTTAAAACTTGATGAAAAAAGGTTAAAAGTTTAAGACTTGTTGAGTTATTTTTGAGATTATAATAATGATTTGATCTGTCTTCGCACTTAGCGCAGATCACAACCCCGCTTCCACATTTACTGAGGCAGAAGTGTAGTTGTCGTAGCCGATGATACTCCGATGGCCGGGCTGGGGCGCTCGGAGGGGAACCCATGGGAGTCGAACCCACGACTAACCCGCGCCGACGCTGCTCAACTTGGCGGATCAGACGGGGTCGACCACAGACCCTTCCCTTTCTGGAAAAACGAAATTCTTGTCGGCATTCATGAGTTTTTACGTTTTATTTTGAAATTTCAAAATACAGCTTTTTCTAATGTTCTTAATCTTATAAAAAAAAATTCAAAGAAAGGGATGAATCATTTTCAGAAACTTTGAAGTTTTGAACGTTTGAAGGCATTTGAAAAATGACATTTGAGCCTAGATAGTGAGAAAAGACCCATATTGAGCAAATGCAACAATGAATAATTGAAAAAAAATTGAGATCTCTCATAAAAATAAGAAAATCAAAGTCGGATGGCTCTTCGCTTTCTCAGTTGTAGTGGTCAAATCGAAAGAAGTAAGTAAATAAACAAGGAAAATTCACCTGGGCATCTCAAAAAGGAAAATTGAATTTAACTCAGAAATTTTAAGCTCAAAATTCAATGTCTATTCCTCTTTTCTTTGAGTTCAAGTGTCACTTTTGATTTCTTCACAAAAAAAAACCCATCAATCAATTTTAATGAGAGAAATTCAACGTGAATTTTGCCGTAATTATGCACAGCAATGTACAGTGTATTTCGAAAACTTTATTCAGCTTTTTAAAGTCGTATTTGCTATGATTTGATGAACTTTTAAATCTCTCATTTTTCTGTGGTTTTTAGAGTCTCTCGAAAAACAAAGGGGCTTCTTTCCCGGGCACTCATCGATTTTTCTTTCTTTTGCCTCCTTTTTGAGCCAGTTTTGGCCTACTCGTAAACAAAATTCTGCATTTTATTCGAATGTTCCCATTCAATTTACTACCTTTAACTTTAAAAGAATCGATATTAAAAGCCACTTTCACGGAAGATTCTGTAAAATTTCTTCAAGTCAACAAAGCATTTCGACGCTATATTTTGAAAAATGGACCATTTCCTGAAAATATTGAAGGAATTCGTGTTACTGGAGATAATCTTTCCTTAACAATTCAAGATTTAACAATTCAAACTTGGTGCTTCTCTATAAAAGAGAAACATGGAACTTTTTTGAAAAACGATTCCTCAAAAATTCGAATCACTTCAAAACACAGTCATCAATTTTGCCGATTGAAACCGAAATTGATCGAAATCCATCTTCGAACTCCAAATCTCATTTCAAGTGACCAAAATCTTTTCCAATTCCTTCCAAAAGCGAAAAATCTCTCAAGTTTCACCTTTATGGTTGACCATTTCTCTACAGCGAATCTCATTTGTGAAAAGTTTCATTCAAAAGTTGAACAAAGCTTTCATTTTGGTATCTCGGAAGAAGGATTTAATGCTGAAGAGCTGAAGATTTTCGGAGAATGGTTAAAAGATTCACTTGCAAACTGTAAAGATCTCTTCCTTTTCACTCCAATGTCAAAATTTTACAAGTACTTAACAAAGACAAACTTGGAATTTGTATCAGATCGTTCAAGGAGTTGGGAATCCTTCAAAGAATCATTGTTTACTGTGTTGAGAAAAGGAATTCCAAGCAGAAATGTTGAAGCGGCTGTTTTTCTTCAGTGGAATGATGCGGACGAGGCAGAATTTCAAGAATTGAGGCGAATTTTGTTTGAATCAAATTTTGCTCCAGCAAAGGACAGATCAACAGATAAAATTTGGAATTTCTACAAAAATTATGTCGAAAAGAAAGTTGGATTTTCGGATAAAAGTGAATGTGTTGAGAAGTTGTTTTTCCAAAAAAAATTCAATGATTCTTACGAAATTCTTTGTCTCTTTTTCTTTACAAAATATGAGGATATCGTTTTGTTTTTCAAATGTTTTCCTTGTGATTTTTAAAACCCACACAAACGGTTTACTTGAATTTATTGAATAGAGAACATGAAAATCATCTGAAACCACGAAAATTTGAACGCTTTCGCAAGCACTTCAATAAAACTCGTAGTGAGAGTTTGACTATGATATTTCCTAAAACAAAGCCTTTTAGAAAACGGATTACTCTAATGAATAACTAGTCAATTCAAATTTAGAATAGTAAATTCTCCAAGGAAAGAAATAAAGTGATTGACGGAAAGTGATTCTAAATTTTCCTAATATCATTTCTCATGCAATTAAAAACTCAAAATTTGTGTTGACAAGTTGTTTTTCCAAAAAAAATTCAATGATTCTTACGAAATTCTTTGTCTCTTTTTCTTTACAAAATATGAGGATATCGTTTTGTTTTTCAAATGTTTTCCTTGTGATTTTTAAAATTCACATAAACGGTTTACTTGAATTTATTGAATAGAGAACATGAAAATCATCTGAAACCACGAAAATTTGAAACTTTTTCAAACTTTGAGCAAACTTGAGCAAGTTTTCAGATCAACAGGTAGATAAAAACAAAGATAAAGCGAAATGGGGGATTGGTGATTCCAGTTTTTGTTGTTTTTTCCAAATCATTGTCAGTCGTGGTTGAATCCCAAGCTATGGTGGAGCTCTCTGTGAATTCCTCAGTCATTGTTGTCGAAAAAAACTTCCTAAAGATTTATGATCTAACCGGTAAACCCAGATTTAACTTGCACAAGGTCAAAACTCAGCAAAATCTTTTGGCTTTCGGCTAAACACTTCAGTTAAACGAGTTTTATAGAACCATTTGGATCACCTGGACTGTTGTCGTTCCTGTTGTCGGTGCTTCGGTTGTCACATCAACATGCAGTGAAGCGTGAACACGAAAATCCCTCACCGATATGTTCACCGTCACCAGGCAAACTGAAGTCTTGGCTTAAATTTGTATGTAAAGTGACAATTTATCACTTAGTCGCTGCACAATTTGATCAAAAATATGAAAGTTGCGGCGAGAAAGAGCATTTCTTACCGATAAACCAGTCGTTGCTGTGTAATGAAACGTCACATTTTCGACTCCTTCATCAAAAGGATAACTGAAATTGCCTTTTGCCGCCTTCTAAGTTTATTGGATTGATGGCTCGATTCCCTCACAACTTTTTTGCTCAAGAACTCTATCCAAAAAACCGTAAACAGTATAGAAGTTTTAAAATTTTACTTCAACGGTTGTTTTAAGTAAACACTACTTAAGCTCAGTGACGAATCGCTTTCATCTTTGAACTTTTCGCCACGTCAGAAATCTTTTAGCGACAAGAACAAGTCAGAAGTCAGAACGAACAATGTCTAGAGAATATAGTGTTGAGGAAGCAGGTTCCAGTGTAGGTTGTTCATAACAAAATCGATCAATCTTTCGAATTTGTGGGAGCTTGCACCATCCTGAAGAACGAAAAACGGGGTCGTTCTATTTGTTTCTATAGAGCAACTTCCCGACTTTTTGTTCCACTTTTTGCATATGACGTAGATAAACATCAGTGTTAAAATTTTGCCTCGGCTTGAGAAGTTGTCAGAAAAGGACGCCTGTCAAACCCGTCGCCTGATTGAATAACATTAGTTCAGCACTAGTAGCTCATATTAGTAGCTCATATCTATCCAAGAAACCGTAAACAGTATAGAGATTTTCAAATTTTACTTTAACGGTTGTTTTAAGTAAATAGCACTCAAGCTCAGTGATGAATTTTACAATTTGAATTGAAGAAATTTCCAATTCAAATCGCTCAAAAATTGCTTTAGAGACTTTGATAGAAATAAAATTTTGATCATTTGAATACGTTTACATTTTTTTGTTTTAAAATTCAATGAAACAAAAAGAAAGAATCAAATAAAGAGAGAACGGGTGACAAGTTAATCGGCTGTGAATAATTTTTGAAGTTATTCAGTTAGTTTGAACTTGTGTTCCCTAAAAAAAACGATGTAAAAAAGTATTGAAACATATCATTCTATTAAAAAAAAGTTACGGTTATCGGGGTTACCAGCACTATAATCGGATTGAACCTGAAAATCGGGAAGTCGAGTATCGAAACGGGACAAAGCAGGAAAACTCTTGAACTCAAAAAAACGAGCGATAAGCGGATGTGAATAATTTCTGAAGTTGAGAAATGAAAATTGAGTCAAGCAGTGAGTCATATAAAAGCAGAATCATAAAATCAATCCATTCGAAATGGAGTTTTCAGCAAATCTTCTCATTTTTTTAGCACTATTCGGCTTTGTCGATGCACTCTTGAGGTTGTCTAAGATTCTTTAGTTCCAAAGCTTTACTTTTGAAGCTTACTTTTAAAGCATACTTTTAAAGCTTACTTTTGAAGCTTACTTTTAAAGCAAAAGCTTCAAAAGTAAAGATTTTAGGCAGTAGGGTGAAAAAGCTTGAACTAGCTGTAATAACCATTTTTTTTTCTTTTTTCTAGAGTGCCAATCACTCGTCACAAGGCTAATCGCTCTCGTTTGCTGACGGCAACGGCTGGTGGATGGAATGAGGGACTTATCAATGAAAATCAGGTGAATTGGGCACTTTACTATAGGTTATAAGTTATTACAACTAAAAAAATTTCTTAAAAGAATAAAATTTACGTTTATAGACTTGTCTAGAGATTATATAATTGAAAAAGACTGAATTCTTAGTCAAAAAGCAAAGAACAATTCAATTCAATGCAATAAATATTCAGCAAATATCTGAAACTACGTCTAACACTCACTTTTCTAGATCTACTATCAAGGAAATGTCATTGTTGGAACTCCGGGCCAAACGATCTCAATCGATTTCGATACTGGCTCCGATTTATTGTGGATGTCATGCAACTGTGCAAGAGGCAGCACTCTTGGTGGAGGACACGGAACGAACTATTGCAATTCGCACACTCACAAGGTTAGTTTAACAAATCCAAAGTTTCACTTGTTTGCAGTTTGCTCCCGGAGCCTCGTCAACGAATCAATTAACAACAAACGCGTACTCTGTTTCCTATGGAAGTGGATACGTTAATGGATTAATTATGTTCGATCGAGTTTGCGTGAGTAAAGTGAAATGTTTCATACAATTTTATTTTGCAGTTACCGGGAACAGCTCATTGCTCAGCGAGTAACCAAAAAATGATGTGTGCATCGTTTACAGATTCGTCTTTCCAGGTTAGTAGTGTTTGCTTTGTTGAAATACTTATAATATATTATTAAATATTAAATTAAATATTAGTCTATTAAATCTATTAAATATAGTATATTAAAAAACAGAAAAGTCCACTTCGTGCATCCGAAATCGATACTTGTTCTTTGAAACAGCCAAATGTACTATCTATTTAGCAATCTGTTTAACAAATCACATCTAATAACGTTTGCTGGGATAATATAGGAATTTAAATATTGGGATTTATAGTAAAGGAACCAGATCTTTGGAGAAAAGGAACCAAATCTGTAGAGAAAGGGAAACAAATCTGTAACGAAAAGGAACCAAATCTTTGAAGAAAAGGAACCAAATCTTTGGAGAAAAGGAACCAAATCTGGAGAGAAAGGGAAACAAATCTGTAACCAAAAGGAACCAAATCTGTAATGAAAAGGAACCAAATCTGTGGAGAAAAGAAACCAAATCCGTAACGAAAAGAAACCAAATCTGTAGAGAAAAGGAACGAAACCAAAAGTTAGTTAGAATAAAGTATCCTTTGCATTATCAGAATTCGGCCGGAAACCCCGACAGCGATGGTCTTATGGGTTTAGCGTATGGACAAGGAAATATGGCCAACTCAGCGATGAAATCAATTGTGAGTCTATAAATGTTTATCAAACTATAAGATAGAAAATATAAAAGCCTATAAAACTATCCTTCAGGTGGCCGCTTGCACAGACAAAAGTTTCGCCTTTTATATGACGAACACGGGAGCGGGAAGTGAGCTGACAATCTGTGGAAAGGATCCAGCACATTATGTGGTTAGTGAATTGTAAAATCATCTCACAGTTTTCGTAAACACTCACAAATCCACAATTCCAGGCACCACTCCATTGGCTGAACATCTATCAGACAAGTTATTATTGGACAGTGGCGTTGAAACAAGTTGTCTTTGGAGGAGCTGTGGTAGGGATATGATGAGAAATTCTAATCAAAAAGCTAGTGAATTTTTATAATGATTAGTAGTATCCGAGCCACAGTTTCAAAATTTCATTCAGAAATGGTCAACCGTCGGTGCTATCATTCTTGACACTGGAACAACCGGAATCTACTTGCCTGGAACCCTTGTTTCAAAGGTTTCAAATTGTGCAAGTCTTAAAATTATTTTCTTACAGATTCAAGCCGCTTGCAATTTAAATGCGTGCTCTTGCCCGACATTGACATTCAATCTAAACGGAGTTGCTTTCAATCTGGAAGGGAAATACTATTTGGTGAGCAGTTTGTATCACGATATTTCATTGAAAAGTCAAGATAAAGTTTTACGTTTTCTTTCTTTTTGATTGTAAACTGTTTTAGGCTTTAAATCGATCTTGAAAGTTCAATTCTAGAGTTTTAAACCAGATTAGGTCAGATCTGGTCTAGAGGTTACTTAAGCCAAGTCTTGGCCTAGCTTTTGACTTTGCCTTGCTTGGTCTGGTCCAGTCTTGAATACAAAAGATAAAAGTCTAATTTCAGGATTCTTCCTGTAATCTGATGGTCTATGCTTCCTCGGAAACCTCAGCTTTCGCCGGCTACGGATCAAATTGGATTCTCGGGGACGCGTTTATGCGAAAATTCTACACCGTTTACGACTACGTGAATGCTCAAGTGGCAATTGCTCCAGCACGATGAGTATTAATAGAGATTTTTGTACATTCTTAGTCCTTCCTTGTCTTTCATTCTTCTTTAAATTCTAACTTTGTTTGGAATAAAAACTTTAATATGAAACAATTACTTGTTCGCTTTATTTTGTAAATATTCGAATAAAAAACTTGTACTTATTTGAAATTTCATAACCTGTGCCCATTTTAATGAAAGAAGGAGAATTTCGCTCTCTTAAAAAGTCTGAATTGATTCAAAGTAGTTCTATACTCTTTTTTGGCATCTTTTTTATCTTCAAAGTGCTCTCCAACTAGGGCATTTTCAATTGATCGAAATAAATGGTAATCTGATGGAGCTAACTCTGGGGGATATACTGAGAAAATCCTCGGTTGGCGCTTTGAAGCGTGGTAAAACTACCGTACCCCTCCTAATTTTCAGGTATAAAAGAAAGCACGGAATTTCATCCCTTCATTCTTGTTCTTTATTTCATTTCATTCTTTTTGCGTATTTCTGATGTGGGTTTTTTTCGTTTCGGTTTTTTCTTTATGAGTGATGATGACAAAACTTTGTGGAATCGGTACATTCAAAACAAAGAAAACTTCTTTGCAAATAGCACATTAAAAGATGAAAAGCATTGAAATTTTTCGGTAAGACTTTTGAGCAAAAGTGAAACTTCACAATTTTGAGCCTAACTCGATAGTTATTCGGTATTCAGAGTATGAAATGGCGTTGACTTTCAAAAAATTTTTCTGGAACACACAAAAGCTCCATATCATTCATTGTTTGTATAATCAAAAACTTCTATCTTTGCTCTACAAAATGTCTTTTAAGAGAATCCGAGAAGCTTTTGTTTTGTGGATTTTATGAGCTCCTAAACGCAACCGGTCAAATGACAAGGAGTCCGATTCGTCGTTTGACTCGTTTCACAAATAAACTTAACTTTAAGTTAAAACAAAAAAGTTAGAGCACATTGAATTACATAAGTAACCAAATTTTTGTAGTAATCTCATCAGTCTTTTTCTCTAAATCACGATTTATAGATTTTCTGAAAAAAATTATCTTATATTGAAATGGGGCGCTTTTTGAATTCTATTTTAAATCTGTTTTTTTAGAGAAACCTTTCTAATGGTACTATCCGCGTGTCATTTGATAAAGACTTTTAGCAATAATAAATTTATACTTGGAAAAGACTAGGAAATTGATTGTAAAGATTCATAAAAAGCTGAAAATGTTTAGAATTTTCACAGAACAGACACAGAAAGCATGAAAGAAACGAGAATTTCTAAAAACGGGGCCAAATCATGAATTCTCGGTCCAGAATTTGTAGTGTTTTCTGGATCACTGGAATTTTTTCTCGTGTTCGTTACTGCAGTCGTTGTTGTCTTCCTTTTCACCGTGAAATCATCATAAACTGTTGTGGCCGGTTCAGTTGTTGTCGTTTCTTTGGGTGTTGTTGTCATAACTCGTTCACTCAATCGACTCACACTCACTTGGACGGCCATTCCGAATCTTTCGTATGGACAAAAGGTACTCCATTTCCAATCAAACTGGAATAGTGTAGAATTTAATTCACTTTTGTTGTGAAACAATTTCAAAGTGAATTGAAAAACGTCTTTTAATCAGTGATATTACAATGATTACAGGTTTCTAGGTCTGTAAACTTTATTAGACAAGGTAGGGTAACGCCAGAGTCCTACCATAAGCCAGATCGATGGACTTTTTGTGGATCAAGGTTGCAAGGACCAGAACAATACTTTTTGAATCTGTTTTTGATTAAAATCTCACCTGAATCGAGCTGATTCCCCAGAATATGTAGCCGTCTGTTGAATCTTTCCGAACTTGAGTGCTGAACTTTTTTTCATATTCAGTATTAGAGGTTTTTCTCATTTAGTACGTTTCTAAAGCATATCTACTTTATCGTAATGTATTTGTATCTCAAATTTAACGTAAAACTCGCAAATTTATAGTATTCTTTTCACTATCATAACAAGTTATATTTAGAGGCACATCGTCAAGAATGCCAATCAAATCAACGATCACATCGATTGGTTCATCATCTAAAAGAATTTTGGTTTTTGAGAATGCTTTAACAAAAACATTTCAATCTATTTGCTAAATCTTTTATCTGTTTTTCAAATCTAATTTCCGAAACTATTTCGATTGATTCAAGTTTACTGCAAAAGATGTTTCGATTGAGAGTGTAGGCAGCGTCGGGTGTGCGATCGGAATCATAATAGGCCTGTGAGGTGACAACGGCTGTTCCATCGCATAATTCTTGTTTTTCTTCATACCAATCTGAACAGAAATGCTTAATGATTGTTTAAACTTGATCAATTCAGCTACTTAATGGTTCATTCGAGTCTAATTGCACAAGGAAAGTTTCCCTTGTTAAAATATGGAAATCAGCTATTTCTTCGGTAAACTCTCAAAACAAGTCTAGCTGAAGAATCCAAAATAAAAAGTTAAGATGAATAAAAACAAACCGGGAGCTTTTTTATCCGTTGTATCCAGCACAATCTTTGGTGTGCATTTGGCGAGAATCTCTAATGAATAGAACTGAACCTCGAGAAATTGCTCGACAAATGGCTCTGATTCGCTGAAATTCGATTCATTACCTGATTTGAAAATATCCATTACCTGATGTTAAGCAAATAGGTTTTTGGATCGTAGTATGGATAGTCTCCATCAGCATCATTTCCAGCTGGTCCCATTACGAGAAAATTGTAAGAACAGTTTGGATTTGGTGGATTCTGAAGAGATTAAGTCTTTTGACTGTTAGAATTTTTAAAATACTCAAATTTTTTGAAACTTTCGCAATCTTGTTCAAAATTTTGTCCCAACCGATTGAATGTTTTTCAAGAAGCGCAATCCGCTCTCCAAGAAAAGCACGGTAAGCCAAATTGGACGATCGTTTTCAACGATTTGAATCTCGAATGTGGACATCATTTCCGGCACAACCATCATCTGATATTCGTGAAGCTCTGTAAATTTAGAGTTTTGTCTTTGTCGAATCAAATTTTATTCCCTACCACTCGTCCATTCAGTTATCCGTATCAGAAAGGCGACAGATGGCCCAAATTTTGTCGAGATTTCCGGATTCCAGTTCAAATCAAACTCGTTGACCGTGAAGTTCCAAGAGCACATTTTCCAGATCAATTTATCAAAGTTTAAGCTAAAAATGTCATAAACTGTTGACTATTTTGTGCTATTTTGTGCTAACATTGTATGGCAACTCTCGAAATTGCTCATTTTATCTTTTGAGACAGTGAACGGGACATTCGATGTAGTTAGGTCACAGTCCAACAAATCGGGCACCTAAAGTAATGAAAGAACCAATCAAATGACTTTTAATAACTACCGATCCATCATTAGAGCAATACCAAGCAAAGTCGAGAATCATGTGCGTAGGTATTTCGCCCACGTAGACTTGTGGGGCAACACAAACACCTAAATTTTGCGAGATTTGAAGGACTTATCAATAAAGATATTGAACTAAACGAGTAATGATTGAGCCGCTAAAGCCATACGCTTAGCAAAAGATTATATGATTCTTCAAAATACTATTTGCGTACCTTGGTTAAAGTTGCCCATACCGCCAGTAGCAAGTTCTGCGCCCAGAATTGGCAAACTCGGCAAAAATTCGTACGGATAAATGTACACACATGACAAGCATTTTTCAATAAAAAAGAAAAGCAAACCAGCCAATTTCAGCATTGTTTGTTTTAGGCTTGAATGAACGACGAATTTTTCCCATTTTTCATATTCATTTCTTATCATTTTTGTGATTTTCTCAAATTTTCACGACTTATCCATGTTGAGCGTTGACTTAAAGCATGTCTAGCTGTTTTTTTTTTGGGTTTCTGGAACGCAAGTTGGTTTTGAACCAGTGGACCCCGATAGACGCAAGTTGAACGATCAATTTCCCAAAGAAATTCTCGATAAGCTGAATCTATCATCCAAATTTTATCGAAAACCTCAAGAAGTCGGGGCATTAGAAAACTCAACTCAAACTGAAGGAAATAGCTTAAAAATGGTTTTGATTAGATTATTTTTCTATTGGAGGTAAAAAGAAGCAATTCCTGAAGACTTTATTTGTTTGCTTGATGCAGGAAGTGATAGAAGTGGATTTGGATGAGGGGAAAAGTTCGGGAAAAGTTTGAAATTGATGAGGAAATGATGGAAACAGGAGAGATATTCAATTTGTTGTTTGATGATCGAGAAATAGTGGGAATTGATAACTTGTATGAGGATATCTTTCTAAAAAAGGTGGACTTATTCAAAAAGATTGAGAAAAGAGTGCTGTAGAAAGAAATTTTGTATGAAGTGAAGGAGATAAAATTGAAAACGATTGGCGAGTTCGAAAAAAGTGATTTTCTTGAGGAAACGATTGAATAAAGAAATGATTGACAAATGAATAAAGAAAAATTCAATAACATCATTTAATTTTTACCTATAACTTTATTAACACAAAGTTATTGCAGTTAAATAGTAGAAATTTCAAAAAACATATAATAAAAAGATTTCTGTAAACAATATTACTCATAAATTTCTCTTTTTTTTTATATCCAAGCTCATTACAGTACTTTTTAAATCAAAAACTTAACAGCAAGCAAATTTATTTGACAAGACAACATTGTTTTGGTTTAAAAACCAAAAAAAGACGTAAAAGTTTTTTAGAATGATCACAAAATGAGCATAAAAAGCACGAAAGAAACGACAATTTCTATTGGGTTGGTGAATTGAAAAATGCGGGACTTTGAACTATTGGGTTGGGGAGAATGAGTCGGCGCCCAACTTTAAAGGGACTTTTTGCACACATAAAGCCTTCTTTAAACATACGTTTGGTTTCATCAAAAGGATCCACTATTTCTCTACAAAATGACCTTTGAGAGATTCCACAAAGCTTTTCTTTCGTCGAGTTTATGAACTTCCAAACGCAGCTGGTTAAAATGGCAAAGAGTCCGACTCATCATTTGAACAGTTTCTTTCACATAAACCTTCTTTGGTGTTTATATAAAAAAGATAGAGCACATTCAATTACTTAAGTTGCCAAATTTGCAGGAAGATCCCACCAATGGTTTTTTCTAGATCACAGTTTGTAGTTTTAGTGAAAAAATGGCTTTTTCTTGAGCGGAGGCGCTGTTTGAATTTTCTTTTAAATGTGATTTTGTAGAGAATTAGTTAACCATTCTATGAGTATCAAACGCATATTATTTGACGAAGTCGAATAGAAGTTTTAGACATTTTTTTGATTCTCGGCGCCGACTCATTCTCCCCAACCCAATAAAATTTATTCAACATAAAACCATAAATTCATTCCAAATAATTTCCATTATTATTGACGACTTCTGCTTATTTTACAGACAATTTGCGGATTCCTCTTTCTGCGTAGGATTTTGGTTTTGAATCGAAAAACTTTCAAAGCCAATTTTCGACTGCTTCTTCCGAATCGAAGTGTTCTCCCGCAAGCTCATTTCTCATGATCCGGAATAAATAGTAGTCAAAAGGGGCGAGGTTTGGACTGTATGCGGGATGCGCCAAAAGTTCCCAAACAAGGCTATTTATTTTAAGAAATGTAAGAAAAGATAGATAGATTATAGACAAATATTATATTATTATTGACGACTTCTGCCCATTTTACAGGCAATTTGTGGATTCCTCTAGTAGGATTTTGGTTTGTGTGTGAGACTCAAAAATGTAGAACTGGATATGTCCCAGTTTGAGCACTTTCTTCAAAAGAAACCCATTTTGGTGTCAATAGAAAAGTTGTAGAGAATCAAAAATTAGGCTTATAGCCAAATTTCCAAAAAGATACACTTAGTAGTTTCGCTTAAAATGCAAGTTTTGTGAAAATTTGTAAATTTGACATTTCTTGAAAACCAGTTTTTGAATCGTTCGGAAAATTTGGATGTAAGCTTGATTTTTGATTCTCTACAACTTTTCCATTGACACGGAAATGGGTTTCTTTTGAAGAAAGTGCTCAAACTGTCACATATGACAATAGCCCGCAGTTTTCAATTCACCAACCCAATAAAAATGGGGGCAAATCATGAATCGTGTCCAGAATTTGTAGTGTTCCCGGCAAATCCTTCCCGTGCTCGTTACCACAGTCATTGCTGTCATTTTTCCTATAGCCATTTTTGTTACTGTTGTTGTTGTTGTTTGTTTGTTTTTGTTTGTTTTTGTTGTTATTTCTTCGTGGTCGTTCTTCCTTTTTACCGTGAAATCATCATAAACTGTTGTCGTTTCTTCGGGTGTTTTTGACACATATCGTTCACTCACTAGACTCACCAATACCCTCACCGCCATTCCAATTTCTGAGTGGAACCCATTCGAACTGCAATTAAAGTTATCGTAAATACTCTAATAGAAGCCCACCTATCGCGTAGTCTAACTAGGGAACTGTTTTAAATTACCACCGATTTTCGAAACCGAACCTAGCTACAAACCGTCGAATTCTAAGAAACCTATATTTTTTTATTTTTTCCTAGTAAAAGCTAGTTTTTGAGAAAAATTCGTGTAAAGTTTCGGCTAATTTCGGCAAACCTAAGGGTATAAAGGGGTGCCAAATGGGGAAGGCTGAACAGCGGTAGCCTAGAGGATAGTCCGCTAGTCTGCGAAACTATGCCACTTTTGCTCGCGGGTTCAATTCCGCTTCCAGCCAAACTTTTTTGCTTTTTTGCGAAACTTTTGGAAAACATTTTTTAAGGTTCCAAAATATGGTATTTAGAAAAATAGCATACCGTAAATACTCTAATAGAAGCTCTATACATAGGAGCGTCGCGTAGTCTAAGTTTACACTCAAAGAACCTCTCATATCTCGGCACCCAAACATTTGTTTATGCGCGCTTAGGTATCAAATTAAAGTAGAGAAAATCGGTGATTTTTTGAGATGTAACACATATTTTTAGCTTTAACCAGCGCTTAGAACAAAATGATTGAAAAATGATGAAAAATCGGTTTTACTCTTTATTTGTCAAGGATCTTTATTAAAAGAAATATTAAAAGTTCAAAAATCATCAAAGCTGGGATCAGATCAGGGTTTAATCATAGGCTTTTCTCCCTCTGGATGCATTGGATAATGATATTGAGTGCATCAGTGACTGTCTCAAAGCTCAAAACTCTAGACGGACTCAGACTATCATTACCTTCTACTGTGTCCGTACTCCAATGAGCCAAATCTTCGCCATCCATCGGTCAGCTGATGAAACGATCGAGGGGATCACAGAGAAAATATCTCGTGTGACAGTTTACCCCGTCAAAAACATTTTGCTTTCCTCCATCGCACAAAAGAACAACGTTCAAAACAACAAAATTTTTGAGTATTTTGTTGTAATGGGCATTTCAAAGACAAAACAATCAGAAACTTCAAAAATTTTCCTGTTCGAATCTTATCTTCCTCTGACTTTTGAAAACTTACACCTACTTATTGGTGTTAGGATTAAGCAAAGTTCATAAAAAATACAGAGTAGAGCAAAACTGAAAGTTAAATTTGAAGGAATTGCTTGAAAATGGGTCCTATTTAAAAAGATCATTAGAACAAACGTCTTCTAGCCAAATTGTTGACAGTCAAATGACAAGAGCCAATTATTAACATAATATAAATGAATCTGGAAATATACATATAACTAAACATTTTGAAGTTTCGCGAGTGATCACTTTGCTGCAAATCCTTCACATTTTACTTAGACTTAACCATCGCGACTTTCTATATATGCAATTTCCCATATTTTCTCAATCCAACCCAGCTGGTTGTCTTGTTTGCAAAAGAAGATGCAGAAAGATGGAAAAGAACGGGAAAGGGGTTGTTTTCGCTGACCACACCTATGAGAATATATGAGATGGAAAAAGGATGACGGGAAAGGGACTGTCATGTATAGAAGGGAAAGAGAAGGTGAATGTTAGGGGTATTGGCAAGGGAACAGTGAGAGGAAGGTTGGGGTGCACAGAAAGAAACATCGGATGGATGGGGAGGAAAAGGGGTACACAGACTGACTATAAGGGCAATGGTGGGGATGGTGTGGCTGTCCATTTCCCCAAATAGGCACCCCATTCCCTTTAACCATCGACTCACCTGCACAATAATCAATTTTCATTGTTTTTTTTTTTACTGGAACTGGAATAGAACTGAATTATTAACACAGCGATACTGTTTTTACTGATAGTTTACAAATTGACAGCTGAATATCTTCTTTTTTAGATCATCTACAAAGTAAAAGAAGAATTTCTATGTAAAGGGAAAGGAGTGGTGAGTGATTGAGCTAATTTTTACTACTTTCGGCGCCATTATGCGAGATTTTTGAGATCAATTTATGGCAGCTTGCATTAAATTTGACTGCATTTTTGCTTTCAAATTTCACAACCCGTTAAACGTGCTAAAATACTCCTATTACTATACTCCCAATTTCCAGAAGCCCATTTCTAATCTAAAGATCTAAAGAAGAGATATTCATTACAATTTCTCAAGAACTACAAGAACTTGAGCGATTCGAAAACAATGAAAACAAGCTCTCAAAATCGCAGTTTCTCTACGTAATTTTGCCGACTTCTAATCTTATCACCGATTCTCCAAACCCCGCCTCCTCTTTTCCCAACCTTGCGTGCCTTGCCTTCATTTCATTTTATCTTATTTAGAGCTTCTGCAACTTTTAATTTCTTTTTTTTTCAATTTACGAAGAAGCCAAGCACCTTTGATGACTTAAAATCAAAGAAAATAGCTCTCAATGTAAGCAGCTTTCGATCAAAATTTTAATTTATCGTTCAGTCAAGCACACCTTTCTTACAAAGCTAAATAAATCCTCAATTTGCTTCCATTTTTTAGACAACTAGACAAGCTAGACAGAAAAGCTTTCAATTTTTACTTTCTTCTCCTATGCAGCCAACATCCGGTATTCAAATGATTTCAGTGGTTTCTCTCTGTTTGCAAACATTTAACATATTCCAGAATGACTAATCAGAAATTTTCCATATTTCTTATAAAAAGCCGCGAGTTTTTTGTAGGACAAAATATAGGAGAAAGGGGGAAAAGACGAGGAAAAGATGCGTCACGCGGTGAATACTTTGAGGGAGACAAGACAAGGGAAAGAAAACTGTACATAGAAAGGAATGGGGTGGGATGAGTAGCCTGGGAAGTGGTCTTGCTTGAAACGATTTCACTATCGATTTCTATCAATACTTGACTCTTTATTTGAGCTTTAAAGCTAGTTTTGTTCTGGTAATTTGCTCAAATTTTGGCTGAATCCGGTTCTTTCACTTATTTTTTTGAATTTCAATGTTCATTGCGAAGTCCGGGCTTTTGTATTAATTTTTCGACTTTGTTTCACTTATTTTTTTGAATTCCAATGTATCCTGTTGATTGAACTTTACACTACTTGCACTTATGCTATTTTATTTACTTTTTTTGTTTAACTTTTATGACTCATCGACTTCTGATCTTGGCGATTTTAGCGAAAATCAAAAGTCGATCCCAATTTTGAGTGTATTTCCCATAATTAAGCCTTCTTATTCATTGAATTTTAAAAACAAAAATGAACTAAGAGTAAAGAGTTTTGATCGATTGAGTTTCCCTAAACATTTGTACACGCTGAAGTGGTCATCTCCCTTCTTTTTCAAAACCCTTTCTCTTGACCGATTCGATTTATGGATGAATCGATCGTTTCCCTTTCTTCCCCTTCACATTTCCCTATTCCTTTTCGATTTTCCCCTTATCTTTTCCACCCTTTCTATAGTCATTTCTGTTATTTGGCATTCACCCCAACATTCCCCAATCCCTTTTACTTTTCCAATCCTTTTTGTCCAATCCTTTTTGTCACTTAAAGCCTTTGCTCACAAAAAAAAACTTATACAACTATCGTAAAGTGTTGCTTTTGCGAAATGAAGCTTTCAATTTATTCATAAAGATTGAATTATTCGTTTTATACTCATTAATATTTAATTTTTGAAAGAATCTAGTCATTCTTTATTGAACTTACTATTAAAAAGGTGTAATTCAAGGTTTTTCTTCTCTGCTTACATCTTTTAGTGAAAATCTACATTTATATGGTGAAAATTCATCTGAAAATCCAATCCTTTTGTTTTAGGCCTATTGTAAAACTGGTTCGAACTTAATTTTTTTGCATTTTTACCCTTTTAAAAAGCTTTTTTATTTCCAATTTGCAATGTAAACAATTTAAAACGCGTTCGCCAAACAACGGGGGTTTTGGAATCTTTTCTTGATATCATTAAATCAGTGATAACTTTTAGTGAGTGACCTTCTATTGAAAGAATTGTCATTTCAATTCTAGACAAGTCCGAAATCGCTGAAAAACATTTGATTCATGATTTGTTTTCCAAAAATCTTGATAACAACAAATTTCCTCTTGAACTTAAAAAGATTTCAATCTCTTTTTGACATTGACTTTTGAGCAGTAAAGAGAATTTTATGCGAGGCGATGAGTGAAAGTTTTGTCGTTTTGAGTGAGTTGAAAAGGAGAAAAAGAGACAACAAGGGGAAACAAGACTCGAGAAGCTCTTTTTTATTTTAATAACTTTTATTTCATTGCTGAATACTTTCGGGTATTCAGACGACAAGAATTCAGATTTTTTTTCTTTTCCCTCGTGATCCTGTTATCAGTAATCGTTGAGGCTGAACACCTTTTCTTCCCCCTTTTTGCTGAAACCGGCTTACTTTTTCCGAACAAACAGCTTTTTTGCGATAGTAAATTTTACTTTTTGGCTAATGTTTACCAAAGTTTGATTAGTTTTTTCACGATCAAAGAGCATTAGTCATTTTTGGGTAAATATTTTGCAATATTTTGCAATATTTTGCAAGCTTTTTTTGGTTTCTTGGGTGAGAAATCGGTCTTGGAATCGAATTTCTGAATAGTTAGTACAATGATTTCAATGGAAAGAATATTTTTAAGTCTACAAGTTTGCTGCAACAATGTTTAGAACTCCCAACTACTGTCAATCTTATTGTTGCTCATTTCTTTTTCTCTCTAGTTTTTCGATTTACTTAATAGTTTACTATGCAATTGAATAATTCGTTTGCAATTCTACTAATCTACTAAAAATTATGATTTCAGAAACCCCTGGAAAAGCTGAAAAGCTGGCCTCTTGTCCCTCATCGTCAGCGATGAATCCGGGAGAATTAGATCGTCTCCCGATGCCTGGAGTTTTTCAATCAATAAATGCTTTCACAATAGCTGGTTGGTGGAAGAAAACTTGAAATCAAGAAAGCTATGAAATTAAATGAAACCTTTTAATTCCAGAAGATGGCCGAACTGCTTATTTTCACGATCCTCAGCCTGATGTGGTCTATTCAGTCGATTTGAGAAATGGAATCAAGAAAGCACTGAAATGGTCAGTAATCAAGATTAGACAATCAAATTACTAAGCAAATATGTTATACGAAATGATTGTTGATGTTTATCACATTGTCTGTTTCAATGGAAATGTGAATTTAAGACGAAATTTATTTGATAACCCTTTTTCAGGGAAGATCACGATTTCAAGCACCGTCGCTGGTTATGCTACACTCTATTCAACTTTAAATACTCAAATGAAGTCTATTTGTCGATGTTGTTCTACAATAAGCATAAAAAGGTTGAATACAATTTGAAATCTAAAATACTTTTCGTTTAGGTTTTTTGCTTGATTCATTTTCTGATCGCTGGGGAGTTGTTGATCAAAAGGCAGACATCGATGTTGAATACTTCAGCGATTACACATGATCGATTGGCATATTCAGTGCAGAAATGCTCGAATGAAATCCAGGTAACTTTAAGGATAAAATAGCTGCAAAATTGACTTAAGCATTGCTTTACAACAAAACCCAAGTAGTTCTAAACTTAGATCTAGACTCTAGACCATTATATTGGCTTGGCAAAGTTGTACAGTGCAAGCTTGGCCTTGTTGGACAGCTGTTTAGTACTACTAAGCTTTCCAGATGATCTTTTATGAACGATTCTCCCGAGCTCACTCAATAGATGGAGATGAAAACCAAAATCCGTTACACTTTGTCTGTTGCATTCTCGACACGACAACAATGAGAGTCACCACGAAACAGGGAATGCTCCCAATGGGACAATGGGAATTGCCATTCATCACGAATCGAGTAAGCTAGTCAAAACATGATTTGCTAAAGTTTACAACAGCATTACTACTTTGTTCCTAGAAGCTTCATGTTCTCTGCACCACTAGAAGCCCGAACATTTTGGCTTCTAGGAGTTTGGAATCAACAGAAACACTCTGGGATGCACGGGCTATCAATCCATCATTGAATGATCTCACTCCGGCCAAGAAAGGTAGAAATTTTGAGGGTAAATTTAGTCTGAACTTGGTCGCACTTAGACGCATAGCATTTGGCCGGCTCAACCAGTTGACCTTCCCTTGTTGTACTTACAAGAAAAAGTCAACTGGCTAAGCCGGCCAAATGCTATGCAACCCATACCATTCGACGCAGAACTTGATGCTGATTCCGAATATATATTCCGTTAAATGACAATCTGCCAGGAGTTATAAGCGTCTAAAGTTTTGTTAGAGCTTTGAAAATGTGGTCATTTGGGTTCGGGGCAGTCATGGTCGAGTGGTACAGCGTTCATTTTCAGAGCTCACAAGTTCGAGCCCCACTTGGAGTTATTCTTTTGCTTTTTTTCAAAAAGTGCTCTTTCTGCGGTCAACTGACCGCTCCAGATAATCTTCCTTGTTAGTCCATTAATTGTGGCACCCTAAAACTTTATCAAGTTTTATTGTGGTAATCTAAAATTTTCAGCTCAATGGTGCAACGCCTGGACAACGGAAGCCGGGTATTTTGCGCTATTGGAAAAGGTTTGTAAGGAAAATAGCATTTTCATAAAAAGCTTCAGATTGTGAGCCAAGAAGAGCCGGAAGTGCAAACGATACGTCGGGTTTTCCTCTGGCATTTAGATCCGAGTACAGCTAGTTGGACAAAGTAAGAGAAAAATTTGAGATTTTCGTAATTTCTCTGTATATTAGACTTCCTTGTCAACAGGATCTCCCGGATTGCGCATCGAATATTTCTTTTCGAATCGGTTTAGATGGGATGGGATACGTGCATTGTGATCTTCAACCAAGAGAGGCTTGCATACTGAAAGTGAAGCTCGATCAAGCGTTGGTAAGTTGATAAAGTTCATCAAAAAAAGCAAAAAAAAAGATTGTTAGTTAAATATTTAGTTAACTAGTTTAAAAATGTAATTTTTTTCTTTAGACAAACGCGAATCGAGTGGCGGCCGAGGCGGCGGCGGAAGATTGGCTACCTTTAGAATCGCATAGCACCGAAAATGGACAAAACTCTTCAAATTTCAGGTTTTTAAATAAAAAAATCTAACAAGTTATATATTTTAAAATCTAGAGAACCTTTATCTGATCTGATTTGCCCGATTTGTTTGGATACATACGATGACGCTCGGACACTCTCTTGTGGCCATTCCTTGTGTTGGGCTTGCGTGGAACAGATGCGACTTGTTGGTGAGTTGTTTGGAGAATTACTTCATAAAATTCAGAAAATTGCATAGATTTTCATAGAAATTCGAGATTTAACTGTTTGTTTTTTTCAGCGAAAAGCGAGACAGTTGCGTGTCCGGCTTGTCGAAAGCTCACAAAGATCCCAGCTGGTGGATTGCCAGTGAATTATGGGTTAAAAGGTGAGTGAAAATGGTTAATAAATGAAATATAATCTAAAATATAAGTATTAGAACTAATTCTGCAAATTTAGATGCAATTCTAACCCTCAGCCGTCTTGTCGAGGTCCGGAATCGAGGAATTCGTTGCGGAGAGTGTCGGGAGAAATGTGAAGAGACGAAAATGTGGACGTGTTTGACGTGTTTGAGACACGGGAGTACGGTAAGTCAAAATTAAAATAGAGTTTAAATCTAAAATAATATTCTCCAGAAACTCAACCGTGAATCGATGGTTTATGTCGGAAATTTGAATGCTTCAAGTTTTGAAGAAGATCCAAATGACAGCAATGCAGAAAGTCTACAAAAAGAGGTTAGGATTCGTTTTAAATGCAAATTCTAAGCTAATTTTTCAATTTCTATTGATTTACTTGAAAATTTGTTTCTAGATGAGCCAACAAGAGCGCTTTGGGCGTTTCTCGTTTTGCGCATCTTGTCTACTTTATTATCATAAAGGGCACGACTACGAAGAAGTGCTCAAATTACGGTAATTATTTCAAATTCGTGCAATTAACTTTCGAAATTTTCAGAGAACGATCAAAATTGGTGGATGAGATGAAAGGAAAATGGTTGGAAAAGGCGAATTCGAGCATTCAAACGATCAAAGAGACGACAACCACAATTACAAATGGACTGTTTGATGAGGTGATGTTAACTAAAGATGCGCAAAACGAGAAACGCCCAAAGCGCTCTTGTTGGCTCATCTAGAGTCAAATTTTCATCTTTTTTCATCTTTTAACCAAAAGAATTCTAAGCTTTTACTATTAGATTTATTTCTAAATCCCAGGTTCTTCTCGAGAATGTTCGCATTAAATTCGATGAAATTTGCGATGTTGCTAAATGTTCGAATGAGGAAATTGAGGGAAGAGGAGGAGCAGTGATCGAGAAATTACAAAGAATACAGAAAGAGTTTCATCAAGGATTTCAAAGGCATTTCGAGGTGGGAAAAGCGATTTTCAATCGAGAAAACTGCTTTCAGGAATTTCTCGAACGATGCTCTACAGCGATCTCTTCAAATCCACCATCGTTTCATGGATCTCCGCAGAATTTGTCTCCATTAGAGCCACCGAGGGGATTTTCATCGCGAAGAAGCTCAACGGATCGAAATTTCACTCCACAATCTTCGTCACCGACTCCAAGATATGAAGTAAGTAAAAACCGGCCTTCAGCTACATTTATCGATAGCTAAATCCTGTTGACTTTTAGAAAGAAACCGAGGTGTCAATCCCTTCCCTTGCCCCATCTCTGCCCACTCCAACATCTCTCGGTTCTCACAGTTCTCCTCTTCCACCACCACTTCCCTCAACTCTTCCACCATTGGAAAAATTGAAGCTAGAAAGTGAACCGATCATTCGAAGACCCACTGTTTTGTCATCACTGCGGGTGAGTCTAACACTATGTGCTCTCAAAAGTTCTTATACTTTTTGTAAGCTTCTAGTTTGACTCGGAAAACAGGCTACTTTTAAAAAAACTAACACCGGATTATGAAAATCCAAGTATCTTTACAATTACTATACTTTTTTGCCCAACTTTAAACAACTTTTTGATGAGAGATCGTCACGGTGCTTTTTTTGTTTTTGAGATTTGGGTGCTCTCCGTAGAATCGCTTGAAAATCTTTCGTTTTTGAGATATAAAGTTTGTTTGTGGATTGTTTTTAAGAAAAAAAAACTTAGTTCTATCAAATGGTAACAACAGTTTTTTGGAGAAAATCTCATTTTGTAAAGTTTAAGTCAACTTTTGCAAAAATCTTCAGCGACCAGACCTGGATGTAAAAAATCCTAGTCAAAAAGTTGTTGAGAGTTGAAATCTTTTTATAAAAAATGAGCATATTAGGGTAAAAAGATCTGTATTTTTAAAATCCGGCTTTAGTTTTTCGAAACTCACGTGTTTTTCAAGTCAAAAAACTGCCTACGGAAAAAGTATAGGAACTTTTGAGACATTCTGTATTATAAAACTCCTTCACCTGTCTAATCCATTGATTAGTATGAAGTTAAATACTTTAATGTATATTTAAAAGATCATAAATCTCAACTATTCCAGGATCGTCCCACTTCCCTTCAATCATCTCCCCTTTCCTCTCCACTCCAACCGAGAACTGTTGTCATTGTACAGAGGCCATCTCTCACTCAAGCTCTTCAAGCATCTCCCAACAATTCTCCCCGAAAAACCACAGCTGTCACTTCTGAGATCTAAGTTGAGTGTTATTTCTTAAAAGTCATGTGATTTAAGAACGGGTTATTGTATATTTATTCGATAAAAATTGTAATTGTTGGAAGTTCAAAAATCATCAACCACAAACTCTCGGCTCTCATTCAAAAACAATCAATTTCTTCTCTTCAAAAGAAATGCGTGCTCTTCTTTGTTCTCCTGTCAGTGTGCTTGGCTATTCTGACTCAGACAATAGTTTGTTGACTCAATATTAACTCAATATTAATCAGGCAATCTGAAACAGGTTTACACATGTGGAAGTGAGATCAAATGCCCGGCCGGGCTTTATTGCAAAGTTCATAAGGCCTCAACTGGTGAAAGGAATTTGTGAACGAAGAAAACACCCGCTGGATGGGCATTACTCATGCTTCTCTGCGGTTGTCATACATTTCTCTTTTTAAAACCAATAATTGATCATTGATTTTTGGATGAAAAACTAATATAAACGCATCGAAAGAAGGAAAATGCTTCATAGGAAAGCTGAAAATGCTTCTTCTTCTTAGATTCTTAAAATCTCTTAATGTTTTTCATTGTCAACTGCTGAGTCAAAGATTTCAACCGGCAATTCACGGGATTTCATCAGGACAGTATGCAAAATGATAATGAATAACTATTTAACTAAAAAACTTTCAAAGAAAAGTTGTAAGAACGGTTGCCGCTTCTTTTTCAATGGAAATCTGCATTTTGATGTTCAAATCCGGCGCTTTCATGCAAAAAAATATCAACTTAGATTTATTTTCTTTTTTCAAGCTCGTCATTTCTTATTTGGTGCCATTTTGCACACATATCGTGAACTGATCGGCTCATCTGGGCCATTGTCCCAGAGCTTCCTCTCGCACGAATCATCATTGGCCATCTGGAAAAAATTTATTAACTTTATAAAGACATTATCCAATGAGAAGATAATATTTTGAAATTTTGACTAACAACTGATTAGTAACTAACAACTTCCAGTTAACGTTCCAGTTAACAACTTCCAATAACTAACAACTAACAACAACTTATTTAACTGATTTCTTCAAAAACCCTACCGCCCAGTAAAAGTTCTCCGTAATCGCAGCTCCTCCATTATAATCGACTTTCGATCCATCACTCCATTGCCCAGTTCCAAGTGTTCCATTTCCAAAATAACCAATCCAAGCATATTGGAAGTAACATGGTTCACTGTTTGGAGCCGCGTAATAATCGTAGACGACATTTGAAGAGATTAGATCTAGAAAAGCTTGTAAGTTGAAATTTTGGTCTGGAAAAGCTTCGTTTGTAAGTTTAACTTTTGGTTCCTTTTCTGCTTAAGATGATCACTGTAAAGACGTTAGTTTTTTAATTCTCTAAGCTACGATAAAACCTTGAAGCACTTTGAATTTTAGAAGCATTTCCAAATCAAATCAAAGCATTGATACAAATCCGCTTCTTTGAGTCTGAAAATCAAAGCTTCACTTCATCAAAGCTTCATTTCATCAAAGCTTCATTTCATCAAAGCTTCATTTCATCAAAGCTTCATTTCATCAAAGCTTCACTAACCGTAAATGAAATTATTCTCATCATCTGAGTGAATTGAAACAAGATGTGAGTTCATTTTTTGACAATTTATCTCGGAAATCGACCAGTTGTAGAGTTGCCAATGAATTCTGTCATAGAAAGTGAAGTCCTGAAAAAAAAAAGTGATTAGTTTGTTTGATTGACGATTTCTACCTGGAAGTAATAACAATATCCAGTCTTTTTTTGATAAATCCAATCATTCGGGCAAGGAAAATCTGAATCAAATGAATTTTTCTCAAAAAAGAATGCCAACTATTTTGGTCGACAGTGCAGAAGAAAGCTCGTTCTTTGACACAATCGCTGGCTGCCCATTTCCCATTGGAATCGATTGTTGTACAGTTTCCGGCAGTGCTTGGCTCATCTGGAAATGATATTTGGTCAAAGCTTGGTTTATTTTCCACTTAAAGCTAATGATTATCTAATAAGGATTATCTAATTCATGATTTTTTTGCAAACTTGAGTATTTTTAGGATTATTTTATGCTACAAAATTTCTACTTTCTAAATCTAACAAAATCGAACGAAAGATAAAGCTTGTATGAGCTGTTTCATCAATTTTTCAAGTGAATCTTCAATATAATCTTGAATTCCCCAACTTTACGACTAGTTTTTTTATGAAAAGACTTACTTGGTGCCCAATTCTGAAATGTAAGCGGCGTTCCATCAGCATACGTCCATGTATTATTCCCATTTCGTATCACTCCGATGTAAGTCGGATTTCCAATCAAATCTAAGGCCGATTTTTTCATTGTTTAAATCATTGAACAAAACTGTCTGTCATCATTGCACCAACGAAAGCGTTCTCAAAAACATTTTGCACTTTCGCCAGGATTCCTCCATAAACGGCACATTTGCGATTGGCATCGTTGTAGGCTTTTGCTGGAAAGAGGGAGATTTTGAGACTTCAAAATTTTACATCATTTTAACTGAGCAAACACCTTTTGAAAGCATGGATTCAAAATAAAATTGGAAACAAAAACATCTAACAAATTTTCCACTTACTATTTTCATGAAAAATGAAGTTAATTTCGCAAAATCGGACTTTGTCTCACTTTAAAAACAAGTGCATTTTAGCGATGAATGGCTTAAAAGTTGCACACGATTCTAACTGAGTAACCATTTGTCATTTGTCATTTGTCAATTTGTCATTTGTCATCTATTATTTGTCATTTATCATTTGTCATTTGTCATTTGTCATTTGTCATTTGTCAATTTGTCAACCATTACTAGTGATTTCAAATAAAATTGGTCTCAAAATGTTATCAGAATTGAAATTTTCATTTGCTTGACTATTCATAATCAAATTCGAAATGAAAAAGTGAGAATTTTCCCAAAAACTCACTGTCAACAATCGGGTAAAGGCAAATGTTCTCATTCGGAATCTGTTCACTTCCAATCGGGCATTGAAAAGTCTGTGCAAAGAATAGAAAAAGTAGTGATGGAACTAGGGAATTCATTGCGAATTGCCAATAATTAGGAGATTTTTGCTTTTCGAGTCAATAAATATAGAAGAATTTCATCTTTCTTACTTCCCCATTGCGTGTACCTGACTGAATGCCTTTCTTATCTTTATTTCTCTGAAAATCATCCCCCGATTCGTTATGTGTACCTGGGAAATCATTATTTTGAGTGTAAAAAGGTCAACTCGCTAAAAATTGAGTCGAGTTTTCTCTGGTGATCTTTGGAGACTAAACTTTTCATAAAATAATGTAGCAATGGGTTTTTAATTGTAATTTATTGTTTAAAAGAAAATTGATAATTACTTTCCCTTTAAATCAGCTGACTCAAGCGCGCTTTTCGTTTTCAAGACCATCGATCTCAAATTCAAGTTTTCACTCTGATTTGATTGATTCGCAATGCTCGCCGCAACAAAAGCACCGTAATCAAACTGAAAAAAAGAATTTATTACAGATTTTTGTTTAGTTATTTGACAAAAATTTCAATACGGACAGTTTTAGTGTTTCATTTTGAATAAAGCATAAAGCAATAAAGCAAGCTGCCTGGGTCATTCCAGGAAAAAAGTTGAGCTATCAATAAGTACTCGAGCAAAAGATGAGCAGTTCACTCACCCATCCCAGAATTCTCCACTCGAGAAAAGCGCCAATTGGGCTGAATAGTAAATGGCTTCAGCGATTATACAAAAATCGGTGAACACATAAACAAAACTCGGATAGTTTTAGTGTTTCATTTTGAATAGTAAAGCAAGTTGCCTGGGTCAATCCAGGAAAAAAGTTGAATTGAACAACAAAAAAGGCACCTTGGACGTTAGAAGAGTACATAGAAAAGAAAACAGAGAAAAACAGAAGCGTTTTTCATTGTACTCATCTTTAAGCCATTTTTGAATCCGCTGAACGTTTCGAGGAAGAGTTGGTCGTTAAATTAGTCGTTAAATTATTTTGGGTATGAGTAATTTTAGTTCATCATTTCCTGCCAAGTTACTTTAATTCTTCAATTTTCAATCTTCATCAGGTCTTGAGCTCATTGGAGCTTTCTTTGAAAAAATGCAATCTAGAGTTGAATCAGCTGCTTCGCCTTTCTAAAGGATTGAAATTCTGCATTCGTTCGATGTTTGGCCCCTTGGGCCTTCCAAAAATTGCGCTAACACCCGTATTTCAGGGCAGAAAGCGACGGGTAATTGGTATCAGTTTTCAACCAGCAATAAACGCACCTCGGCTAGGCCTCATTGGTCACGTTATCGCCTCTGCGCAAAGCTGATGTCAAGGAGGAAAGGGAAGAGTATAGGGAAAAGACATGTGCCAGAAAGCACGCGTTTCTGCGGCTGCACAGAGAACGGCAGACGCTTTGTGAAAGAGCCAGACAAGTAGGCCTAATTGACCTAAAATAATGCTCCTTTTACCGTAATCTCCGCCCACTTTTCCTCGCATAGGACAATGATAAGTAATGCTTGCCAAAATTAACCCTCATTTCAAAATTTCCATTCTCATTTCTTCCCTATACCCTATTTATGACAAAATAGACATAAAATACCCTCAAAAATGGGTAATTCAAGTCCGCAAGTCCAGAAAAGACACTAATGCAAATGAAATACGAAATTATTACCTATGAAAGCATCTTTTACCCGGCAGAGTCGATGAAATTCAATTTTGGTCTGGAGAGGGCACTAATTCAAGTTTTCTTTGAGTTACCCTTCTCGAATTTCCATTTTTAATACAACTGATTTTTCGTGAAACTAATGCAGATTTTCTATAAAATATTCAATCACTTTAAATGGTTCGTTGAAAGTTCAGACGCGTACGATCAAAATTGGCAGCGAAGATAAGCAAATCGAAACAATTAAGGCAATTTGTGCAAAGATTTTCCTCAAAATTTGAGCCTTAGAACAGTTGGTGCTCTTCCTGCTCAATTAATTTTTTCCTGGCTTTTCAAGACTTGAATTTGATAGAAATTAAAAGTATTTAATGAAAGAAACTCTGGAAAAGGTTTCTTGAGAAAAACGAAGAAAATGAAGGATTGAAAATGGTTATTTGTGAGACGGAGAGTGGTCATTTGACTGAATCGATCTCAAAAATGCCATCGATAGATTTTCCCATGTTTGGTGACATTTCTGGGGTAAATTTTGGCTCATATCATTCATCAACATTTCGAAAAATCGTTGAATTAACCCTTAAAAACGCTTCGTTTTTCATGAATTCCATTAATTGAGTCCATTAATCGATGCCTTTCTCTGTGGTGGGAGATTACGGTAAAAGGAGCATTATTTTAGGTCAATTAGGCCTACTTGTCTGCCTCTTTCACAAAGCGTCTGCCGTTCTCTGTGCAGAAACGCGTGCTTTCTGGCACACGTCTTTTCCCTATACCCTTCCCTTTCCTCCTTGACATCAGCTTTGCGCAGAGGCGATAACGTGACCAATGAGGCCTAGCCGAGGTGCGTTTATTGCTGGTTGAAAACTGATACCAATTACCCGTCGCTTTCTGCCCTGAAATACGGGTGTTAGCGCAATTTTTGGAAGGCCCAAGGGGCCAGACGTTGAACGGATGCAGAATTTCAATCCTTTAGAAAGGCGAAGCAGCTGATTCAACGCTAGATTGGAGTTTTTCAAAGAACGCTCCAATCAGCTCAAGGCCCTAGGGGCCAAAAAATGAATAAAGACTAGAAAGCTATATCCTTAGCTATTTTTTTAGCACCGACGAAGTAACTTCTTCGATACAACAATGATCCCAAGCCTCATAGAAAAGACTTTCTTTAAATAAATTCTTCATTCAAAGCGAATTTCCCTCTTATAACAGACTCATAATATCGTGCTGTATCGACTATAGCGACAGACTCATAATATCGATCAGCAATCGACTAGGAAAACTTTTTGAGTTTTAAGCTTTCGCAGAAGCAGAAGGGATTTGCTTTTGTTTGGGAGTTTCAAAAGGAATCATAGTGACATTGCAACTGCTCGGACAATGAAGAGAAAAAAACATTGGTTTCGACTTCTTTTTTCTTGAACTTGAAAGCCAAGGTTGATTTTGGCCCAAGGCTAACTTACAACCTTTAGTATCCTCAAGATTCAACATAATGCCACTGATCAACCATATTTCAGGCGGCCTACTCTATTTCAACTATTTCAACTCTTCTTCTTTTCTCCGACGAAAATTCTTCTGTGCAATCCCTCCAACTCCGAACACAAAGCATTTTCAAGCTAAAACAATCCATTTTCACCCTTCAATTCATTTTTCTGTTTTGTTGTTTTCCCTCTTATCAAATTTCAATTTTCCTTTCCCCAATGAGAATCGTTTCTATTTGTGCAAATTCCTTTCCAATCTTTTCATTTTTTGAGAAAACTTTTCTTTTGAAAGTCTTGTGATTGTGCCCAATCGTTCAGTTTATTTGTTTTGAAACTTATGGTTTTTCACGCAAAAATCCTGAAAACATTCACTTCTCAACGTGGAGAGCATCGAAAATTTGCCGATTTTTTTCTAAATTTGAAATTTTTTATACAAAAAGCTGATTTTGTTGTGAGAAAAAAAGCTGACCGGTGATTGACGATCGGAAACTTTAAATGAAAAACGCTTTTTTAACAGCTTCTGCTCCAAATTTTTACTTTTTTTGAGCCTCAAAGCAATTTTTTCGAAATTCTCGATCACCAATTTCCCAGTTATACAAAATTCTTTTCAAATCATCTATTTTCTTTTTATTTTGTCCTAGTAGAGCTCTTCGATCGCAAGCTGAACCAAAAAAAAAACTCTGTGAGAACAGTTTTTTAACAAAATAAAATTCAAAACTTTGAACTTCTTTGAAATTGAAAATAAAAGTCCCGAAAACCTCATCGTTTTTCTCTATTTTTTTTTCCGTTTTCCTCATCGTGTGTCTGAAATTTTAAAAATAAAAAATAAAAACCTCGAATCTTTCATCGTTTTCTTTAAGAAAGCAATAGAAAATGAAAAACAAAAATGTAGAAAAAGAAAGTGAAAAGTTAGAGGAAAATGAGTATATCAAGTAAGGTGTATTTACATTTTTTTTGAAGCATAAAGTACAGAATAAAAAACAATTTTAACAAAAGACAAACAAACAAAATAAACAAAATTAGATTCAATTTTTCACCCAAATAATCAACGATACATAAACAAAGGTTCAATCAAATCATAGAAAGATTTTCAAAGCGTACAAGATTTTATTGTAAATATTTTCAAATGATAGATTCATAGAAGCAATTGCACTCTCTCTTCATCGAAGAGAGAGTCCAATTGCTTCTATGAATCTACTTTTTCTTTGTGAATTCACTAAACCTCATCTGAAACAGTTGAGGGGGAAATTCCCAAAAAAAAAACCCGCAACACTTCATCAACTTTATCAAGTTTCTGTTGAGTATTGATTTCTGAACTACATCAGTTTCCGCAACTAGCGACAATTCCAATTCTTGAGATCTCAAGGTATAGGTGGGTATACAACTATAGCATAATGACTGCTTTTAAAGTAGTGATTCTGGATTTTGATCAAATAGTGATTCAGATGAACAATCGTTAACAAAGTTGATCATTTGGTTCAATTCGACTGTTGAATCTTCACTTGCTTTACGTTTTCCAAATCTCATTTTCCTTACTCTTTCCAAAGCTGACAGTTTTTTTGGTTTTTGCACAAAAAACTTGTTCTCTTCAGGTATTACTTGCGCATTTTCATCGAATTGAACTTTTTTTTCCATTTTTTCTTGAATCGAGTTCAACCAGTTCAACCGTGGTATAGCGTATCGATAATCGGTTAAGCTTTTCGAATTATGAACTACAAGGTCTTCTGATTTTCTGTGGTCTTCAATTCGACTTGTTGTTTGTTCTTGTTCATCCATTTCAATGACACTGCATATTTTTGAAGTGAACCAGTCCATCATCGGCATTTTCTCCATTTCGATCTCCTCACCCGATTTTCCCTTTTGACTTCTCCAATTCAACTCATCAGAGAATGTTTCCCATTCTGAAGTGTTCGTTCTTGGTTTAAAATCTTCTTTCTCATCATCGTATGTGCGATTTAGAGTCAGATCGAGTTTAGGACACTTTTTTAAATATTCTTTCCAGAGAAATTGTGGCAAAGTCAACCTTTCATACGGGTTTTCGGCGCTTGTGATGTAGCCAAGCCGAAAATCATCTACACTCACTTCATAATCGAGATCAAGATCCTCAGAATACTGTCTAGGCAGATGCGGTGTTGAAATCGTTTCCATTATCTTGAAATGAAGTAGAGCTCTCTCGTAAGCGAATTTCTTGTCTTTTAGACTTTTCACTTTAATCATTCCGGCTGGTGACAATAAAACGATTGACAAAATTGAAGCGATTAAGAAGAAATGACCGATTTCTTCCAAATCGAATCGATTCTCTTTGAGAGCTCGATCAAGGAAAACAGCTCCCAGGATGGCCTGAAAACCAATGATAATCAAAATGTATTAGTGCTAATCTGCTGCTAAACATGAGCGGCTGATTAGTTTTCACTCTGGACATGTTATGCTTGACATTTTGGCATAAGTTTCTTTCATTTCAACTCATCACTAGATAAAACTACTGTTTTGCACTCTCTCACCTGTGGGGTCGCTTTTGGCAACAATAAGAAAACGAATAGAAGTTTCCGCGTTCCAACAATTGGTCTTCTCGCAAAAAGGGTTAAGATTAATTTGATGAATAAAATAATCGCAAAGAGTGTGATTAGATAGAAAAGTCTCGCTAAAAGTTAAAGACCATCTGGTATAGACCGAGATTTTAAACTTACGTTCCCCATACATTCTAATGACCATCTCAAAACTTAAATGGAATCCAAGTAAACCAAAAAGAAGCGGTACAAGGAAAAATGTACACAGAAGGGAAAGTTGGGTTTTCACGCGAGCGTAGATCTGAAAACTTTTACAGAAATTATTTTGTAGCCTTTTTACCGTATTTTATCAAAATGTTTTTATCAAAAAGGCTTTTTATTTGTCTTTGCTAAAGGTGTGAGTATTCATTTTATGAAGCGTTTCAATGGGTCACAAATGACTCAGAGTCAAGCTCACTGTACTTTACTTATCAGTGTACTTTACTGAATGAACAATATTAGTTAACTAGCCAGATTCAACATCAGAATTTGAACAATTCCAAGAAACACCCAGCAACTCACATGATTTCTCTTTTTCTTCATCGTGATCCTCGAAAATAATCCAAAAAAGAAAACGGCAATCGGCCCGAAAACAAAACATCCAATCATTTCTCCAGAGATTAGCAAAGAAAACGATCCAGTCAGAATTAGAACCGTCGAAAGAATCGAGGATTTGAGAAACGAGATCCGATCTTCATCCTCAGTTTTCGAGTAGTCAAAGTAGCGACGCTGTTCGGAGCAGTAACGGATCATAAAGCCTACTTGGAATTGAAATTTTGAATTAGGCAAGTATTTACCTCCAAACAGTCCAGCCAAGAATCCAAAGAAAATCTCGAATGGCAATGGGATTAGAACCGCTTGAAAACAGTCTTCTTTTGCGAAAACAAACCGAAGCGTGGTCCTGGGATTCTTTTTTTTTGAACTTTTTAGTGCAAGAGTTACTTACATAAAAGTGCATATTGATACCATTTCACTCAACGCTCCACCCACTTTCAAAACCGATCGAAGAGTTTCAAGAATTTCGTGTAATTGATCTTTAAGAGAATCGGGAAAGCTCTCCTTGTTTACTGGATACAAAATTGAGTAAGTATTTTAAGATTCAGTCACCATCATCGGTGATTCGTTGAGTCCATCCATCGACAACAAGAGGTGAGGCTCCGCTCAAGAGACTTCCTGGAGTGAAATTGAAGTTATTTCTTGCTTTTTTTGTCATATTGGATTGGTGAATTGAAAAATGCCGACTATTTCGCGGGACTCGCAGGTAAAAAAACAACAGCATTGACCCAGCTGAAAGGGGGTTTGGTTACTTGAACATTTCCTCTAATTATTGCGAAAAAATTATGCTTTCAGCTTTTTATTTTTTGGTATTTTTCTTCACTTCTATTGCACTTGACAATCTGCCACCGGGACATATTCGTCATGTCATGCTCATGAGTTCCTACAAGAGCACAGTGCAGGCTTGGCAGCTGCTAATATTAAAAAGATATATGGGGAGAACTCACCTTTCGAAAGAACGTGTCGAGTATGGTTTGCCAAGTCTCGATCTGGGGACAAATCTTTGAAAGATGCAGAGGGCCGTGGAGCGGCACTCCAACTGGATGATTCCAAATTACTCGAACTCATTACCAACGACAATCGGGTATCATCGCGTGAATTTGGAGAAGAGTTAGGGGTTGATTATGCTACAGTGCTAAGGCACCTTCATACCCTTGGATTTAAATCGAAACTTGGGGCTTGGGTACCCCATGACCTCACTGACCCCCAGAAGTGACAGCGCACCTCCATCAGTGCCGCTCATCTCTCACGATACGAAAGGAAATCCTTTCTTCTTCGAATTGTGACAGGAGATGAGAAATGGGTTTTATCTGTGAACTTTCGGAGGAAGCGGCAATGGGTGGGGCCAGGCGAGAAACCCGAAAGTGACCCCAAGCCCGATTTGCACCAGAAGAAGTGTATGCTCTGTGTTTTCTGGGATATGGAGGGAGTGGTGTACTGGAAGTTGCTGGATAGCAAGACGACCCTTAATGCAATCAAATAAAGTGAACAGTTGGAAAAGGTGAATGAATCCCTAAAGAAGAATAGGCCCTCCAAGTCAAAGATCGTGCTCCTTCACGACAACGCGCGCCCTCATGTTGAAAAACTGACTCGCTCTAAAATAAATAGCCTTGTTTGGGAACTTTTGGCGCATCCCCATACAGTCCGAACCTCGCCCCTTTTGATTACTATTTATTCCGGATCATGAGTAATGAGCTTGCGGGAGAACACTTCGATTCGGAAGAGACAGTCAAAAATTGGCTTTGAAAGTTTTTCGATTCAAAACCAAAATCCTACTACGAAAGAGGAATCCACAAATTGCCTGTAAAATGGGTAGAAATCGTCAATAATAATGGAAATTATTTGGAATGAATTCATGGTTTTATGTTGAAGAAATTTTAATTTAAAGTCCGGCAGTTTTCAATGCACCAACCCATTAATTAAATCCACTCACCTAAAGCCAATCCAATCAACCAATTGTAATCGAGAATGAAAACCGAAAACAAACAAATTACCATAATTTCTCCAATCACAAGCAAAACAATTATAGAGAAAAGAGAAAACTGAAAAAAACAAACAACTTTTGCTCATAAAAAGATTTTCCTACCCTCATCTTAACTAAATTCTTGACTTCAATTGAAAAACCGCTTCGAAAAATGATCAAAATGTAGGCAAGCTTTTGAAAAAAGGCCGATGTCTCCGAGTCGACCAGGAAAAATTCGTCAAGTAGTGGAGAATTTAAAAAGATTCCGACAAGGATCATTCCTGAAACGTACAACTTGCTAAAAGATTGCTTTTAGTTGTTTGTTTGGGATTTTGCCTGCTTTTGAGTTTACTTTCATTTCTAATTTCAAGGGCTTCAGGCTCTATTTTGGTCAATCTATTCTATAATAATTTAGTATCAAAAAATCTTCGAATTCTTGCTTAGGTCATTTTCCTTTTGGCTTCTCGTTATCAGAACACACATTTAAATAAAAAAATGTCGTAATTCTTGTTCAAATCTTTCAGCCTTTTTAGGCTAAAAAATTTGTTTTTTTCATTTTTAGACGGTCAGATTAGAAAGCAAAGCTCAGTTTTTCGCCTCGCAACGCTTTTCAAAAACCGTTCAACTCACCACCAATTGCTAAAACTTTTGGCAAAAAGTATGCTGTTAGATAGAAACATGGCAGTAGAATCGATATTGATATCAATGAGTCAGATCTTGTATCATTTAAACCACTTTGAACAGTTTTCTTTCGAAAAATATCAATCGGATTTCTTTCAGATAATAAACAAATGCAAATGAATAGAACTGCTGACAGTAGATTGAATTTGACAGCTTTTTGAAAGAGATCGCGTAATTTTTGCTTGAGTTCATGAAGCATGAGCATAAAAGGAGAAAAGTGTTGTGTGTGAGCTTTACGAAAAAAACGATAACTCTTATCAGTTAGCTTTTTTGGAAAAAAGAAAGAAATTGTGGAGAAACGATTTTGAGGTATAAAAAATAGTTGTTTAAAAGCGAAAATATTCCTATCACACAATTTAAACTTTACCTAGAAGATATTGATTTCTTAACGAATGACACCAAAAAACTGATAGCTTGATTGCTGTAGTTTTCAAAAAAAAGGTGCTCTTTAGAAGATGGATTAGTCTTTACTTGTGAGACAAAAATATTTTACTCGTTTTTTTTGCATTTCATTGGTATTTTCTCTCATAGATTTTATGGAATTTATAACTTTTATAACTTTGCTGGATAAAAAGTTTCATTACTGAATTGACAATGAATGAAAATACACCTTTAATTATCTAAGTGAGAAGGTTTAAAAGAGGAGGTAAAATAGCCAAAAATGTGTGCCTTTTATAGAAAAAGACATTATTATTAATAACAGTTCAAATGAAATGCACATTTGCTAAAAACTCTAAATAATCATGGTAAAGTTAGCCAAAAAAGAAATTTACGGTTGGAATTTGTCGAACATTCTTGTTTGTTTTTGTTTTGGAATTGGTTAACAAGTTTATTCACAAAATTAAGTCAAAGATGTGAAGCAATGACCAAAAGATCTCACAGCTCACAAATCAAAATGATACGTGAAAGGGGAAATCTATGGTTGGAATTTGCCCAACTTGGCAAGGCAAGTAGTGTTTGAAAGTGACAAAGAAGAAGAGGTACCATTTTTGCAGAATTCTTTTTTTGAACTATGTAAAATATCCCTGGTACAGATGAAAAATCCAATCGGCGAAGGAGAAGCTGGCACATAAAGCCTGAATTCGCCGTGGAATGCTGCAATGAAACTGGTTGGCAAACAACTGGATGGATCCATGTTGAATACAATTGGATGGATAGAAATTGTGGTAAAACAAAGAAAATGAGAAGAATCGAGTGGGAAAGCGATTTGGAAAGGATCATCAGGGAAAGTTTGTTTTTAAATTTAGAATCCTGAATTCGGAAAAGCTTTCAAATTTTCCCAAGTTGCCGGTGAAATGATTGGCGATTTATGGTGATTCGATGTAATTATTTGAGATTTTTCGATCTCTTTTCAAATGTCTTTATTGAAGAATGAATATTTTACAAAAATATACATAGGCTTTTTGGGAAAAGCCCGAAAAACGATTAGGTTCATTGCAGTGACATTGCAAGGATAGAAAAACTCCATACCGCAAATACTGTAATTGAAGGGCCCACAAAATTGGGTGGCCCAAAAAGTCACTACTTTTGAAAAAGAGTTTGACTGAAAAGTGCTTAGAAGTGTACTTGACTTGACTGAAAAGTGTATATGAGCCATCTGTATAATCTAAAATGGTTGGCAGTAAAGTTTAAAAAGGATCTAAAACCTAAAAAAAATTGTACAGGTATCATTTTTTTAGTCTGCCTTCCAGGGGTCAAGGCTGTAAAAATTTTTCTTGTTTTAAACATGTTTTTCGTTCATTTTAGAGCATTCTCAATCGAGTTAGAGTGATTTTAAAAGTTTTTTTAGAATTTTATATGGTCCCTCTTTATGTGTCTTTTTCGGGGAGTCCGAAAATGGATAGGGGAAAAATAGAAGCGCATTTACAATCACAGTATTTACAATTTTTCCTTTTTAGTTTTATTTTGAAGTCTAAATTACAGTTTACCCCAATTGTTTAAATTACAGTTTACCCCAATGGCAAATTGGCTTTCGAACTTGCTTTTACCGGCTCCAAAAGCAATAAAAATGACTAGCTCCAATCGATTCCCGGATCCCGAAAACCCCCGCGTACAAATTCATAGCTGAATTTCTTCTTTTTGTGCCATCCACAAAGCAAAAAAGAAATTCCTTTGTTTCAAAGAAAATGCTGATAAAAAGCTTCATTTGCTCGGAAAATCTCGCAATGAGAGCTCTCAATTTTTTCATATTTGTTAGCTTTTTCTATTCAACTTCCTCGTTTTCATGTCCAAATGGGTACATTCAAATACCAAATGAACACAAATGCGTTTATGCACAAAATAACTGTAAATTTGGATACTCTATAAAGCAAATCCAAATTTATAGCTCAATATTATCCACGAGCTGTTCGAGAGTGTAATAAACTTGGTGGTGATGTGGTGAAAATCGAGAACATTTTCGAGAATTCGATACTTTTCGGATTACTGGGAGAATGTACAAAAGAAAATGTTCTTGAAATTTCAAATTTTTCATAGATTTTAACGAAGCTGCCGCATACATTGGCGTTGAAAAGTTACCGAACGGAACGTGGGTTTATTCGGACGGAGCACGGCTCACTTACACAAATTGGGCTCCAGGTTTGAGCTGTTTGAGTAAGGATGGGAAAAATGATTTCAAACATTCACCACAAATATTTACATTTTTTAGGGCAACCAACGAGCACGATCAATGCGACAATTTGTGCAATAATTGACCCTCAAACGGCTCAATGGAGAGCAGCTGAATGCTCAATTGCGAGACCATTCTATTGTCAAATTGATGGAAATCGTTTGCTTATATGAAAAAATAGATTTCTAAAGAAATTCTAGAGGCCGAATGCGATCCGGGATGGGTTTATTTTGATAAAACTGACAGCTGTTACTATTTACATGTGAGTTTTAACCGATATAAACCGATATAAACTTTCTATTAGGTGGAGTACTAATTCTTGATATTCTTGATCTTCTTGATATTCTTGATATTCTTGATCTTCTTGATATTCTTGATCTTCTTGATCTTCTTGATATTCTTGATATTCTTGATCTTCTTGATATTCTTGATCTTCTTGATATTCTTGATATTCTTGATCTTCTTGATCTTCTTGATATTCTTGATCTTCTTGATATTCTTGATATTCTTGATATTTTTCATCTTCTTCATCTAATAAAAAATTCTCTCCAGAATTTCACTTTACAAGATGGTTTCCATTGGCAACTTTATTCGTGGGACGATGCAGAAGGGAATTGCCGTCAAATGAACAGTCATCTTATATCGATTCACACAACAGATGAAGATGAATTCGTTTATGGTGATTTTAAAAGAATTCTTGGTACTTTTCGGTTATACCCCCGCCACCAAAACAAATGTTTCCTTGCTGAAGTGGCTAATCGGAGTACCAAGACGCTTATTGACAAGCTTTTGGAATTTATCCCCCACATCGATGATTTGCAGGTTACTGACGTTAAAGACCTCTGCCCAAGTGACATCAGGCTAGGCTAAATTCATAAATACGCGCATTGATGCATGGGGGGAGCGCTAACCGCATAGTACCGTTTTTTAAAATTTTGGAGTGGCGGAGGTATCACCGAAGTGGAAAGGTGGCGGGGTTTTTAGAGACTTTTCTTTTTTCTTTTTTTAGAGAGTTTTTAGAGACTTTTCTTTCAGAACTTTCAAACTTTCAGAGACGGAGACTTTTCAGGGTTCAGGAATTTGGAAAGCATGTTTAGAAGGAAATAATTCAAAACCGAAAAGTATCGAATTCTTCATTTATTTATATCTTAGATCTTGTTCACACAACTTTTCCCGCCGATCCAAACCCCGATCCGGCTCCAACCGATCAAAATTTTGAAGTATACAATTGGGTTTGGATTGGGTTGAATGCCCAGGGAATTGTTGGGAAAGATTATTGGATTGACGCGACTTTACTTGATTATTTTGGCAATTGGACATTTTCGCTTCCAGAAAGCATCCAACCATGGGCGGTAAAATGTATAATTTGAATAAAGACAATAAAACCTAGATTCGCAATGATCCATTTATGCCAGTTGCACCGAGAAATTGGGCCTGGCTCTGGAGGAATGCACCTCGATTTATTTGCAAGAAAGCGCCTGGCAAATAGCTATGAAAAATGATTGGCACTTTGAAGCAATAAATAATTGTATTTGAAAATATCGTGTTTGTCAACATGTACATGTATCAGATGTCAGAAATTGTTAAGTCTTTTCAGGGATTTGGAAATCATGTTTAGAAGGAAATAATTTCAAAAGAGAATCCAAAAAACTGGTGAAAAGGAAATGACTCAAATATTTGCTCTTGGCTGACTATTTTAGCACTAGTTACCCATAGGCAAATGATTTTCGTGAAAAAGCGCTTTCTCTCTCTCTCGTACATTTTCTTTGTCTCTTTTTATCTAACGTAAGCTTTATTCTTTGTAAATATTGATTTGAAACAATATTTTTCATATATTTATCAATCCTCTTACCAATTACCTTAAAAATGCCTTCCCCATTCGCCCTCTTAACTCTTCCAAAACAATTAAGATTGCAAGTTTTCTCTCACACAAAACCCGATCAATCATTGATGAAAGTGAATAAAGAATTGAGAGGATATTTGCAGAGAAATCGATTATTCCCGAGAAAAATCCTGCAATTGAGATTCTGGATCGGTGAAAGTGTTTCAACGTCTCAATCACTTATACAACTCCGTGTTATGCTTTGGCCATTTCCCGTGGAGTTCATTTTCGACAACCATGGAATCAGCTTGTGCAAACTTGAAGCTACAAAACCGATCGATGTAAAAAATGAAACATTGGGAACAATTTATGATGTGGAAGGTTTCAATTGTTCTCGAACAATAAGGCCGAAAACGGCCACAAAATCTGCGCATCGTTACCCAATTGAAAGAGATGATTCAGATGATTCAGAGTCGACAACGAAGAATCAAATTGCTATTGTGCCACGTCGTCTTCGGCCAATAGATCAAGGGAAATATCCAATTGCTTTTCATTCAACTTTCTTCAAGGCAATTGCTAAAATTCGAGCTCGATATATTCACATAGAAATTGGAAATTCGTCGGCCAATAGCATCACAATGACTCGAGAAAAACAAAACGAAATCAATGAAAAAATGGCTCAACTTGAGGAAATTTATCCAAACTACCCCGTTGAACAGTTGAAATTCGTCTTCTCGCCGTTTTATCCAATGACTCAATTGTCTAATCTTTTTGCGAGATCTTCCACGAAACTCACTTGTATCATCGATTCGATAAATTCCGATAGGGAAACGGAGGAATCACTGGGTGAATGCATTCAAAGTATCGATTTGAATCAAGACTGTCACTTGTTTGCCTTAAATGCTCCAATCGATGTTCTCATCGAAAATGTTTCGAAAATTCCATCTTTCATTAAAATAGTCAATCTCAGTACGGAATTTATCAATTCTCCATCAGTATTTTCTCAAATTGTCAAGAAAACTTTGGAAAAGGGTTCAATTTTCGTTTTCTCTTCAGATTTTAACAATGAAGAGGCTCAAGATTTTTATAAAGAAATGAAGAATTCTATTTCAAGAATTGGGAATCTTCTTCAATACGAAAGAGAATCGAAAGTCGGAAAAAAGTTTGAGAATTTTCTTGAAAAGGAAAATTTTGAAGGAAAACTTTGGAAATATTTGGATTCAAAAAACTCGAAATTTATCGTAGAGAAAGATTATTTCAAATTCAATTTCTCGGCAAGTCAATCCCGTGTTCTGATGACTGTTCTCTGTCGCCACAAATATTTCGAGGAAGAGCTCAATTTCGCCTGTGTGATGAAAACATTTGCGAATTCTGAAGTTGGAGAGTTTTTGGTTGAATGATGAACTATTTGATGGCCGAAAAGCTGTATTTTGTTATCTTTAAATATCAGAATTCATTTATTTGCATCATTTTTCTCCAACTTCTTCAATAAGCAAGTAATCTTTTTACGATAAAAAGTAAATCAAACACTTTTCAGAAGAAATAATTTACTCTGAATTGTCAATCAAAAACTTTGCACTCTCGAATGAAGCCTATCGTCATCAAACGCCCAAAATCATCAAGTTTCTTTAAAAGAAAATCTTCAATTTAAAGCGGATTTGTAAAGATCCTAAACTTTCAACTTTTCTAAGCTTAAATTTTTTGTTCCTTTATTATGAATAAACAATTTTAATCTAAACAAGAACAGAAACCACATTTCAAAATCAAAAATTTCAAAGGCTTTTTCTGGAGATCCGGCAGACCATTTTTCTGTGCCACTCTTTGCCAAAATCTTGCCGTAAGCACATTTTTTTACACAAAATCGAAAGATTTGAATCGTTTTCTAAAACATTTTCTTCTTTTTTCTTCATTCTTCTTCATTTTCTTAATTCAATGATATATCAGTTTTGAGAAGGAATCTAATTTGGCAAAAATATCAGGAAAATAGGGGGCAATTGAATGAAAAAGACGCGAAAATTCTATCGAAAAAGATTGGAGTGAGAGCACATGAGGTGAGTTGCTTTTAAAATCACGGGGAAGCTAAATTAAATCCGTTGAAAGGTATGGTAAATCCATTGAGAAATTCAGATTCCCACAATTTACAAATATCAACTCGACAAGCAGAACACAATCAACAAGATTATTTGTTATAAAGTCAAGGAGGACTTTCTTGATTTTTTTAGTCATGACGATCAAGGTTGTAGTAAAGCCGGGGAAAAGAAAATGGCGATTATTGCAACATGGATGCAATCTCGATGTGAAATGGTTGAAATTATTCAATGATTTTGAGGTATTTCTGTCAACGAATTCTCTTTTTTTTGTAGTCATTGTTGAAAATAAAGATTGCAATATTTACAGTACAAAGAAAAAGTGTGACGCTCAGATTTGTATTATTAAATAGTGATCTTTTATAAGAAAATGTTTGATTCTTTGGTAAAAACGACTGATAAATGAATGTTTTTGAAAAAAAGAAAATTATCTATAAAGCTTTTCCAATGAGTATTATAAAAACCAATTTTTCATCTGAAATAATCATATTTGAAGCTTTGCGTGACTCATTTCCTAAAAACCATTTGTTTTATTGGTTTGGCGATTGCAAAACTGTCGGCTATTGTCATATGTGACAGTTTGAGCACTTTCTTCAAAAGAAACCCATTTTGGTGTCAATGGAAAAGTTGTAGAGAATCAAAAATCAAGCTTATATCCAAATTTTCAGATCGATTCAAAGGCTGCTTTTCAAGAAATGCCAAATTTACGAATTTTCACAAAACTTGCATTTTAAGCGAAACTACTAAGTGTATCTTTTTGGAAATTTGGCTATAAGCCTAATTTTTGATTCTCTACAACTTTTCTATTGACACCAAAATTGGTTTCTTTTGAAGAAAGTGCTCAAACTGGAACATCTCCAGTCCTCCATTCTTGAGTCACACTTGTCTCACACACAAGCCAAAATCCTACTAAAAAAGAGGAATCCGCAAATTGCCTGTAAAATGGGCAGAAGTCGTCAATAATAATGGAAATTATTTCGAATGAATTCATGGTTTTATGTTGAATAAATTTTAGTTCAAAGTCCGGGAGCTTTCAATTCACCAACCCAATATATCACAAAACTTTTAGCGAGACTTTTTCCTTTTTTCATATGATTTTATTGCACTTTTCACGTTTGACGATGAGATGAGCATTTGGGCCACAAGACATTTAAAAAGAGATAAAGAAAAGGAAAAAGATGAAGGAAAGAATGGCTGTCATTTTCACGCCATGTGCTCAGACTCATTCTCAAGACAAGAGAAATAAAAGAAAAAAAAAACGGGATCACATTTGCACTTTTCCTCTCTTTTTCTCAATCTAATCCTTCAAATTGCTTTCCAATAGTGCCCATTTAATTGATCTCTTAAGCCTCAACTTCTTCTTTGATTTTTGCCATGTTTTATTTCAACAGTTTACCTGATTTTCTGAAAAACTCCATTCTTGAATCAGTGGAGATTCGAGATTCTTTGAAATTTCTACATGTTAACTCAAATTTGAGAGGATATGTGCTGTATCGTGGAGCGCTCAGCGGAAAGATCAAAGAGATCAATGTGAGCTCAGCTAATGAATATTTAAAAAGTGAAACGAATGAAGAGAATGAGATCCTTGTGCCAACAATCAAATTGGAAATCACCCCTTTGGCTGGGACTATCGTAATTTTTAGCTCGATGCAAAGCTCGAACTCGTACAAGATCGATGCAAGCTATGGGAAAATGTTTCAGAAAATTCGAATTATTGAAACGATTCAAGTCACATTGCCGATGGGATCGATTCCGGTTTCTCAGAAAAAAGCCATGAAATACTCGAATTTCGTCGATTTTCTCCCGAATCCCAAATATTTACGTAAATATTCTCTAAACATTAACAACTTCTCGATTTTTGAGAGAATTGCGGCTCGTCTGAATTCGAAAACTGAAGACACTTTTCGATTGATTTTGGTGAAAAACACTCTGCGTGATGAAGAGGAGCAAATTTTGGAGAAAAATCTAAACGAGAAGTTTCAAAGTTGTAAATCGATTCAGTTAAACATTCCGATTCGGCCATATTTGACTCAATTGTCGAATGACAATCTGGAATTGTTGGTGGAATATTGCGAGAAATGGGATCATTTCACGGCATCCATCGAACCACTGTTGAAATTTGGGATTTCCGACAGAATTGGAGTGGCTTTTTGCCTGAAAGAGGGGCCGTCAAGGTGGAATTCTGGGTTTGCAGCGGTGCAGAATTTTTTGTCGGAAAAACATGAAATGAATGCATTTCACGAGCACTCGATTGAGGCTATGGGTAATGAGAATAAACTTTTCTAAAGAAGAAAAGATTTAGAGTTGTTGCTGAAGTTCTTCGAGGGGACTGTGAAGAATCGCCTTTTGCTGGGGAAAGCGGTGCGACGGTTGGAATCAAAGGCTTGTTTCAGGTAGAAATCTTCTTTTTCAAGTATATCTCAACTCTAAAAAGCATTCAATGCAAATAAGGATATGAAAAAGTCCAAACTCGATCAAAATAAGTGATTGCATTTCTTTTAATCTTTTTTTTTGGCAAAATTTACGACCGGAATAAGGTAGATGATTCTATTTTTATCCTAAAGAAGTTTAATGAAAAATCCAGATTTAAATCTAGATTTAAATCTAGATTTGAATACATAGTTGAACTTCAATCGAAGTCAATTCTATCAATTTTTCCAGAAAAACTCTTTATTTATTTAATTCTTGACACCAATCAACTTTAATTTACGACCGGAATAAGGTAGATGATTCTATTTTTATCCTAAAGAAGTTTAATGAAAAATCTAGATTTAAATCTAGATTTAAAACTAGATTTGAATACATAGTTGAACTTAAATCAAAGCCAATTCTGTCAATTTTTCCAGAAAAACCCTTCTCGGTCGCCGTGGTGAACTGTTTGTGATGGCCTCCGTTCTTGACACCAATCAACTTTTCGTACTTTTGAGATGCAATCGAGAGAATATTATTGATCAACCATGAAACTAATCAAATTGTTCTTGAATTCAAATTTAAATTGAATACCTTCGATTTTCTAACTTTATTCAAACATTCTGAGGCTTATTTGGCTACAAATCGTTGTGATCTCTTCCCACTCGCTTAGCTTTTATTGATAGAATTTCTTAAGATGAATAAAGCCTTTTACACATTGTTTATTGTTTATTTCTCGTCTTTTTCTTCGGAGCAACCCTTCATTTTACAGCATAAAGCTTTAACCGGCTTAGTCAGACATCTTCTATCAGCTCATCCCCAATAACGACAACAATTCCACACTTGATCTCTAGGGATCGGTCTGAGTAGATCCTGGAAATGTTGTCTAAAGTTGGATGAACCAGTAAGGAAAAAGTACTTGACAGATTCGGTCAGATTGTTCAAAAAGCCTCGATTCCCAGGGATCAAAATCCGTTGCCGTAGTCGCTAAAACGCATTCATTTGGGTTTTGAAATTCCCCAACTTACAGCAAGTTTTTAGAGCTAGAAGAATGACTCACAGCATCATCTTTCAATATTTCAGGCAATTGGTTTACAATTTCAGATCGATTTAGCTGAAAATGGGCTAGGTAAATGGTGAATCTCAAAGAGGGAAGTGATTGACTATTTTGAGTATTTGTGAAAATTTGGAATCAAGACAAAACTTTTTAAAGTTGAAAGAATGAAGAGTCTGATTGGGTTAAAATTTGCCAAATCTAACATTTTACAAGCTTTTTTTTTGTTAGCATTCGCAGCAATTTATTTTTTTCTTGAGAAGCTATACATTTTTTAATTTTAATCTAACATCAAAATGTTTCCAAAGCTCATCATTAACTTTACGTGAAATATATAAAACATTTCGCTTGTCAGATCACCGAATTAAAAGGGTTTTGACAATGAATTATCAAAAAAGGAAAGGAAAGGGAAGAAAAAGAACGAGTAAAATGCGATAACGAAAATCAGTGCACAGAAGGCAATAAAACGTTTCCATTTTCGAAATGATTTTGTTCTTTTTGCGCTTTGATTGATTCAGATTTTGGCCATTTAGTCTTATTCAGAATTTTCAAGCTAAAATTATAACCGTTTAGTTGATTTACTCAATCCTTTCAAAAGATGCACCTTCCACATAAAGTCTTCGTTTACGGGACTCTCAAAACCGGAGAACCTAATTATTTTGTGATGTCAGAGACTGCAGGAAAACATGCATTTATAGGTAAATTATGAAAACTATCAAATTAATAGAAATCTTTAACTTTAATTCTTGTAGATAAAGGTCTCACCGTCACGAAGTATCCGCTAATCATCGCCTCGTCTTTCAACGTGCCGATGATCGTTTATGATCCAGGAAATGGAGATGTTAGTTTAAAAAACATTCAAAAACTTGAAATCTTGAATTATTCAAGACTTTATCCTTAAGAAATCCATAATCTTTTTTCATTTTAGCGAATCCATGGAGAAGTTTATGCAGTGGATGATGATCGGTTGAAAGCATTGGACAAGCTCGAGTGTCATCCAGAGGATTATCGACGTGAGATTGAAAAAGTAGAGTATTTGAGTCTAAGAAGAGTTAAGATAAGAATAATATTTAGATTGAGCTTTCCGATGGGACGATTATCGAGGCGTTGATGTACTCGGTGCACGATTGGAGTCCCGAGATTTTCGAGGTGAATTTGGGATTGATAAAGACTGTAAAACTGGCTTCAATCAAGATTATCAAATCAAGCGATAAATTGTTGTTGTCAAAAGGGTTTCTTTTCAAATCCTTTCGGCTAAATCATCATTTAAATCCTCTCCATTTCCTGATTGTCAAGGCCATCTCAGGCTTTTTCAAATCCCTTCTGTTTACAATCCCTTGGCTTTTTTCTTGACTCAATTTTCTGCACATTTGACAAAATTGGGTTTCATTCACACAAAGTCAAGGTCTTTGATAGTTTTTTTTTGATAGGACTGTAAAACTGGCTTCAATCAAGATTATCAAACCAAGCGATAGGTTGTTTTTGTCAAAAGGGTTTCTTTTCAAATCCTTTCGGCTAAATCATCATTTAAATCCTCAGTACTGGACAATGAAATATGATATTTGAAAAACGATCGTCACTTTCGCGCGTCTGTAACTCCCTTGTCTTTGAGTTTAAACTATTAGTGTTATACATTTTCTGAAAGCTCTTTTCAAGGGCTACACAATGGTAATATTAATATTTAGAAACACGGTAAAGACAAGAGAGTTACAGACGCGCGAAAGTGACGATCGTTTTTCAAATATCATATTTCATTGTCCAGTAGTGTATATCTTTTTTGAACATTTGATAGTTTTTTACTTTACAGGGTTGTGCTGGTCCATTCACCAGTTATACAAGCGCAGGATCGCATCAGAGACCGTACAGTGGAGAGTGGGTGGAAAACTTTCATTTCTTACTTCCTTTTTTAGTTATTCCGTTGAAGACACTCATCCCGAATTTGAATTTAAGCAATGGTTGAAGAGCAAAAAGAGATTATAATAATTATATTAGTTTTTGAAATGTTTTTCTTAAATAAATCTTGTTTTTGGATGTACAAAGAAGTATAATTTTTGAAGACGCAATTTAAATTTCAGTTTTTCTCGACTCTTTTTCCTTTAACGACTAAATAAAAGAATTTTTTCAATATTTATTGCATAAAATTGGTCAAAACTTAAAAAAAATTGAAACAATTTGTTGAATAATGTTTTACAGGTGTGTTGTACTGAGGATTTTATGGTTTTTAACTATAAATAACTAGTTAGTTGTTGAATTTAACTGCTTGATATGGGTAAATGTGTTCTGAATTGATGCAAAGAAGTTTGACGATAAAAACCTGGTGTTTTCTGAAGAAATTGTTGTTTTTTTGGATGTGGTTGATGGGATTTTGTGTGCAACGATTTCAAAGGCTAAATTTATCGTCGTAAAGTTAATCAAATTGAATCAAAAGACATTATTTTCTTCTCTTTTACACATTTTCCTTGTTAACCAATTGATACTTTGTTGAATTTATCGCTTGTTTTGGGCAATTCTTTGAATTTTCAAAGAGAATTTAGATACAATATTTTCTCTAATAGTAGTCCACCCCGGCGAGCCGAGTTGGTGATGATTTTACGGTTTCCAAGCTTTTGTAGAAGCTCAACACTCAAATCCCCCACTAGATCTCATCGTCAGCTACATTTTCCGACCCCACATCGATAGGTTCTGATAAGCGGTTTGCGAGATTTCGAGGAATTTAGGCGACGCTCAGAGTGCGCTCCTATTAGAGAGAATACGGGATTCGGCGATCAATGGATTCAGCTAAAACTATTGCAATCTAGAAATTAAATACCTGAGAAAGAGGTATCACCTCACAGATGTTACCGTAATCTGCCAAAGCTGCTTGCTCTATTCTTTTTCTCTCTAATAGCCGAGCCGAGTTGATGACTATTTTACAGTTTCTAAGTTTTCCCAGAAGCTCAACACTCAAATCCCCACTAGATCTCATCATCAGCTACATTTTCCGACCCCACATCGATAGGTTCTGATAAGCGCTTTTCGAGATTTCGAGGAATTTAGGCAAAGCTTAGGGTTCACTACTATTAGAGAAAATACGGTAGCATAGCATAGCATAGCAAAAAGCGCAACTAAAAGGAGAAAGTTTTTGAAAATTCAATCTAATGATGTTAAAAGGGGAAGAAGCCTGGCTCGATCTGATCCAAAAAAGACTTTTATGTGTGAAATTTGGAACTCAACTATAAATCGAACTCAAGTGATTGAAACAAAATCACAAACCGTTGATGATAAGAATAGAATAGATCGGAATGATGTTCATTTCTTCTCTCAGCGTCACAACATTCAGACACGGAGAATTACTGTTGACGAGCTAATCAAATGTTTTTTGTTTCAAAAAAGCCCCTAAATTAGGTTTTCTTCAAATTTACATTACCTAAAACGTGTCGTCTTTTAAAAACTACCGTAATCATGCCGTTTCAATCAATTCTCTTTGTTAACTTTTGCAGAACTAGACCAAATCAGTGGAAGACTACGGTAGGTTTTTGAAAGTTTATATTTTTTAGAAAATGCATTATTTGAAAAATACTTTTTTAGGCTTTACCATTTCCGATTCTTCACTTGACATCTCAGCTTCGAATTTCTCATTCAGATCTCTTCCGTTGCGTCAATGTTTCTGAAATTTCTTATTAGCCAAGCTATGGAAAGTATATTTGACAAAAAATATTTCTTAAAAACAAAATATAAAAGCTTTAAACAAATTTGCTTGTAGTTGTCTATGGATATCAGTTCGTTTCATTGCTTTGGAGTGGCACTTATTTTTTTTTTATGAGGAATTTCTTTGAGTCGACTTGTAAATAATAGAAGAAAATGTTCTGGAATCGGTGAATTCTTTTTTAGGAAATTCGAGTCAAACTTTTTCCGACAACTTTCTTTCCAATCTAATAAGACAATATATTAACCTAAGCTGAAAAACAACAATAAATCATAAAATCTACGCGTAATTTTACATAGAATAGAAGAACCATGGCATTTCTAATGACTTTAACAACCCTATCCGAACAAAAAATGCTATGCAGCAAGATGCATGCACGATGCACGAGTCCATTGCTTGATCTGGTAGAGCTTTCGTATCTGGTATCAAGAGATCAAGCTGATCAGAAGGGCTTTTGAGAAAAGCTATTGGTAAGTAAAGTCTAATGTTTGGTCTAGCTCAAAATCTATTAGGTTGAGTCCTAAGCCTTTCACACAAATTCATTTTCTAATTGAATAAGTCTCAAGCTACCAAATGAAATACAATTTTTTTCATTAGATAATCCAATCATTTCTCTTGCAAATTACTTTTGAAAATTTCTGAAAAGCATTGTTTTGAAGGTTTTTTATTAGCAATAAGCCGAGTGTTCAAGAACGACAAGGTCCGATGATGCGCTTTCGACCGTTTCTTTTAATGAAACCTATTTTGATGACAAAATAAAAAAGCTAGCAGATAAAAAGTTAGGTCTACAATCAAAATTTCAGAATAATCCATTTAGCAGTCTTCTTTGTGTTCAATATTTTTAAAAACACCAGCTTTTGTTCTCGCCGATTATTCTAAAATACTAAAAATTGTTTTAAAATGACAAAAAATAAATGATAAACATTTAAAATGAAAGAAATTGTTTAGTATTCTTGAGACTCGTTCTTTTTGATAATGAAATGAAGAGTGAAAGACCTAAGCTAGTCTGAATATGTTCCGGAAATTGACTAATGTATCTGCTTTGATCCGATCAGCTGAGGTACCTTTCTACTACTGTGAATGACATTACAAATGACTCAAATGTTTATCACTTTCACCGCACCCAATACAAAGAATAACCAACGTTTTCGTGAGTCATTTGATCTCATCTCAGCGGAAAGCTTCTGAAAAGAGAAATCTGAAGAAAAAGGCTGACAGATCGCGATCATTTGTCTAGAAATCTTTCTACTTTGTTCGTTTATCGCAAATTTTCGACCGCCCCCATCGACACAAAATGACAAAGGAATGGCTTTTAAAAGCTTCAAGGAAATGATAGTGTGTAGACTGAGTAAGAATGCTTTCAGCCGTCTTGTTCCTATTGCTTTCTGTGCATGCTTTGGCGGACACATGTCCACAAGGATCAATCGATTATGGCGATCGACAGGAGTGCATTTATCCAGTTAATTCAAGTTAGTCAAGAAATGCAAGAAAATTTTTCTTGAAATCAATCTTTATCTCAAGTTTAGACGGAAATTACACAATTGCCCGTCAAATTTGCCAAAATCTCAATGGTCAACTCATCAAAATCCGTGACATTTTTGAGAATGTCATGACGGGAACTGAAGCCGAAATGGGTAAGACTCGAAAATAGCCATTCTTCAGTGAATGAATATTAAAATGAATGATTTCTATTACAGCAATTGGCACCAATAGTCAATCGTTTATCGGAGTGATCAACACGCCCAACAACGTTTGGATTTACGATGACGGAACTCCGCTACAATATCAGAATTGGGCTCCAGGTAAAATGCTTTTACTCAAATTACTTTAAAAGCCGTTTTAGGACATCCACTCTCGAATGCAACGTGTGCCGTGCAAAGTTGTGCGAAGAACTATCAATGGACATCGGTTGGATGTGATGAGAGTTATACATTTATCTGTTCGATTCCTGAGACGACAACTTCAACCACAACAACGACAAAGACGACGACTACAACGACAACGACAACGACAACAACAACAACAACAACAACTACGATGACAACAACCACAACAACTACGACCACGACAACTACAACGACTACCACAATGAACCGTGAGTTATTTTGAAAAGAGATAAGACAAGTTAATCTTTAAAGGCTCATTGTCAGATTCCTTTCCATATTGTTTAACTAAAATTTAATCATAACCTTTTATAATAATTGTTTTATGTTTTGAGGTATTCAGTTAGCCCATAAATATATAAATCTGACTCTTAAATTTCAAGATTGACTCAATTCAAATAAATAATTCATTCAATTTAATATAAACTTGATTTAATCATCTTTTTAAAGATTTAGTTAATCAAATATTAATTCTTTGATTTCAATTGAATAACTGAATACGAAAAAACCCGTTTTCTTGTTTTTAAGCAGACTTTTTACTTCTTTATTCGTAAAAGCATGCTTTTTGTACCAGAAAAACCTTTTATAAATAAGGCTTACGTATTTCTTATCAAACTAGGAGTCGACACAAAAAAGAAGAAGAAGAAGGAAAGACTAATTTATCCGTCAAAAATCTCCCCTTTTCAGCTTGTTCATCGGCAGACGGTTGGGTGGCACGTGCTGGCTTTTGTTACTATTTTCATGTAAATTTACTTGTTATTTCACTTGATTTATCAAATCTTTTCTAGAATGCTCAACTTCAACTCAAAAAGCAGTCATTTAACCAAAGCGAAGCACAAAAAGCGTGTCGATCGAGAGGTGCTATGCTCGCTTCCGTTCACAGCGATGAGGAATTCAACTTTTTGAAAGGTGATCAAATGAAAGTAGTTTTAGAGGAAAAGAATTGTAAACAATTGATTCAGGCAACATTGCCACAAACTCCAAGAATCAACCGGATCTTTATTGCCAACGTGATCAAGCATTGATCGGATTGACATGTGTTTGGCCTGATGAACCGGCTTGGTTCGATAAAACGCCTTTCGATTATGATTTAACGAGAGGACAATGCAATCTTGGATATGCGGTAAGGTGAAAAGAAACAAGCGAACATAAATTTATGCAGTTAAAGGTTTAATTTGCTTATTAAAGCAATTCTCACTGGAAAATGTAATTTCTGATTGAGTTTGAATTTCCTTATGATATTTTTAGCAAACTTTTTGAATCAATTAACCTTACAACTATAAATAAGCTTAAACTTTTAAAGAGTGAAACAGTTTTGATTGAAATTTTCTCAATTTCTTGACACTACAAGGTTTTTAGATAATCAACGATGATCGTTGTGGTAGTGATGTCGATTATTGGGATGATTGGGCTGACGGAACTCTTTTCACTCGATATATTTGCAAGAAAGTTGACCCAAGAAGAAGCGCACCAAGTTCTAGACTGATTTTCGCTTAGAATCAATGAATTTATTTCTGTTGTTACCTTTAAAAAATTGCAATCCAATGTGAGTATTGAAAAAAATCTATTTACAAAAAGTTTTGTACTTCAGAACTTGAGCTTTCTCAAAAACTTCAAATTTCAAATCAAGCGATTTTTGAGGTGTTTTCATCAAAAACACTTTACTTTTCAGAAATCATAGCTTTGCACGAACACAAGGGCGTGAATAGGCAAAAAAAAACTATCAAAGACCTTGACTTTGTGTGAATGAAACCCAATTTTGTCAAATGTGCAGAAAATTGAGTCAAGAAAAAAAGCCAAGAGATTGTAAACAGAAGGGATTTGAAAAACCCTGAGATGGCCTTGACAATCAGGAAATGGAGAGGATTTAAATGATGATTTAGCAGAAAGGATTTAAAAAGAAACCCTTATGACAACAACAATTTATCGCTTGATTTGATAATCGTCCCATCGGAAAACTCAATCTGAATATTATTCTTATCTTGACTCTTCTTAGACCCAAATACTCTACTTTTTCAATCTCAATTCCAATTTTAATCCTCTGGATGACACTCCAGCTTGTCCAATTCTTTCATGGTTTCTGAAAAGTAAAGTGTTTTTGATGATAACAGCTCAAACATCGCTTGATTTGAAAAAAAGCCAAGGGATTGTAAACAGAAGGGATTTGAAAAAGCCTGAGATGACCTTGACAATCAGGAAATGGAGAGGATTTAAATGGTTATTTAGCAGAAAGGATTTGAAAAGAAACCCTTTTGACAACAACAACCTATCGCTTGATTTGATAATCGTTCCATCGGAAAACTCAATCTGAACCTGAATCTCAACAATCTATCCATTCTTTTCATATTTTGTGCTAGACTAAAGTTTGACTTAATCATTTTTGCAAAAACTTTTAGAGAATCAAATCAATCAAAATGCGTTTCCTGTTGTGCGTGTCGCTTTTTGCAGTCATCACTTTTGCAAAGAGAATGAAAAGAGAGGATATTTGTTCGCTTCCACCAGTGGTTGGATCATGCAGGTTAGTCATAAAAATTAAATACTTTTAATTAATTAAATACTATTTTCTAAAATGTCAAACCTTTTATAAACTACTGCACTTTTAGTCTTTTTTTAAGTGTTTTACATCTATTTTAATATCTATTTAATCTTTTCTCTGAAAATTTCCAAATTCCAGAGCCCTCTTTTCTCGTTACTATTACAATCCAACAAGCGGTCAATGTGAAACATTCTCTTATGGAGGATGTGATGGAAATGGGAACAATTTCAAGAGGCCGACCGAATGTGAAGATGCCTGTGTTAAGGTGGACTTTAATTCGAATAAACTTTAAACTTTAAAAAGCTTTAAAGCTAAAAACATCCTTTTGCATGTCTCTTACGACTTTTTAAGTACAATTTACTTGCTTACAAAGCTTTTTCAAAAAAATACTGCTTTGTGAAAAGTTCTGTCCACTCAAAGACCACTTTTATCATGTTTGATGAAGTTTCCATGACTTAAAACCTAAAAAATCAGATTTTTCAAGTATTTTTATGCTAGAAAATTGTTTTATATCGTCTATTTTACTTATATAGAAAATTTTATAGAACTTTTTATGGCAAGATTTGAGGTACTCTCTGGTCGCAGGCCAATAACTCTCCCAAAACACTTTTTTAAATGACTTATTTAGCTGTCCTACGGATCTTTTAGCATTATTTACATCTGGTCATAGTTTCGTAGGAAATTTTGGCTTTTACAATGCGGGTTTTTTTGAAAAGAGCTGACCAAAATTACATGAGACCTCAAAACTACACAAGTCGATCTGAAGAGGGACGTTAAATGGGGACGAGAATGTTCAAATGCAAATTCAAAACCGTAATAAATTATAACTAACTTTTTTTATAGCTAAATAGTTAGTAAAAGCTTTTGGAAATACCAAATTCTAATTTGCTACAAAGCTAGGAAAGCTATTTTGGCCTTCGACCCGAGGATACCCCAAATGTTGTCAGAAAAAGTTCTATAAAACCTTCTATATAAGTAAAATAGAAGATATAAAACAATTTTCTAGCATAAAAATACTTGAAAAATCTGATTTTTTAGGTTTTGAGTCTTGGAAACTTCATAAAACATCATAAAACTGGTAGTGGACAGAACTTTTCACATACGGCACTTTTGAAAATCTCGTTCACTATTGAAAACTAGAAACAAATTCCAGAAAACCGCTGCTGATTGTGCATTGCCACGAGAAGTCGGATCATGCAGGTGCTAAATTTAAACCTTTATACCCCTCAAAATCTTTCCAGAGCTCTCCTATCTCGTTTCTTTTACAATTCCGAGACAAAGAAGTGCGAATCGTTCAAATATGGCGGCTGCAAAGGGAATAAAAATAATTTCGCCAAAATCGACGACTGTCAAGCTCTTTGTGAGAGTAAATAAACAAAAAATGGGCATTATTATTTTGATAAAATGGCTGTCTTATGTTCCAATTGACCTGATTGAGCTTTTGTATTAAGTTGAAGTGTTTCGGTTGCTTTGGGTTTCTTTTGAATTGGTGAAACAAAGTAGCAAAAATTAAAATAGTAAAAAAATGGCATTCAGACATCCAAAGTTAGTAAGCAAATCCTTGACTCCTTTTCACAAAGAATGTTACTCAAGCAATTCTCAAATGGTTCAGCCATTTTCTACTTGCTTTTTTTGAAACCAAAACTAGAAGACAGAGTTTAAAAATCAATTAAGACGTGGCTGATTTGAGACAGTCGCTATTTGTTTGCATTGCCGATTTCGCATTTCGCATTCGCAAGAAGGAGCGCAAAGTGAACGGCGAGTAGATTCTTTTGACGCCTTTCACCACAAAGAAAATCGGGTATTATTAGACCAAAAAGGTGTGAGTCAAAATTTTCGTATAAAAGAGATCTATGACTTTGAAAGAAATGCACAGAGTTTTGTGTTATTTCGAATGAACCAAAGAATCGAATCCTTCTTGTTGCTCATCATTTTGCTGAGTCTTTATCTAGGATCATTGGTAACTTGTTTGACTAAAATTTTTCACTACAACTTTTGTAGGCTCATCCTGCTGATGATCAACGCAAAAAGCGCGAGGATTGCGGTTTCACTTGTGCAACATATTGGGCGTGTAAAACCACATCAAAGGGATTGGGCTCAATATCGCCGCCAGGACTCGCAAAAAACGCTATAAAAGGTATTGGACACCTTTGTCAAAAGGGTTCATGTAGCTGCTGAAAATAAACTTTTTATTTAAAAGTGATGCTACAGAACTCCTCAACAAGATAAACCTCGTTTACAATGTAATCCTCCATGTTGCTCATCATTTTGCTCAGTCTGTATCTAGGAGCAATAGAGAACTTGGTGAATATGACTTTTTAAAGATCATTTTGCTTGTTTGTTCAAATGATTTGAGAAAAGCTCATCAAAAAGCGAGTACAAATCGAAAAGAAAACAAAAATAAAGACTGTTGTGCAATTTAAACCAATTTAAAACAAAAATCAAAAACAAAAAGTTTATTTAAAAGACTCTATTTGAAGATTTTGGCAATAAAATGAGATTTTTAGAGAGAAATGATTCATGCCAACAAGATCAAAGATCAAAAGATCAAAGAAAACAAGATCCCTTAAGTGTCGAAGAGTTCGATCAAGATGAGATTCAGTGAGTGAGCCAACAAAATAGGATTTATTGGATAATTGATCTAGATAAAAAGTATCTTCTTAGTGCTAAATTGGGCTCAGAAAAAGATTGCTAAAAAAAGAATAATAAATGTAGATTTATTCGACACGAATAATGAATTACAGCGCAACGGAGGAGATTTTTACCCCTAATTACCCCTATTGCCTAAATGTTGCTAAGAAAAAAAAAACCCATAATAAAACCTATAATAATGGGAAAAAGAACTAATCTTTCTAGCCGCCAGGATCGAACCCTTAACCCCCCGACTAGGAGAGAAGACTCCTATCCGGTTGGCTACGACGGCTATATAATCAAAAAAGAATAATTCTAATTCTATTGTTAAAAAGATTAGAAAATTTATTTCAACTCAATTTTAAAAAGCCAAAATTCACAACAACTATTCGAATTTCTGGATCAGTTTTGGAAACAAGAATGTTTTAGAAAGTCTTAGAAACAGGAAACAAGAACGAGAACGGGAGAATCTCATTCAACTTGCTTGATTGCTCTAAATTAAGCAAAATATTACCACCAAACAAATTCTGATTCTATTTTTGAACCAAGAACTACAAAGATTTAAATTTCCTTTAAAACAATAATCTTCAATCTTTCTGTACTGTTTTTCGAGCACTTTCCTTGTAATGATTTATTTGTGTTTCGCTTAAAAAGACTAAAACACTATGTAATTATTGGAAATTGTTCCTTTTTTGCCAATCCCTGCTCGGCTTTTCCACATTTATCCAAAACCAAAACTGTACTAGAAGATTTTCTTCTAGAAAATGGCCAACTCCACTCCTTTCTATGATGATCTTTTCACCACAACTGCTTCAGTTTTCCATACGAACAACTCAGCAGATGATTGGTCATTAACACAGTGTCAAGACTATAGTGGTTTTGCATTTTATCGAAATTATGGAGTCGCTTATACATGGGATGGGCTTCCGGTTAGATCTTCTGTGAAAGACGGTGTCAATGATTGGGTGGCTGGATCGCAAATTATGGTAAGCATTGGGCCTGAGCCTGAAATCCAAATAGTAAACCAATTTTGGTTCTTTTACAGCTTGCTTTGTTTGGAATAGTTCTGAATATCCATTGTGCTCGGGTTATCGTCAGAAATCCGAATATTTCCTGGCCTGTTCGATTCTATTTATTATTCGATTGCTTGAGTAGAGGCATTGATTCAATATGTTTCTTCTACAAATGTTATTGTCTTTTGACGTAAGAATTCTTTATATCCAACGACCGTAAAAGCTGTAATAGTAGCCCTAAGGGCACTATTTTTTCGATAGTACTTTTTGCCATTCACATAACCAAAATCGGAAAATATTAGATTATCACTCATTAAAGAAACAGTTTTCAATTATTTTATCTACAAAAACAAGTAAAATTCAACAAAAATTAGGAAAAAAAAAGAAGAAATTTAAAAATCTAGAACAACTAATATATCAGATTCAAATTCTTCCTCACATCTTTTGATTTCTTGATGAAAAGCGAGAAGATTTGCTGAAGTAAGAGGAACCAGAAGCACATCGACTTCTTTTTCGCCACGTGCATCCCTGAGTGACTGTAGTCCTGTAGGAAGCGGGTCATCGGGTTCAAAACAGTGAATCAGCACCACTTGGCACCACTTGGATCGATTCCAACACCACAGCTTTTGAGGGTTCGACGAATGACTTCTTCCGAAATTGAATCCCAAGCATCAGCAACCCATTTTAAGTAGATGTTCCAGGAGCCTTTGGGTTCCCACCTTTTGTGCGTTGCAGCAAAAGCTAATCCTTGTAAAACTGTCAAACCAGAGCCTTAAAAGGATTCCAAGCCACATCTGCACATTAAACAAACTTTGTAGTGCCTCCAGGAACAAAGAAACAATCCAATTGAAGCTGATTGAGCTTTTCCCTCGTCGATTCACTTTGATGAGAGGCTAAACGATCTCAAATCATCAATGTACGATCAGTTCCTGAAAAACCTAACCCCTTTGAGCGATCTCTCCAATATTTGCTTGTTATCTCACTATTGAACCATTTGACACAATATTTCGCTGAATATCCAAAGAGAGGTGCAAAATATTCAGCCAAAGGCAGATGCAAACTGGGGGGATATTATTAGAGGAGAGAGGCTACTATTAGAGGGCTATTATTACAGTTTTTACGGTATTCATTTTCTTCTAGTTGGGAGTGCGTGAACCCCTATGGTTCACCGTTATCTGGATTGATGATCAACAAAATCGTCACTTCTTTTTATTTGGCTATGATCTATTCAATGCAAATGATTGCAAATGGGCTTTGCACGAATCGGTTAGGGAATTGAATTACGAATAAATAGAAATAGTTTACTAAACTGGCTGAAAGCTGAAGTTTTGGCTATGATTTTTCTGGCTTTACAATTCTGACTTGTGAAACACAACTCAAACTATTAGTCTATGCAATCTTATATTCAGAATCTTTGCCGTTTTCTTTGATGGCCGATTCTACTCTAAAATGGAAAGAATAGCTCTCCCTCATTCACTCTTTTTATGGATCATCCCTGTTGTCATTTATTGTTATCAAATCGGTGACGGTTAGTGAAATCATCCGAAAAGTATTGTCAAAGAAAAGTACTTCTAGTTGTCAACGAGGAAACGGGTTTTGTTTGCTTTGGTTGCTGGTATTTCAGTCCATTGCATTATTGCACAACTTGTTTCTATTCATGGAACGATTTGGCCCAATGGTTTCTCAGTTATCTCGATAATGTCATGTACGGTTTATTCGGGGCAACTTTTGCTCTCGATTTGGTAACATTGTGGAAAGTTCGACAAATAGTGAGTTCTACTTTGTAAAACTGAACGATTATTTCCTTAATTTGTTTAAAGCACGTTGAAAGCTACCATAATCCAGTCATTAATTTATTCAATTTATCTCTTTTTGATTAGGAAAACTCTCAACAAGTATTGAATAAAAAAATAGAGTTAAAAAACTAAACGAGATTACGGTATTTCTCACAAATTAACACGTTTTAGGAGAACTTCAAACCAAAAATCGGGTAAAGAAATTGAAATTGAAAAGAAATTGAAAAGATATGTATCAAAAACGATTCAGATAATTGAACAAAACTGTTATTTGGTTCAAAAGAAGAATTGATTCAGCTGAATTGCTAAAATCGTACTTTAAAGTCTCTTAAAGTCAAAATTCAGACAAAACGATCGCCAACCAGTCGTCGAGCTGATGCCCGCTTATCAATAATGGTACGTTTTCATTGCAAATCTCATTCAAAACCTTCCCAGCTTGTCACCACTCATTTCATCACTGTCACTTATCTCATTGTTCACTATTCTCTGCAATATTTTTTCCAACAAGGTCTCCCCATTTTCTACTATTTACTCCTTGAGGTTTACCCCTTCACTTCACAATCATTTTTCGCGTGAGTTTATAGAAAATTTGTAATTGAAATTGTTTATTTAGGATCGTCATTTGGAGATTTATGATTCCACCAAAGGCTTTAAAAAAGTCTCCCAAAAATTTCAAATTCTATGCGTTGAAATTGAAATTTATTTGAAATCTCTTCTATGTCTTTAATCCCCTCGAGCTCAGAAATGTATTGAGTTTTTCTTCTTCGCTTGTGGACTCACATTTTTGTAATATCTTGCATTGAAAAGTCAAATGAAGAAAGTAGCATCTTTTGCTAAAGTTTGTTTCACAATTTGACAAAAATTCAGGACGAAGAGGGCTCATTTTTTCAGCTTTTAAATGAACCATTTCGATTGATCGAGGAATTTTTGAAATCGAATCAATAAAACAGTCAGCCGGTGTCTCCCAAATAAGCACTCAAGTTTTTGAAAAACTGTCAGAAAATGTTTGACATTCTCGGTGATTTCCTCTTTACTAAACATCAACTCAAGCTTTGTGAAAGTTCCAATGAAAAGTCGAGACAAAACTTTTATCAGAAAAGTCATTTTCACATTGAGATACAATTTCTCGAAGCGCAACGTAAATTTCACGCAAATTTTCTCGATTTGAGTCATCATTTCAACAATTTTCTCCTGTTCATTTGAGTCGATTGCAGAATTCATTAAAATTTTATGTGGTTGCATTTTAGATAAACCAGAAACGAGAATTAGCTTAGAAAACTCTTGACAATTCAAACTTAATCAAGCGTTTCAACGAAAAAATCTAGTCACTTTATAGTTTCATAGTACACTTGCCTATTTTCAATTCAATTCAATGATTTTTCTTGTGATTTGAAACAAACTCCAAGTCATCAACTCCAAGCTATCAGAAAGACTAGAAAAACCCCAAGAAATCGAAAGATTATAGCTTGTTAATCTTTCAAACGAAAGGAATGCTCGACGCTTAAAAAGGCTTGATTTTCGCGAAATTCTTATCAATTCCACACCTTTGCTATTCCGAAAACTTTCTAGAGAATGCCCAACTACAAGCTCACGTATTTTGACTTGAGAGGACGAGCTGAAGTAAATAAATATTCTAAAGTTTTATCTATTGACTTTAAAATCAAAAATTTGTTGTCATTGCCTATGATTTTAGATCCATCGTCAACTCTTTGCTTTGGCCGGTGTCCCCTATGTTGATAAACGGATCAAGCCCGAAGATTGGCCAACATTGAAGCCAAGTGAGTATCGAAAACATTTAAAAGCGCATTCTAAGTTCAAATTAAACATGCCAAACATTAAAAACACAATAGTCAATTAAAAAATCAGAATTACTGCATTAGATCAAGAATTTTTTCAGCAACCCCATTCGGCCAGCTTCCTTTGTTGGAAGTCGATGGAAAACCCATTCCCCAATCAATGGCAATCGCTCGTTTTTTGGCTAAGCGATTCGGTTAGAAATGACAAAATTCATAATCAATTGATTTCTCAGGTTTTGCTGGTGCCAACGATCTTGAGGAGGCTCAAATCGATGCTCTCGTCGATTTGTTGAATGACTATATGACTGAGCAAAAGCACTTCTTTGGGGTGCTTGTCGGACGAGTGCCTGGAGATAAGGTAGCTTTTCAATAGTGAATTTGGAACTTGGGTCTGATTTGGAATCATTAATCATTCCATTCAGGCAGCCGCCACCAAAGAGCTCTTCGAACCAGCCAGAGACAAGTACTTTCCACTTGTCATCGAGAAATACCTGAAGAAGAGCAAGAGCGGATTTCTGGTTAGTGCAACTCTATTTTAGACTGAAATGCTTTTTCACAACAACTAAACCCTTACAGGTTGGCTCAAAAGTCTCATGGGTTGACTTGCATCTCGCCGGCCACATCACCACCTATCAACAGCTCATCCCGGGAGCTTTTGACAAGTATCCAGAGGTGATTTTACTAGAAAATAGATATTTGGGTTAATTTCATAGCTTGTTTTGTATTTAGGTGATTGCCCATCGAGACCGAGTCGAGGCTCTGCCTGCAATCAAAGAATGGATCGCTAAACGGCCAAAGAGCAGCTACTAACGAACTCAAATTTTGTATTTTAAAATTATCTATTGACAATAAATCAATTTTTGCATTATCCAATTGATAAGATAAAATTCAGCATAGAAAGTGAACTAGGTCCGATTTTTGAATTCTCGATGTACTCGATGACTGTACACTTGGTCAAAGGTTGGAAACTTGGGATAAATTGGGTATTTGCAGAAAATATGACTGACAATGAGTAATATCCGCTGATTCACTCAATTTGTCATTTGGAGAATTTAAAGAGTTCCCGTTGATCTTTGCTCTCTTGATCCCAAAATAATTGAGTATAAAAGCTGCAACGTTGAACTTCATTAAACAAAAAGAATGCTCAAATCACTAATTTATTTCATTACTTTCTTACAGTCATATGCAAAAGTCTTTTAACACTCAATTTTCTAAAAGGTTTCATCGATTCTCTTTGATAAGCTATTGATAGTTTTATTTACACAAACGCTATCGCTATACAATACTTACTAATCGAGAAAAAATATAATTGTCAAAACATTTCTGAAGATCGTGGTGCAAAAGTCTTTTAGCACAAGACGAAATTAAGCTATAATCAATATTTTGTCGGCCTTCCTTTTGACAAAAGTACTTCTTCAATACGAGTAAGCATCGATGTAATTAACTCATCAAGTATTCCTGGTCCAATCGTTCTCCAGATTTTCTGATGTAAAACCATAGCACGACTTTAGAATTGAATCGTTTTCCTCACAACTTCGATTTCAAATAGGCCCATAAATTCTCGATAACACTTAAATCCTCGGTCATCCCACATCTGTGCACATTTCCAGACGCATTCGTTTTTTCCATAATAAGTGAAACGGTTGGGGGCGTACAACCGTTTCACGTCAACCGAGGTGAGCAACGTCTTGTCGTGGCATTCCTTGATCTCTTGCCTCGGCGATCATTTCTTTATCCGGAGTTGTCAAATCCGCTCCTGGCATCTAAAAAATTAAATAAGTAAATATGAAACGAACGAATCAGTATCCCGCACAAAATTATAAGACAAAGACTTTTGCATCACGATCTTCAGGAGTGTTTTGACAATTATATATTCTTTTCACGATGAATAAGTGTTTTATAGCGACAACCTTTGTGCAAATTTTGACGTGCGGTTTTAAGGGACTGGTGTGAAACCGACGCGGCGCTTTCTGAAGCGTGGATGCGCTACAGTATCCCGCACAAAATCCCCCTTTTGCCATTCTTTTCATTTTCCTCAACTCCATGATCCGGAAACTTTGTCCGGTTTTTACGCCGAATCCCGCTAAGTTTTCTTCCCCTTCGTAGAAACTATTATGTTTTTGTCGCGCGTTTTTAAAGTACTTTCTCCCTGGTTCGTTCCCTTCTTTTTTATATTGTTTGCCCAGCGTTTGTTGTTTAAAATTCTAATAGAGTTTTATTTCGTTTTCTTTTTGGCTTCTTCCACCCCATTGTTTTGAATCCGTTCCCACATGTCTTATAAACTCAACTTAACTAATTCCTTTTAACTAAAACGCAAATCTAAATATTTGTATGCTTTAAAGGGTATCTTTGCTTTTTAATCTGGAAAGTTTAAGCTGTGAAGGTTTTTTGGGTAAAATTTAGCTTTATCTACGTTTGATCGCTTCTAATTAGTTTTTTATACATTTCTCGTTGGTTTTATGGTTTATTGGAGTCATTTTTCATATCAAAAATGATTTATTGAACTGCTTGATACGATTTTTACAATGAAAAATTATTACTGCGCTAGATTAACCTCAAAAAGTGGTTTTGGTGACAAAAGTGACTTCAGTAAATCATACAAATGTCAATTCCAATAATGCCTTTTTATTTTCAGATACGGGAATGTCGGTTGCAACGATCGGTGATTTGCCGTTGGAGCTGGTTGAGAAGATCGCACGCCATCTCGATGTGAAAGACGTGCTGAGATTGGTGATGGTGAACAGGGGGCTCTACTCGACCTATGCAATGGATCAATCGATCGTTTTCGGAAAGCACGTCGCTGTGGTTGCCCTGGGACAGGACTCCGAACTAAAGAATTGGATGAAGAAGTTCGTGAATTCTCCGTCCTTTCAACTGAATGCAACTCGTCTTCCTTTCGCCAAACGAATCGATTCATGCGACGAGTTAAACGTCCATTTCGATGCCGACTGGACCGATGGAATGTTCTTAGGCCAGTTGAAATCCGTTAACCAACTCGTGTTCGTTGTTAACACGAAGGAAGATTGTCTGAAGTTCCTCACCAATTTTTGTGGATCGGTCAAAAAGAACGCAACACTAGACATCAACATCGGCTCATTTGAACAGGATCAAGTAATGAAAGAGCAACTCGGCAAATTCATCGAAAATCAATTGAATGAATGCGAGAAAATGATTTTGCCTTATTCGATGCAGAGTGCTCTGCCTCGTTGCTTCCATGAGGCCATGATGGAAACGCAAATCAAAATGCTTTCAATCGAGATTTGGCATTGGGAATTTGATCGAATGGTCGACTGGATTGTCAATCAAGGAATTCTAATTAAGAATTCTGAAGCTGTGATTCACATTGTAACGCAAAAGTGGTTTTCTTTCACCGGCTTTCACGCGATTTTCTTTCACCGGCTCAAGGACTTCAACGAGTCGATGACGGCGAAAATCACTCAGCACTCGTTTCTCGTGCAAACGAGCTTCTCAGGGGAAACGAAGTTCCACTGGTCTTTCCGTTCGACAAAAATAGTTCGTGTTTCCGCCGCCGAATCGACTCAACGACGAGTTGCATCTACGTGTTTCACAAGTTTGGATTGCAATTTTTGGCCTTCTACATGCCGTCTCAATGAATTATTCTCTCAAATCTGCTCTATATTTAGATCTTTTTGAATCTGTATTTTCTATTTTGAGTTTTTCCATTATTGCAATATGTTGTGTGCGTCAATGATTATTTGGCTCGCCTTTATTCCCCCCGCTAAAGCATATATCTACTATATAAATACAGTCTCTTGTATTTGGAATTTGTTGCCAAAGCATATCTGTGAAAATACTCTTGGCATCTAAAAAAATTAGTACCAGTAAATATTGAAACGAACGAAAATAATAATTTTTGCAAGTGTCAAAAGAATTGCACCACGATCTTCAGGAGTGTTTTGACAATTATATTTTTTTCGATGAATAAGTGTTGCATAGCGACAACGTTTATGTAAATAAATTTTATATATATTTGTGTAAATAAAGCTATTAATAGCTTAGAGAGCACAATGAACTTTATCAAAGAAATTGCTAGTATGAAAAGAAAAAGTCAAAACAAAGCGATAAGTTTTGTTTGCATATATTCCAGGAATGTTTTTGTGCAAAAATTATTGAGATTGATCAAGTCTACACAAACTAGTAGCGTTTTGAACAGACATAACTGATTTTTTTTAAGTTGACACACTATAGTGTGCACTTTCTACCGTAACCAAACAACAGAAAACAAGAAAAAGCCACTTTTTGAATCTTTTTTTATCTTTTTTGTTATTCTCCGTCCAAAGACGAACGCGGAGTCAAAGTTAAGTTTTTTATCGTAACATACTGCTAAACTCAACCGCTTCACAGTTCACTGTTTAAACTGTGAACTCTGTGACACTGTGACACTGTGACAAATCTCAACAACGTTCTGAATATCGGTTGATTTCGTCGTTGTCTCGTTCATCAAGATCAGATAATCTTCTAGATACAGATTTGAGAGTAGACTTGAGAAGTAAAAAACTTATGAACTTAAAAAGTTAAGTTTCAATTTTAAATTTAAATTAACAAATAAGCCGACCTTTTTCTTCAGTGATCAACATTTCCGAGACAAAAAAGAACGTTGAATCATTCAAACCGGTGGGTTTTCGTAGCTATATGGGAAAATAACTTTTTACATCTGATATTGACTATGTTATGACTTGCTCATCTTGAGCTAGCTAATGTAGTCCAAAGAAAATGAAAGCGTTTCTACAAAATTTCAAATAACAATGATCTAATATAGTATAACTGACTTGACTTTCGTCAAGTCAAGTCAGTTATACTATATTAGATCACTGTGACTTTCGCTTTTAAAAGTGTCCATCTACAAGAAATTTTTCCACAACTTGTATATTTACTGAAATTTTTTGAAATACAAGGATTTATGGAAAGAAAATTTCTGATCACAAAACGACAAGGATAAATTGCGTGTGATCTTTCGACTCTTTTTCGAGTACAAAAGCTTTCTCAAGTGTTCTTTGACTTTGATAATCTTCAGTTAATGACATACAATAAAAATTTTTATCGTTTTTGATTATGATGATTATGACTGATGAACAGAATTATGATGATGAGCAAAACGATTGTCACACACGCGTACCATGGCCATTTCGATCTTCTCTGAAAAACATTGTTAGTAAGTTTGGTATGATGATGGTATCTAGTAAATTAAAGTAAATTAGTAAGTTAATTTGTAATTTATTTTCTGCTTTGGTATGTAGACAAAGAAAAACAATGTACCGTGATTCTAATAGAAGCGCAGTTTCCAATAAAAGCAATAACTAGGGATATTCAGCTTAGTAGACTGAATATCCTGAGTTTTGAACCTTTAAGGATATATAAAGCTATTAGGTTGATGCATAAGTCTTTTCGTTTTTTTCGTACTTCTGTTAAAAAGTAACAAATTCACCAATTAATCTATAGTTTGCTCTATAAAAAAAGTGTTTTTTTGTTCAATTTGCATCTTTTTAAATGAATTTCGGTTTACTTTCAAGCAAATTCGAGAGTGAAAAACGCCTTTTTCGTAAAAATCTATAAAAAACTCTACGGAAAAATTGGCTGAATGAATTTCTCTGAAATCTTGGCGAAATATCAAACGTTTTTTTTCTCTATCTTTTATCTATTGACACGAAGATAGGTTTTCTTTAGCTAAGGTGTCTAAACCGCATCATCGAGTTAGCCCTTTTTGACTACCCGACTTCATACTCTCAAGAAAATCCAGGCATTAAATATTTTTAAACCCGTTCTAATGTTATTTTGCAGAAAAATAATTGGTTTTTCTAATGAAATCAACCGTAGTTTAATTGGTGCATTTGTTGGCTTGAAACGGCAGACGAAAAGGAACAAAAACACTTATGCATCAACCTAATAGAAGCGCAGCCTCGACTAGAAGCAATTTTGTGGAATAATTGAAAAATAAAAGCGCATGCGCTTCTATTAGAATAAATATCGTATGCAATTTTTGATTTGACTGTAAAATAGCTCTTTATAAGTTTACCTCTGGTTTCGTCTGCAATGGAGGAAGAGGTGATTGGGTGGATGGTTGAATGCCCGGTGGTGGACACATGACAGGGAGCACCGTATCATCATTATGATAATAGAGATGTGGAGGAATTTTGGTGATCGGACAACTCTGGAAATTTTTGATTCATGATAAGGAACAAAAAACTTACCAGAAAAAGTATCATATTAGTCAAGACTTTGAGCTTATTCTTTCAATAAAAAGCTTTAACAAACTTTGTCATGTGTGGGGAGAATGGGAAGGACGATCTGTTCTTCACATTGGGCTCCATTTGATAGTTGTGGGTTGTAGGGGAATTGTGGTTGTTGAGGAGTGTGTGGCCGAGAATTTGTAGCCACCTCGTAGCTTGGTGGTGGTGATGGTAGTTCATTAATAGGTGGTGCTGTTGACTCCATTTAACTGGAAAATCAAGAAAATCTTTATTACATAGCTATAGCTGGTCTATAAGAACTTCTTGGAATCAAAAATGACATTGAATAGGAAACAAAACGGTAAAAGAAAACGGCTCTTATCCATTTTCCCGGAATTTTGAAATTTTTCTGAAATTTTGAAGAATTTAAGACGTTTTTCGTGTTTAGCAGATTGATTTCATTTAAAATTTATCTACTGTTATTGCTAAATTTTTGTATATTTGCTTAGGAATGATATAAAATAGAAGCCAATTGATTGAAACCGATCATGACGAAATCAAAACCAAATTCGCCAAAAGAGATCGGCTCATTGTCTCTTGATTTTGATTGTTTTTGTCATCAAAATGAATATGAATAGTTCAATCAAACTTTGTTTCATTTGAAAGCTTAAGTTCTTCTCTTTAAAACTCTATACGAAAAGTTAACAATATTATTTAATATTATCTCTAATTGTAAGAAAGATTATAGTTATCAAAAATGTTTTAAACTCTCGAAAAGTTCAGAATATCTCTGATGTTCGAAATATCTCTGATGTTATCTCTGTTCGAAATATCTCTGATGTTATCTCTGTTCGAAATATCTCTGATGTTATCTCTGTTCGAAATATCTCTGATGAATATCGAAATGCGATCAGTGAATCGTTCAAATACCTTCAACGTGGTTTAACAATTCCACTTTTCAATGTGACACAATTTTTGATTGAAGACACTATTTTAATTACTAGTTAATAAAGAAGAAAAGAAGAAAATAAAGAAAAAAAAAGCATTTTAAGCAGTGTAGAATCTCATGATTGAAAGCGATTCTAAAGCTATGCTAAAAAGCTACAATATTAAACTTTAATAAAGGGAAATCTTGGTTGAATAGATTTCAAATAACTGTAATATTCTTTTTTTAATCTCACACATTATATTGTATTTATTTTATGGGCACAATATTGTTTGACATGCTTATGCTGACTTTGAGAATGATTTTTTTTTAGTTACGCTTAAATTTCTGGTGATTCACCATTTTGACAAGCCACGAAGGAGAAATTGATGAGCAAACGGGATTTGATAAGAAAATTCTGTTTTTTGAAAGCTTTCACCACTGACAATTGACCAGAATTTGTTTTTCAGCCTTTTTTTTCCAAAGAAATTAGAAAGATGCGAACAATCTCTTCCCAAACAATCCCAAACAAAAGCTTTTATCTCTGACAATAATATTATCTCTAATTGTAAGCAAAGTTATAGTTAACAAAAATGTCTTAAACTGTCGAAAAGTCCGGAAAAATTCTAATAGTCTAGGGAAAACAGATAAGAGCCAAGAAAACAAATTTTGGAGTAGAAAATGTCTTAATTCTTAATAAGTTAATAAAATTCACAATTTAGCAAAACGAATAAAACATTTACTATTGAACGATCGAAAGTTGATTGAAAGTACAAGGAATTGATGACCTTGAAATGGAAAAAGGAGTGGAACGAATCGATTTAAACTTCAAGGAAAAAGGAATGGGTTTAAATGGGAAAAGAAGTCCAAAATTCAACCTTTTTATAAAATGCCCATAGTTGAAAAATTTCTATTTAAAAGTTTGAGAAAACAAAAAAAAAAGAGTTGAATAAAATTGTAAAAATAAAGAGTTGTACAAGGATATTTTGTTGTCTTTAGTTTTCTTTGAAAACAGAACAAACAACATTTACTTTTGCATTGCATTGTTTCTTCTAAGAACGAAATCAACAATCATTTCAATGATTTCATCATTTCTCGAGACAAGTGTCTTTTCGACGAGCCATCACAAAGACATTCTTCATGTAAAAGATGAATATATTAGTAGCTTCTATATTGACTAGTAGTTCTATTTACTGGTTACTAGTTACTTAGTTACGTAGTTACTATTGACTGGCTAATAGTTCTATATTCACTTCAATGTAGTCAAGAAAATGTTCCAATAAAAAATGAAACACTAGCTTAACAATTAGCTTGCTTTTGTGTTTCATTTTTACCTGAACGAGTAGAGCTCTGAAGAGCTGCACTTGAAGTTTTCTCGTTGATTCACTCATGTTGGTCGTCTGAAACAAATCATTGTCGTTAAGTCAATATAAAGCCTAGTTTTTAAACTTTAGGCAAATCTGATCTAGTAGAAAAGGATAAACCGAAAAACGAATCAAACATAATATGTTAATCTTAAGTGTTCGATGAATTTGCTAAGTGCAAAAGAGAATGACACCGTATGTTGCGCCTAGCTCGGTCATGCAAACGGCCAAAGAGAAGAGTTGACCGAAATCCCACACCTCAACACCGCCCTCGTCTGGATGCTAAAAGATGTCGGCTAAAATTTTACAAAGTAATGGTGATGAAATGCTTTTTCAAGCCATTCGCACTAAATCTTAAAGAATTTTTTGATAATCGATCTGAGTTTCACCAAGTTTTGAGGTGTGAGCAATCTGTAAATCACAGACTTCCAGAAAAATGTTCAAGATGTGTTTTTAAGGCAACAAGCAGCAGGGAAAACTTTGTGTAAGTAGGGAAACGTTGAGCGATAACAATAAGAATGGGATGCGAAGTATAGAAATGTTCAGATCTTAGTTTCAGTTCGCATTTCTTGCATTCACAATGAGAAGCTTTTTTTTTTTTGCTTGTGATTGCATATCTGGTTTTGCAAATTTCTGGTGATGATTGGGGTTGAAAATCAAGTAGCGGTACTCACTAGAACAACTAGAAACAATATTGTGTGCTCGGTGTGTGGAATTGACCGTGACCGCCGAGTCGATCGATTTTTGGGAGTCTATTGGAAAAGCACAAATTTAGCTTTTATTTGAGAAGTTTTATAAACAGATATTCCTAATTTTGAGATATAATTTGAGCTTTAAAAACGTAAACGCACAGTTTCTGGTGCATTCGATCAAAAAATTCAGCCATTTGAAGAATTCAGAAGAAACCACTAAGCAAGCTCGGCTTTTAAACACTCAATTTTGTCGGATTTGTTGTGTTTCTGTTGTTTTGAGATAATTAATGAGTTTAAATCCACCTTAACTATATCAAAGATAGGCTAGAGCGAAAAGAAAGCTTCATTGAACGTCTACCAAACTTTGATCTTTAAAAGTTTACTGAGAAAGACTAAAATATTGTTTCTAGTTGTTCTAGTGAGTACAGCTACTTGATTTTCATTCTATAACATCGCTTTTTCGCCATTCAAATCTCACACCCAAATTTTATTTGCCTATTCGGTTCAAGTGGTCGAAAAAGGGACATAAGGAGATTGATTTGCTGTGAGGTCGAAAGGAAAGAAGTGAGAAAACGTTCTCATATCGAATTACCCTTTTTTTGTCTGTTTTGTTGATCATTGTACTTTTCTGTTACCGTATTTTCTCTAATAGTAGTGCACCCAGAGCGTCGCCTAAATTGCTTGAAATCTCGAAAAGCGCTTATCAGAACCTATCGATGTGGGGTCGGAAAATGTAGCTGACGATGAGATCTAGTGGGGGATTTGAGTGTTGAGTAAAAGCTCTTCTGCAAAAGCTTGGAAACCGTAAAATCGTCACCAACTCGGCTAGCCGGGGTGCACTACTATTAGAGAAAATACAGTATTCGAAAGTCAATTAGGTTCCCGTGAAATGTTGCTTATTTCATTGTTTTGTTTCGTTAACTCATTCGATCGACTGAACGCTCAATTGGATTTCACCAAGTATGGAATTGGAGGTGAGTTAGAGAGTCAAATCGAACAGTTAGTCTTTACGTTAAAAGCAATAATCATTAACTTGATTTTGATCCATTTCGAATATTATCCCTGTGGCGAATAGCCACTAAAAAGTTACCTAACTCTGGCAGCCTAAAAATTGGAGAAATCTTGAGGAAATTGGTGCGCCTTCATTCTATTTCGCGCTCCAAATCATTTATTGTTTTGTAGCTTGTTAGCTGAGTATCTTGGGTTAAAGCCTATATAGGGCAACTGTTGTTCATTTGGCTCGGTTATCTTTCATTTTCTTTCTGCTTTCCTCTCATTTGTGTGAAAGTTGTGTTCTAATTAGGACGAAATTGTTTCTGTTTTTTATCGTCGCTTTTAATTCAATTGTCGATCTTGTGTGGAAATTGCTCAGACTCAGGCCAGGCTCAGGCCAGGCTCAGGCCAGAGAGGCACCCAGCCCTAACTAGATGTTTTCTAAGGTTTAAAACAATCGATAGCCTAATCGAAGACCAAAGATTCCGAGTCAGTCGGCTATTGAATAAAGTGTTTTTAGTTCAAATGAGATCAGATATCTCGAAACAAGAAATAACGTGTCTTGAGTGAAGAGTACCAAGCATGCGAATAATATTACACCCAACCCTAACTAGATGTTTTCTAAGGCTTAAAACAACCGATAGCCTAATCGAAGACCAAAAATTACAGCTATTTTAGCCTACCGATGCCACAAATTTAGAAATTTAGAAGACTACTCACTTTTCATGAACAACATGACCAATCTCAATGATGAGCTTTTCAATAAACGAAACTATAATCGATTTTTGTCACCAATCTTTTTGAAAGATTATCGAACAGGTTAAATAGAAATTTAATCAAATTTTAACACATCAAATTCCAGCAAATGACTCAAAACCACTCGAAGTACATTTTCAACTTTGGTACTTCAAAATGTTCTACTTGGTAGAATTAAGACAAAAAAAAACGTTGAAGTCAATGAAAACATTTAGGATGCTGACACTCAACAACTCACCTTTGGTGCCGAGTTTATCGAGGTAAACAGTTTGAAGATAAAACGAGAGACAGTTTTAGACTTGGTACGATCAGAGATTTGTCTGGAAACCGGAGGATTTTGGTGGCATCAATAAGATCTATGTGAACTATCAGAATTTGTGGATTCCTGACAATAATATGGGAAATACGTGAGTAGAATAGAGTGAAATGGGATTGGAGTTTGGAAGGGTAAAGTGGGCAATAGAAATTCGGAGAACACAGTAGGAGAGGTGATCCATCAGCTTTACTTTGCTCATTAGGACATGAATTGTTCAGATTACTGTAAACATCTGATTACAGCTTACTGTAAACGTCTGATTACAGATTACTGTAAACGTCTGATTACAGATTACTGTAAACGTCTGATTACAGATTACTGTAAACGTCTGATTACAGATTACTGTAAACGTCTGATTACAGATTACTGTAAACGTCTGATTACAGATTACTGTAAACGTCTCATTACAGATTACTGTAAACGTCTGATTACAGATTACTGTAAACGTCTGATTACAGATTACTGTAAACGTCTGATTACAGATTACTGTAAACGTCTGATTACAGATTACTGTAAACGTCTGATTACAGATTACTGTAAACGTCTGATTACAGATTACTGTAAACGTCTGATTACAGATTACTGTAAACGTCTGATTACAGCTTACTGTAAACGTCTGATTACAGATTACTGTAAACATCTGATTACAGATTACTATAAACATCCATCAGCTTCGTTTTCTTTTCAGCAAAACACTCACTACTATACACGACTCATCGATTCGACAGGTGACAATCAGAAGCGATGGAATCGTGACAATGCCCACCGTATATTATGTTGAGATTGCTTGTCCGATTACGGTTAATAGCTTCAAGTCCAATCCAACTTTGACCCTTTCAGGTGGATACTTTCCCGTTTGATGTTCAAGCGTGTCAGATACCAATTCTTAGTTTTTTATACAGTCCGTAAGTTTCGCGAACCGAAACTCAAAAAGATTCTTTTAGGGACGATATATTAACAAACGGTACGGTGGCTCCAGCAGCTTTATCACTTGATGGGGTTGGTTTTAAATGTAGAACAAACAAATAAAACTATTATTATTGTTTATAGTTCAGTTAGACCACCTTAAATCAAACTTTAGAAGGTGAACGTTTAGGGTAACGGTGAATGGAACGTCACCCATATCACCACAACGACGACCAGCTTTGCAGCCACAATGCAAGTAGTGAGTATAACAATCTAAGAATTTGACTATCCTGACGATTTGCTTTAGTTTTATTTCATTATTCATCTAAAAAGAGTTCCAAATTTCTACGTTTACGTGATCGCTTTGCCGTGTTTTATTTTGACAATGCTCTCAGTTATTGGAATGTTCTGGTCGCCAAATATTAGAAAGGAACAGCTCACGAAAGTTTTAGAGATTTTAAATCTTTTTCCAATAAAAGAATTAGTTAAGTATCGGTTTAACAAGCCTTGTTTCGATGACAGTCTTGCTCGATCTCTTATCGACGGCTATTCCAAAGACAAGAGTTTTTCCTTTGTTGGGTAAGTTTGAGACAATCGAAATTACATGTAGAATCAAATCAAATCAAAAAAACTAATAAATTATTAATATGCAACTCTCTTCCAAGGTATTTACGTCGTTGTCTGCGTGGGGATCATCTCGGCCGCTTGTGTCGTCATCGTAATGTTCGCTCTTCAAAATCCGAGAAAGAAAAACGATTGGGAGTTAAAAAAAGAAGCTCACGAAAGAGCGATGGAGGGATACAGGTTGAATTTAAACAATAAGAGAGCATAAATCTTTCTAGAGAAAAGTTCTGCCGTTTCTTTAAAGAACACTGCACAAGGCGACACGTCTTCTTTCAACTCTGCTTTCAAGGCATCAACCTCGCTGGGTTCATCGTTTTTCTGTCGTTTTGGAAATGATTCGTCGATTAATTGAAAGATTTAAAACTCGATAAATATGTTTACTTTTTATTACTCAACTTGAATTTGCCAAAAATGTGCCTGTATTTATGAGTTCGAAAGTTTAGTCTATAACAAGACTAGAATCTGCTGATTAAGTCAATCAATCAATCTTATTACGGTAGTTTTTCAAGTTCCTTAGATTCAAGCCTTTTATTTTAGAACTTACTCTAATCATTAACAAACATACAAATAAAGTTTTCCATCCAGCCCCAGCGAGTTCCCTTCGTGGAAAAGAATTCCGGGAATTCATCATTTGTGACAAGAATTTGAGGCCTAGCAGAAATAGTTTGAAAAAAATGAAAGCGGCTGTAATCTTTGGACTTTGTTGTGTGAAATTTAAGTTACTGTTAAATGGTAATACAACAAACACAGCCACAATCACTTTGAATATCCCGAGATCCACAATCCCGAGATCTTGTTAGACATTTTCACTAACGTTTTTTCAAAATGAATTTGTAAATACTGTAATAGTACCCCGCCCTCCTCGTACAGTCACGTAGTCGCAAAAGTTTTTTAGGATTTCATTTTTCGCAAAGCACCCGTACTTTCAAAAAAATGCGTCTTTGGTATGAAAAATAGTCCTGAATTTCAGCTATTTTTCGATAACTATTGTAGCATTATAGCATATCGTAATACCTTTAATAGTAGCCCCTCCCCCTGATCATGCCGGTCGGAGCATCGCGTAGTCTAACTTTAAATACATTTTTCTCGCCACGCGTTTATGCTACAGTGTTCGTTTAAGTATTAAATGAAAGCTGAAATTCAGAGCTATTTTTTGATGCCTAAACGCGCATTGTAGCATAAACAAGTGTCGAGAAAAACTCGTTCAAAGGTAGACTACGCAACACTCCGCACCGTCATTATGGAGGTGGGGTACTATTACAGGATTTACGGTAGGTAATTTGGGTTTTTAAAGGACAAAAAGAAGAACCGCAATTAGTCCAACCGTGAAGTTCAACTAAAAATAAAACAGAAAAACAGAAAAACAGAAATAACAGAAATAAATTGTGTTACTTGAAGGATTATTGGGGGACTTTCAAAGAAAAACAGCTCAATCTACTTGAAACAATATTTTTTGATACAAGGCTGTAAAAAATAGAATCAAAAAATAACTGAACATTTGAATCACACCGTTTCTGATACATTATTAGAGAATAATTCGCTTTTTGCATTTATATTTGGGGTTTAGAAGCTAAAATGTACTTTAAAAAGCTTGTAGATTAGTAAATTTACATTATTTGCATGGAAATTGTGCTTGCTTTTAAAAAGAAAGAGATTTTCAGCTCTTCAAATTAACGAAAAACTGCTGTGTACACAAATTCCCCCATTTCCCTTCCAGAAATGAATGAAATCTATCGATTGTGCGAACAAAATTGCTAATATTAATTGCTAATATTATTGCTAATTGCTAATATTATTCATAGCTTTAATGGGATATTTCCGTTTCTTTCTGCATCTTCAAAGAAAATCCCTTTTCTTATACACGGGTGCTATATTTATGCTGTTGTTGTTTTTGGAGGTGAAGAATCGAGCGAACGATGATCAAATGGTCGATCAATCTAAGGAGATTAAAAGTAAGTTGTTAATCTGGACAATTTGACTAGAAGTCAGGCTCTTTGCTTGGCCAATAAACTCATTCAGAAAACAAGGAGAATTTTGGGCCTTTGAACATGGAACAGTACAAATTGCCGGATGGATCGTTGGACGGAAAGGAGATCTTTGTGTGGTACGCATTCTATGATCGCAGGTTTTATATTTGACTTTGAATTGAATTTCCGATCTTTTTCCGATCTTTTTCCGCCATTTTAGAGACCCAGAAGGGCCAAGGATACGAATTTTGGCGAACACGGTGTGCAAAGAATTGAGGAAAGAGGATGTGTTGATTGAGATTTCTCCAGTGATTCAACTAAAACTTGCTTGGATTGAAGCAATGGAGATAGTCAGGCTTCCAAAAACGGATAAAGTTAATGGATTTTGAGATTTCGAGAAATTTTAAACATCTCTGATATCTAGTTTAAACTAATTATCGATTAGAAAACAATTTTTTAAAGATAGCATTTGTAATGGGAATGGTTGTCGACTACAAGAAACCGATTTAACAACTGTCATCTATCGAGGAGTCATCCCTGAAGAGGTAAAGGAGTCAATAATCAATCATTCAATAATCAGATTATAATCATTCGAAAAAATCGAAGAGCCAAAGTAAAGTTGCACAAGATGCCGGCAGAATATAAAGATCAGATCAATTCTTGTATCATTGCACCGCTATTTTGGTGAGTTTATATTATCAAAACACTTTAATAAACGATTCTATTTGATCGAACTTTTTGAATTAAACCCTTGACTTTCAAAATAATAGCGAATTCTAACCGCTTTCATAAATACTGTAATAGTACCCCACCCCCATAATGACGGTGCGGAGTGTTGCGTAGTCTAGCTTTGAACGAGTTTTTCTCGACACTGGTTTAGGCTACAATGCGCGCTTAGGTATCAAAAGATAGCTGAAATTCAGAGCTATTTTTTGATGCCTAAACGCGCATTGTAGCATAAACAAGTGTCGAGAAAAACTCGTTCAAAGCTAGACTACGTAACACTTCGCATCGTCATTATGGGATTGGGATACTATTATAGTATTTACGGTAGAAATCAGGTACAACGATTGGCCGAGACTTTTCGTTTTTTTCGAGTGGTGGAAGAGGAATAAGATCAACAAAATTCTCCTTCACGTTCACTCGGTTTCAGCGCCGACAATGAGAATCATCGATTATTATGTTCAAAAGGTTTTTTTTTTTGAGAAAACTTTGCAAATTTCATAAAATTTCAATTTCTAGGGCCTTGTTGAGACCCGTCCCTTCCCTTTGATGCCTTTCACATCACAATACAATCCAAATAATCATGTTTACTATTTGGCTGAGCATTTAACAACCGCATTTTGTGGTGTTTGGTCGGACACAAAATACACGACAATGAACGACGTTGATGAGATTTTTTATGTGCGGTGAGGGAAAGGCTTGAAAATGATTTGTCTCCTTTTCTGCTTTTCAGAAATCGGAGTGAAACTCTTCTTGATGTGGTGAGACGACAAATGAATCCGGCTGAATACCCGGGTGTCGGTTAGTCATTCAAACGCATTGTTATACGTTATTAAAGTCATTTTTGGATTGGCCAAGTCGTTAGTACGTTTGGTTAGTGTTTTAAAGATCAAGATTTCGCTTCATGATCCAACAACTTTCAATAGAAAGACCTAGGAGCTCTCAATCTTGATCATCACGGTCTCGGTTTCCCGGATGAACCTTGGGATTATGGTAAATTCCCGAGAGTTAAACATTGTCAAAAAGGGACACCCGTTTGAGTCGAGTAGACCACAAAAAGTGAGTTGAAAAAAGGTTGGGATTAGATTAATTTTTCATGAGATTTCAGTACATCTACCAGACTGAATATGCAAAATTGCCTTGGGTTCACGAGATGAAAAACTTCTTTGGAAACAAGAAATCGCAAATGGTTTCTTAAAAAAGGAGTTCTAGGATTAGTAAAGTCGATTTGATACTAATAATAAGTTTTTATCAATTTTAACAATTTCCAGCTTCCCACAGAGCAAGTGATCTATCTTCACATGCGAAATGAAATGACAAATCTCGAGGGGACACCACGAATCTATCCCGATTTTCAAATGTTTGAGGTAAAAAAAGAAATACCGTAAATACTGTAATTCCAGGGGAACCTTCGCCATACAAAATTGGTGACCCAAACAGTCACTACTTTTGAAAAAGAGTTTGGTTGAAAAGTGCTTAGAATGGCGTTGATGGGCCGGCTTATACGTTCCGCCTATACGGCCTATACGTTCCTAGGCATAAACGGATGTGGACTAGAATTTGGGTTAAGTTAAAGAGAGTGGATCCCTTTTGATATCCCACCATCTCTAACACCCCGACAACCCAACTCAACTCCTTCAACGTATTAGAGGGGAGTCCCTGTGAAATGACCGACCTGTACTGCAGTTGCATAGACCCGGAAGATATGTATCTTTATTTACAGTAATACAATAAGATGAATAGATTAGAAATGAGTGTAAGGGGAAGGGGGGACTCCAAAATGAGAGTCTCCCTTGTCCTCCTAGGCAGTCCCAAGGACCGCCCCTTCTCGGCAATAAAAGGGATAAGCACAGGGGAGGACACATTTGCATAAGAATAGACAAATCATTCAATAATAACAATAGTAACTAAAATATCAGTTTGGCTCGGAGCTGACAGCCGTTTCGATAACCTAAAAGGGTTGGCAGTAATATTTAAAAGGATCTAAAAGAAATTTTTTAAGAAAAAATTGGATGGCGGTTATCATTTTTGAGAGTCCGATCTCCAAACATGTTTTTCGTTTGTTCTAGAGCAATTTCAATCGAGCTAAAGTGATTTTAAAAGATTTTTTTAAATTTGATATGTTCCAGTCCCCCTTATGTGATTTTTCGTGGAGTCCGAAGAAGAAAAGTGAAAAAATAGAAGAGCATGCCCTTCAGTTATAGTATTTACGGTCGTAGACGATTTGCGAGTTGAATAAAGCGCTTTCAGGATGAAGCAATCCCGGAGATGAGCTTCATTCTGGATCAAATTTTTGGCGACTCTCAGCCGCCATTCAGAGTTCGAGAAACGATGCTCGTTCTCAAGAATTGTACACGACGGTAAAGAATTTGTGTTACAAACATTGGAATTCCCTTAAAACAATAATGATTACCGTATTTTCTCTAATAGTAGTGCACCCAGAGCGTCCTCGAAATTCCTCGAAATCTCGAGAACCGCTTATCAGAACCTATCGATGTGGGGTCGGAAAATGTAGCTGACGATCAGATCTTGTGGGGGATTTGAGTGTTGGGCAAAAGCTCTTCTGCAAAAGCTTGGAAACCGTAAAATCGTCACCAACTCGGCTCGCCGGAGTGCACTACTATTAGAGAAAATAGGGTATAACAATTTTACAGAGCAATGCATGAGAATCCGGGCGAAGATTGCCTCAAACCGACCGGATTAACGTGTTACTCGGCTCTGAAAGATCTCGATGAATGGGTTTATGCGAAATCGAGTGAGGACAGTCGATACTTTATAGTTTAAGGGTTTTCATAGAATAATTCTTATATTTTACACCACTTTGACAAAGAATAAACAAGTTTCACAGTAAAACAAATTTCACAGTGCTTTAGATCACTTGGTTTTGATTTTTAAAAAACTAAGCCTCAATCTTTGCTCGTTTCAAAAACGCTGCTCAACGCGATCCGATAATAATTGAGCTGAAAAGTTTGCCAACCCTTTTCCCCACAAAACAACACAACCAATGACACTTTTATTAAAAATTATTTTATATTCAGCTATTTTTTTGAATGTTAAATCATTTATTCAATACGATTATCGAAATGAGAATCCAAAAATCCCGGGAATTATACTGAATGAGCTTTTCAATGGCACTAATTTACACCTTTCTGATGGAAGTAATCTGCTAGAAAGGGCTTACGATGTAATCAAAGAAAAAACGATAAAAGTTAATCATTTTGCAGTTTTTCCATGACGATATTGGTTGGGTGAAGAGCTGTAAGAATAAAATCAAATTGACGGAAGAGTGGACAAGAGATTGGATCGAGGTTGATCAATCAGATTTTGAATGAAGCTCTTCATTTTAGAATAGTATCGTCAGAAATCAATTAAATGCAATAATGCAAGCCTCATGTGTTGTTGATCGATACTTTCAACGACATCTCGTTCCCGCAATGCGTGACACGTTTGGAATGAGTAAAGAGAATGTTCGCAAAGTGAGTTTACAAGAATTTGCTATAAAGCCACTGTGTTATATATATATATAGATACTTTATTCATGATCTGAGATAAAGTACGCAAGATTTAAGATTAATACAAATGAATTCATAAACATAAAAACGAAAAGGACGGATAAAAAGCAACACGATACAATGGGAATAATGTGTCGCCCGTATTCTTCATCAAGCAAATCAAAGTCTTTTTATATAGATACTTTATTTAGGACCTGAAATAAAGTACGCAAGAATTTAAGATTAATACACATGAATTCATACACATAAAAACGAAAAGGACGGATAAAAAGCAAAACGATCTAATGGAAATAATGTATGTAATATATGGCTTTCACAGATAACGTCAAGAATCCACTAGAGCTTCAAGAACAAGATCATCTACAGATAATTTAAAGGTTTCGAGATTATTGGACTCTCTCAAAACTCTGTGAAGTCGATTCCAAATTCTGACAGTTCTTATTGGAAAGGAGTTATACACAAATTTATTGAAGGTGACTGGAATTTCTAAAACGAAAGAACCTCTCCTTGAATTAAACGTGGGATTAACTTTAAATCAATCTCGAAAAAGAGGGATAGATAGCCTGTAGTTTACAATTTTGAAACATTCTATTAAATCCGTGACCAAGCGGCGGTGTCTAAGAGATTTAAGATCAAAGATTTTGAGTCGATCTGTGTAACTAACAGATAGACTCAAAGATTTTGAGTCTATCTGTAGCTAACACAGATAGACTATCTTCAGTCTATCTGTCTTTGCGAATTATATATATATATATATATATATATATATATGCTTTATTCATGGGGCGAATAGAAGCGAATCAGATAATGATAACTGCTACAATACTCTCACCGAAAAAAGAGAGAAAACTAAAGATAGTACAGTAAGAGTACAGTTAGGAAACAATGATACAAAAAGATTAAATATAGGGCAGATTTGACATGGCAATAAGATCTAATTCGTTCACAGATACTTTGAATTTTATATATTATATCTATCTTTTATTGACAAGGCGAAACTTTTAGGTGAATTTTAAAATTTAAAAGTTATTCAGTTTGTGCTAACACTTTTTCTACAGTTTTATTGTAAAGATTAGTGTTTTGAAGGCTTCTGGTTGAGTTGCAAGAGTCGGAAGTTTTCCTGAATTTAAAAATTTCAATCAAATGATATCCCAGCGCTTCAGTTTCGTCAAAGCTACTATAAAATCGTGAGTCGTTATCACAATGATCTCAACGCGTGTGTTTGGGCGGCTTTAGGCAATGATGGATACACTCAAGTTTGTTTGTTTTCATTACTTTTTCAGTAAAATAGCAAAGAAATCTAAAAAACAAAGCCTTAACTCAAATTTTGCAAATTCTAATTAAGATTTGCAACTTTTCAGTCATACAAACCGTGGATGGCTTCAAGAGACACGATAATGGTTCAAATTTTGACCGAATCCGCAGTGCTGGTTGGTTTTCTTAAAGTTGAATGGGAATAAATGCTTGAAACAGTTTTTCTTTAGGATTCCATTCGTCCACTCACGAAAAACTATCGACAAACAATCACAGAATCATTCAAATTTCTTCGACGCAACCTTTCAAAACCACTTTTCGATTTGAGCACTTTTTTGAAAAAGGGTACAATTTATTATGTCAGTTGATCAGTGAATAAACTTGTTCAATTTTGGAATATTTGGATCTTTTCGCCATTATTCAAAATCAACTTTGACTTTCAAGTTCAAGAAAAAAGAAGTCGAAACGAATGTTTTCTTCCCTTCATTGTCTAAGCAGCTGCAATGTCACTATGATTCCTTTTAAAACTTCCAAACAAAAGCAAATCGTTTCTCTCAGTAATCGAATGTCTGAAGAAAGCTTAAAACCTAAAAAGTTTTCCTAGTTGATTGCTGGTAAATTCAGCACGATATTATGAGTCTGTTATAAGAGGGAAATTCGATTTGGATGAAGAATTCACTTAAAGAAAGTCTTTTCTATGAGCCTTTCTATGACATTTCTATAACATCAAAAACTCGAGCATTGCACCGAAATTGTGATCCACCCAAAGTCGGATCACTTTTGGATTTGTTCTTGCCAGTTTTTCGGATTCTAATGGGAAAAATGAGTCCCAGTAGAGTGTTTTGCTTTGATTGAGCCGCTTTTCTGAGAGAAATTTGGAGAAACGCTCGGAAACGATCGAATAAATCGATGGCTTGTCCGAGTTGTTCGTGAGAAGTCGAATCTTTGAATCGAAACAAAAGCAAATCGCTTCTCTCAGTAATCGAATGTCTGAAGAAAGCTTAAAATCCAAAAAGTTTTCCTAGTCAATTGCTGGTAAATACAGCACGATATTATGAGTCTTTTACAAGAGGGAAATTCGATTTGGATCAAGAATTTATTTAAAGAAGGTCTTTTCTAAGAGGCTTGGGATCATTGTTGTATCGAAGAAGTTACTTTATCATTGCTAAAAAAGTGATAGCTTTTAATTGTTTATTCAATTTTTGGCCCCTAGGGCCTTCCAAAAATTGCGCTAACACCCATATTTCAGGGCAGAAAGCGACGGGTAATTGGTATCAGTTTTCAACCAGCAATAAACGCACCTCGGCTAGGCCTCATTGGTCACGTTATCGCCTCTGCGCAAAGCTGATTTCAAGGAGGAAAGAGAAGGGTATAGGGAAAAGACGTGTGCAAGAAAGCACGCGTTTCCGCGACTGCACAGAAAACGGCAGAGGTTTTGTGAAAGAGCCAGATAGGTAGGCCTAATTGACTTCAAATAATGCTCCTTTTATCGTAATCTCCCGACACTTTTCATCGCATAGGCCATTGATAAGTAATTCGTGGCAATACTAATTGGGTTTTCGAGAGAATCGATGAAAATATAGGATTGGGATTGATGCAAAAACTTTTGAAAGAGATAAGCGAGCTTAAAAATGTTCGTAAAACTCAAGGAAACGCTAGACCGATCCAATTTTTTACAAATTTTTGAAAAACTTCTAATCGATTTGGGAAATGAGAGGGATTTTGAAGAAGAATTCGAGAAATTCTTTTTTTAATCTAGTCCAGAAAACAAGTCTCTATGGTTTTTTGACAAGTGAAAGTTTCGCCGATATTTCTGGCGTACTTTACAAGAAAATGATTACCAATATAGGCCAAAGAACTGTAGTTATTTGCTTAGTTCGAATTCGAGAAATTCTTTTTTGATCGAAGTTCGGTGATGTGGAAATAATATTTCAAATTCTCATCAAATCGCAAGTGTATTTTATTGTTAATTTTGTTGTACCGCTAGTAAGTTTTTATTTTTTATGAACCAAATAAATGATTGATAATAAGCATTGAATTTGGGAAATGATTGCAAAGATTGTGTTTTGATCAGTTTATGATCCGTTTATTGGTCTTTTTAGAGTTCTTTGAGTGATGATAAAATGCTATACAAAATCTACTAACAGTTAATTTCGATTTGATTTGATTGCGATCGAATTTGTTTCGGAAAATCTCGCCATTTCCACATGATTCAACTCGACAATGACTCTTTGTAAGCAGATGATTTATTCGATGACCACAGACAGACATTTTAGAAGAGATTGTAAGCAAAAAGGGGAATCTTGAAAAGAGTTTTATGCTTGAAGATAAGGATGGGTGAGTGGACAAACTGAATGGCTCAGACTGAGAGTTTAAAGGACACTTGGTGTACTTGTGACAATCGATTAATAGCTTGATAAGACGATAGAAATTGGGTGGGTGGACAAACTGAGTCGACTGAAAGTTTGAAAAGCACACTTTCAGTACTTGAAATAAGGCTTTTCTATTGGAAACATTCTTTGGAAATGTTCAAATTTCAACTATTGATGGGTATTTTCTGCTTGAAAGGATGTCAGTTTTGACTTTATAAATTCAAAATCTCAATTTTAGTGTACGGTGCGCAAACGATTAACTTAACTGAACTCGATTCGACATGGGTTGTGAGTGGATATCAGACGAAATTGCTTTCGGTATTTCTTTTTTCGCTTGTTCTTTTTGCTTTAGTTCTATTAAATGATGCTATTTGATGGTTTTTATACTTGCACAATTGGATTACGGTTGTTTTCTAAAACGTGTGCTTTTAGAAGGATGCATTCAAGCAAATCCAGCTCCAAGCAAATCCAGCTCCAAGCAAATCCAGTTCCAAGCAAATCCAGTTCCAAGCAAAGCCAGTTCCAAACAAATCCAGTTCCAAGCAAATCCAGTTCCAAGCAAATCCAGTTCCAAGCAAATCCAGTTCCAAGCAAATCCAGTTCCAAGCAAATCCAGTTCCAAGCAAATCCAGTTCCAAGCAAAGCCAGTTCCAAACAAATCCAGTTCCAAGCAAATCCAGTTCCAAGCAAATCCAGTTCCAAGCAAATCCAGTTCCAAGCAAAGCCAGTTTCAAGCAAATCCAGTTCCAAGCAAATCCAGTTCCAAACAAATCCAAGCAAATCCAGTTCTCTTTCAGCCAATCACCATACTCAGTGGTGCATACTACTCTGTTCAATTCATGGTGAAATTCGAAAACGGAACAAAGCAAACAGATACCGATTTTGTGATTACTGATTCGTCGAATACAACGATTGAGTGAACTTTTTCCATTTTTGAAAATTGATTTCTCATTTAGTTCAAAAACATTGAATTCGACAAAGATGCAAGCTTTCCTTGGAACAATCACGATCGTCGACAAGTCGCCCGTTAGCTCGTACAGTCTCAGTTTTCGACTTGTCAACTGGACAGATTGTAAAGATTTCGTCGTAAAACTTGTCAAGTGACATTTCAATATCGAGAATCACACCTCTAGTTAGTTGTGATCGCTTTAAAACCTTAAAAAAAAAGTCTAAAACTGGCTGAAAATCATGAACATCTCAGCAACTTCTTCGCTTCTTTTTTATGGGAGTCGCATTTTCACGATTGTCCCAAACGATGGCTACTTGCACACATATTCGAATCCGGTTTGTGAAAATAAGGAAATAGATAGACAAAATTCATTTCTAAGCTACACTTCTTACACTTCTTAGTGGGTTTTAGTGAATAAATTTTATTTTAGAGCTCTGGTAATTATGGTGCATTTGCGATCTTCACGGCAATGCCATCACTTTATGCTTCGCCGACAATTTCCCTTAGGCCAACAAATCAGGTAGACAATTCCCTTAGGCCAACAAATCAGGTAGACAATTCCCTTAGGCCAACCAACCAATCAGGTAGACAATTCCCTTAGGCCAACCAACAAATCAGGTAGACAATTCCCTTAGGCCAACCAACCAATCAGGTAGACAATTCGGCTATCTTTAACTTGATTTTCTAAAAAGGTGGACAAATTAACGTATCCATTAGAAAGAAAGAATGAAGATAGTTTTATGATTCGGAACGTTTGATTCGGAGCTTTTGATTCAGAACTTTTCATTCGGAACTTCAGGTGAAGGCCGGCTGTGAGCATTTAGTGTATCAAGGTGGTTATCCTGCAGCAGCTGGTGCAAATCGCTATCTCATTCACACTTTCAAGTTCGAGATTTCCAAATCTACTTTATTTGACTTCATCGAACATTTGAGACAATACCCAAATTTCAGCTCAGCGAACACTGGCCCCGCTTCCTCTTTGTCGTTCATTCCATCATATTCAGCTACCATTTCTGTTCCTCCAAATTGTCCAATTTCAATAGATGCAGCCGATTACAGTAAAGGTTGGTTGGCTTTCGGGTAATGTACAAATTCACTTGTAGATTATTCTGGTAAGCATGGAGTGCTGATGAATGTTGTGCCGAGAAATGGTTTTGTGATGAGTCGAGATTATCCGAATAGTATGATCGGGAGTGGAAATGGTGGAATGAATGTGAATTTGCAGTATGCACTCAATTCTAGTGGTAATTCTCAAAATCTAACTTTAAAATAGGTACTACATTGGTCCTCTGGAGTTTTACCAAAAGTTTTAAAGGGGGAGTATGAATCGCGGCCGGGTGACCATAAAAAATTTTAGTCTTTAGGACGTCTTTAGCGCTTTGATTGACACAATTAGATCCTTTTTCCATTTGTGGTCGTTTCCATTTTAGCTTTCTCAAATAGGTGCCTTTTAGAAAACGCATTACTCGAGCGGAACACACTCTAATAGATAGATTAGGGTGATTTGTTGACCTTTTGCATTATCTAAACATAAAATAATAAAAATCTAAAGACCGAAAGTCTAAAGAAAACAAAAAGAAAACATAATGCCTGACTTTTGCTTTACTTTCGCACTTACCTTGTAGATGAACTACGCGAGCCTTGCAGCGTCTACAAAAAATTTGTAAACCCATCAAATCACTCTAGCCGGGTGATTTTTATTCTTTTTATAATAAAATCAACGATATTAAAATAAAAAAACAGGTGGTTGCCGTAAAAAAATGTTTATGGTCACCCGGTCGCGATTAATACCCCCCTGTGTGCAGTATGCACTCAATTCTAGTGGTAATTTTCAAAAGCTAACTTTAAAATAGGTACTACATTGCACCAGAGGACCAATGCATTGGTTCTCTGGAGTTTTACCAAAAGCTTTCAGTTGAATCCTGCAATTCCCAGTGTCAAAAATGTTATAGCCAAAGAGAATCACTAAATTTTAGTTTTTGCTAATCAAAGTGTTTACTTCAACATTTTGGTTGATCAATTTTTTGATGGCCAAGCTGGGACGCCACAATTAAAGCTTTCATTTGATAATCAAGTCGGATATATGTGAGAGATTTCTGAGATTCTTTTAAAAAACTTTTAAAACTTTAGATTAAACAAAACGACCACTGGATTCTCTCAGAATCGAAATGCTTCCTCATTTCGGGTAAATTAAAAATAAAATCCTCCAATTAAAGTCATGATTTCAGGTCGAATTCACCACGTCGAATACAACTGGAGCAAATTTCTTGCTTCATTTCAGCACCTCAACAACTTCAACAACTGATTCTCCGACAAGGACAACGACAAGGACAACAAAGAGTATTCAAAATGTTTCGTTTCTTTTTGTTTTTGTTCTTGCACTCTTTCATTGTTGTTTGAAAGCTTAAAAAGCTAAACTTTTCTTTAATTGGACATAAAAGTTTCACTTGAGACTGAAAAAGTACAAATAAAACCACGATTTCTAACTTTCGCTGCAAAAATTCGATAAATTCGATAAATTTTACGCTTTTCCCAGCCAGATCAAAAGTTTTTAGTTCAAATTGACTTTTTAGAGTCACAAATCAAACAACCATGTAATCAGATGAGATTCAAATCGTTGATCTCCACAAAAACCCACTAGTAAACAAATTTTGTCGCTGAGTTTCCATTTCCGAGTGACCTTGAAGAAATAGGTGAGAAAATAGCAAGAGATTTGCTTTTTAATTTCATTTCTTTGCCAAACACGGGCTTTGGTCGACAGCCGCTAGGTGATCTTTAAGCATTTTCTTTAGTCTTTTGACCGATTCTAAACAATTCAGCAAATCGTCTATTTATTGAGGGCAAATGGGGGAAAAAAAGCGAAAATTTGATATAAAAGGTTTGTCATTGCGATGGAATGCGGCTAATATTGCATTTTCTCAATATGAGTTGTGTTGTTATGTTTTTTAATTCTAATCAATCTGCTCATTGTGGCCAATGCGCAATGGGGATATTATCCTAGTTATGGTTACGGTGGATACGGTGGATCCGGTGGATACGGTGGATACGGGTGAGCTTTAGGAAAGTAGCGCTTTATTGAATCCAGTCTGGGTTACACTAGATTAAGCACTCAGTATTCTTGAGCAGCTTAAGGGATTATATTTCTCTTCTTCTATGGATTCTAGGTAGATTAAGGTAGATTCTTGAGTAAATTCTAGATTTTTAGCACTCTTATGTAGTTTTAGCAATCACCGGATTCTAATTCTCACGCTGGATCTTACAATTAGTCCGGGATTACGGTAATTCTTTTGTATTCCCCTTCAGCTTGGCTTGACTGTGCTCCAAATGAAAAGTGGTGCTCAAGAGAATGTTTATTGGGTGAATATCTTGGCAGATTCCAATGTTAGGCGTCAATTAGCTCATTTAAAAGAAGAAAAAAAAACACTAAATATTCATTATCGGTTGAGCATCAGACTCATTTTAGTGGCTACAGCTATCCAAACTACAATAGCTATGGGGGCTACGGTGGTGGATGGCCGTCTTATGGAGGATACGGTGGATACTCTTATCCAAGCTACTCATATCCGTCGTACTCCTATCCCAGATACTCTTATCCATCGTATTCCAATTCTCCATCAATCTCGCGGACTCATTCTTCATATTCTTCTCGTTACGCAACGTCGTCTGAAGTTTGGAGTTATGGAAAGAGGAAATAAAACCAAAAAAAATCAAATTTTTAAGTTATTCTCCTATTTTTGTTTGTATCTTTGTGCAAACATTAAATAAAATGACTAGGTTAAAGTTTCAAAAATTCAAAAAACTCTAGAAGTAAACAATTCCAAAAATTCAAAGAACTACAAGTAAAAAGACCAAAAATTCAAAGAACTCTATAAGTAAACAAGTTCACCCTGAAACTTTGAAAAGTGGCGGGAGATTATGGTAAACGGAGCCTTATTTTAGGCCAATTACGCCTACTTATCTGGCTCTTTCACAAAGCCTCTGCCGTTCTCGGTGCAACGCTCGTAATCGCTCGCTTTCTGGCACACGCCCTTTCCCTATATCTTTCCATTTTCTTCTCAAAGTCAGCTTTGCGCAGAGGCGATAACGTGACCAATGAGGCCTAGCCGAGGTGCGTTTATTGCTGGTTGAAAACTGATACCAATTACCCGTCGCTTTCTGCCCTGAAATATGGGTGTTAGCGCAATTTTTGGAGGGCCCTAGGGGCCAAAAATTCAATAAACAAAAAGTTTAGCGCCGACGAAGTAACTTGTTCGATACAACAAGGCTCATAGAAAAGACTTTCTTTAAATAAATTCTTTATTCAAAAATCGAGTTTCTCATTGTAACAGATACAGATATTGTAACAGATCGTGCTGTATTTACTAGCAATCGACTAGGAAAACTTTTTGGATTTAAAGCTTTCTTCAGACATTCGATTACTGAGAGAAGGGATTCGCTTTTGTTTGGAAGTTTCAAAAGAAATCATAGTGACATTGCAGCTGCTTAGACAATGAAGAGAAAAAAAACATTCGTTTTGACTTCTTTTTTCTTGAAATTGAAAGGCAAAGTTGATTTTGAATAATGGCGAAAAGATCCAAATATTCCAAAATTGAACAAGTTTATTCACTGATCAACTGACATAATAAATTGTTGTTAAATTATCACTTTAGCTATTTTTTTTGGCACCGACGAAGTAACTTCTTCGATACAACAATGATCCCAAGCCTCATAGACTTTCTATAAATAAAAAAACAAATGGGACAACTTTGTGGAAAAGTGAGTATCAACTCACACAAATCTTATGTGAGTACCAACTCACAAAAAACTCATGTTAGGTGTCTTAACAAATTAGCTCTTGAAGCAATTTGATTTTGATAAACAAATTTGAGTAAGTTCCGTCATCTTTCGCAGTGTGAGCACGAGTGGGAGTGAGTATTTCGCTCCACACTCTCAGAAAGCGCCTCTTCTTGCTGAAAGGACAAAGGAAATGCCTAATCAATGGTCTCTTCATTGTTCTTAATCAAAAAAACTTGATATAAGCACAAAATACTCACTCCCACTAAGAGCTTAGTGATATATCGCAGTGAGAGCACGTCGGTGAGGGTGAGTATTTTGCGCTTCACTCTCAGAAAGCGCCAATCAATGTGAACATCAATATCACTTTTCCACTAATTCCTTGAATATCAATTACGTTAAATCATTCAATAACTTTGCACACAAATTAAATCAGATAAATGATTTGATCTTGATTTGCTTTTAATTTCAATTAGAGTTATAATTAAAGCCCTTTTAATGCAAAATGAGCTATATTTCAGCAGATTCATTAAGACTGTGCAGAAAAGGGTCATCTTTGGACTAGCTGATGATGGAATCAGATTAGTTTTCTTTGCTTTTTGTCTTGATATTGAAAACTACTAGAGTCTGTTTAAAAGAATTGTATTCTAGGCAAAGTCCAATAAATAAAGCAAATTATCTTCCAAATTTAGGATAAAATGAGTTTCATGCAGAGATGGAGGCAGAGATGGAGGCAGAGATGGAGGCAGAGATGGAGGCAGAGATGGAGGCAGAGATGGAGGCAGAGATGGAGGCAGAGATGGAGGCAGAGATGGAGGCAGAGATGGAGGATGACCCTTTTCTGCACAGTCTTCAACGATCACCGAAGCCAGGGGTGATTGCGGGGATTATCGATAAGCTTTCTAGAAGCTTGCAGTGAATTTCATGATTTATTTGCGTTCACTGATAAATTCTTCAAATATGAATATCTCTTTAAATAAGCACATCCCGTAAATATTGTAATAGTGCCCGTAATAACGGTGCGGAGTGTTGCGTAGTCTAGCTTTGAACGCGTTTTTCTCAACACTTGTTTATGCTACAATGCGCGTTTAGGCATCAAAAAATAGCTCTGAATTTCAGCTTTCATTTAATACTTAAACGAACACTGTAGCATAAACGGGTGGCGAGAAAAATGCATTTAAAAGTTAGACTACGCGATGCTCCGACCGGCATTTTCGGGGGGAGGGGCTACTATTAAAGGTATTACGATATGCTATAGTGCTACAATAGTTATCGAAAAAATAGCTGAAATTCAGGGCTATTTTTTCATACCAAAGTAATATAATAATCGATGATTCTCATTGTCGGCACTGAAACCGAGTGAACGTGAAGGAGAATTTTATTGATCTTATTCCACCCGCTCGAAAAAACGAAAAGTCTCAGCCAATCGTTGTACCTGATTTCTACCATAAATACTGTAATAGTACCCCCATCCCCATAATGACGGTGCGGAGCGTTGCGTAGTCTAACTTTGAACGAGTTTTTCTCGACACTGGTTTATGCTACAATGCGCGCTTAGGTATCAAAAAATAGCTGAAATTCAGGGCTATTTTTTGAAAGTACGGACGCTTTGAGAAATGGAATACTAAAAATCCTTAGTTTGAAATGTTTTTCTTTGAAAGTCCCCCAATAATCCTTCAAGTAACACAATTTATTTCTGTTATTTCTGTTTTTCTGTTTTTGTTTTTAGTTGGACTTCTCGGTTGGACTAATTGCGGTTCCTCTTTTTGTCCTTTAAAAACTCTAATTACCTACCGTAAATACTGTAATAGTACCCCCACCCCCATAATGACGGTGCGGAGCGTTGCGTAGTCTAGGTTTGAACGAGTTTTTCTCGACACTGGTTTATGCTACAATGTGCGTTTAGGCATCAAAAAATAGCTGAAATTCAGGGCTATTTTTTCATACCAAAGACACATTTTTTGAAAGTAAGGGCGCTTTGAAAAAATGAAATACTCAAAAACATTTGCGACTACGCGACTGTACGAGGGGCGGTGGGGGTACTATTACAGTATTTACGGACTACGCGACTGTACGAGGGGGTGGCGTAATATTACAGTATTTACGGTAAGCACAAAGCAAATCTTTACTCTTTTAAGCTAAATCATGTCTAGATGTTAAAATCTAGCAAAAAATTGCTAATCAAACTACAATTTTGCATTTTGCATATCCCCTCGTATTGAACAAATGATCAGTAAAGCTTTTGCACTTGTGCCAACATTTTATCATTTCTCTCGGCACGTATACCTCAACTCGAGTTTCGCTTAGTTAAGTCAAGGATTGGAGCGAATTACATGAATGATAAGCAGTCATGAGAAGCGTCGAGCTTTTTCCCTTCTAGAGCACCAACAAACAAAACCAAAAAACTAAATTCCTAGTTTTTCTATATGTTTTTTGAAGGAATTCTCTTTCTTTTCATTTTTTCATTTGTCACTTCAAAGACTTTTGAGTTGAACAAAGAAAATCCATCCTTTGCTATTCATGGAGTCAATTTACGGCGATTTCAAGTAAAAACTCTTAGTAAATCGATGAAATTTGGAATTTCCGAATAGTTTATTAGTTTATTGACACAATATTTCAAGAAAATCAGATTGTTTCTATGAAAAAATGCGCGAATTGCATGAAATGAGCAATGAAAATGAATACCTAGCACATTGTAATGATGACATCAGCTTATTTATAATAAAAAGTTTACAAAGTACAAAGATTTCTAGGCAATCCACGTAATCACGAGTGAAAACGTTGATTTTCTGATCGATTTCTCAAAGCGAGACTGCTCGCAAGCACCGGTGATTCCTGACGAAACAAAAGTTAGCAATTTGTTCGTTAAAAGGACTAGTTTCATATACTATACTAGTTACTATACTAGTTCATATAATATACTATTTCATACTAGTTTCATAAAAAGCTACAGTAGTTTTATTACTTTTTTTTGCTGAAGCACATAATTTCAATTTTGTTTCAAGCTGATTTGTGGCTAACTCTTTTCTAAGAAACGTTGAAATCAAGAAAAACATTCTATCATCCTTCCCAAAACACCAATTTTCCAGAAAACTTCAATCTTGCTTTGTGCTGATGCTCTTCCATTTAGCGTGAACGGAAACGTTTTGAGCAAAGATGGATGTAAAGAGTTGAGGTAGAAAAAGCGCTAAATTAAAAGTGAAAAACCGAAAATTAGGCCCTATTTGAGTGGATTGGGCAAAGCATTGTATAGCTGTTCGTGGACGGTCAACAATCAGAAAAGTCTTGTGGTTTTTGATTTGCAACAAAACTCCACCGAGTATGCCATCTCGTTTCGTGTTCGGCAATGGGTTAACGGTTCGATTTTGATTCAAATAATACTGTAAAGGAAATCAGATCAAGAATTAGAGTTTATTCAAATATGACCTAATTAGGTCAATTAGGTCAATTAGGTCAATTAGTTCAATTAGGTCAATTAGTTCAATTAGGTCAATTTTAGAGTCAAAAAAGGCAATTGTCTTGGTAACTGGATTTCAAAATTACAAGGTTTGTTAGCTAATTGATTAGCTTTCATCTAGAGCTCAAAAAAAGAATTCCGTTAACAGGATAACAAAGACAGCTATGACAATATTGTGGTTGATAAAGATCGAATTGCAATCATTGTTGCGAATCCGATTGTTTACGAGTCTGTCGATCATTTCTTTTTCGTTTCAAAGTCTCTTTCAGATTTTACTCTACAGGTCCACTTGTTGGAGTGAAAATTGGGAATCAAGGTGATAATCAATGTGAAAATTACGAAGTAATTGAAAAGTTCTTATAAATGATCCGTTATTCATCAATTATATAGGTTGATTTATCTTGTCTTGCTAACAATGAATACCTTTTCTCGTATGGCTCAGATCCTGGACTTTCTTCATCGAAAATCAATAACAAATGGCCTTTCAAGTAAGAGAAATTAAGTGAATTAACAAATTAACAGCTTACAAGTGAATTAACAGCTTACAAGGATTAACAAATTCAATTGTTTACGAGTCTAACGATCATTCTTATTCTGTGATTTTTTTTAGATTGTTATATGAAGATGTGCTGTCTTTTCGTACTTCAGTGGGCACAATTTGGACCGAAACGAGTTGCTCATTCTGTCTACTGTTTAACACAGCGGCTAACAGCAACTATAGTAAGAACTAAGTCATCGGGTAAATAATTTAGGTTCAGTAAGACATAAGATCTTGGCGACATTGAAAAACATGTCGCGTGTAGCTCATTGGTAGAGGGTTTGAACGGTAAGCGTTAGGCTATCGGTTCAAGCAGTTCTCGGGTTCTCGGGCATCAACCATTTGCATTCCCATCGACTCATTGACTTGGAAATGTCAAGGGAGCGATCAGAAGTGACCGTGACATTTCGGCATCAAAATGAGGGACAAACACAAGCAAGTCGAATACGGTGATCACGATGGCGCTTCCGGAGAAGTCTTAGTTTTCGAGAAAAACGCGCTGCAAGTTTGGGCATCTACTCGGGAAACGGGTGAGCGAGGTTGGCCTTCCACCCTTCCCCTTGCCAGCACCCCAGTAGTCTAGTGGATAGTGAGAGCACTCACCAAGCCTATGCCAAACCAAACCAAGCCAACCAAAACTATGCCAAACCAAACCAAACCAACCAAAACTATGCCAAACCAAACCAAACCAAACCAAACCAAAGGGCACTCGCCAAACCTATGCCAAACCAAACCAAACCAAACCAAAGGGCACTCACCAAACCTCTCCCACTTTTTGCCGTTGATTCGAATACCCTCCTTGGTAAACATTTTTGCCCTTTTTCAAAAGCTTTAAGTATTTTTAACAGTATCTGAATGTTTGGGGAAACTTATTATGCAATATTAAATACCAAAGAGAGTCAAGAGTAGACTAAAATAATTGTAAAATGTTTACTTTCATATTCATCACAATCGGGACTCGATTGGCCACTCGTCAGTTCATTTTTCTATCCATGGCATTTCGATGATCCAAATATTCTTCCTAAACAACCACAAATCGACGTGAATTACTACAATCGGCATACGCCGGGTCTTGTAAACATTCTTAGCCAAAGTGTAAACTTTTCGAATTCAGTCACAAGCAAGAAGAGTTTCTATCGAGTTCCTTCAAATGGAGAAGGGTTCAACTCTTCGGATCCGGGTTTATCATTTGACTGATCAACTCAGATCCCCGATATACTACTGCAATTCGCCTCTCCCCAAAGATAAAATACCGGTCTATGACGAAAAGTGAGCTCAAGTTGTTTGCAAAAGTTACTGAAATTAGATTCACCGAGATGCCAAGCAACGAGATTTCTGTTCTGGCTGATTGTATAAAGGTAAAAGAATGTAATTGCAAAGTTTTGGGTTTTTAGAAAAGATTTGAGATCTGATTGGACAACTTGAAAGATTTCAGTTCGATCTAACAACCAAAGAGACAAATGGTAGCCGCTTTGGTTTTATGGTTCTCTTGAAAGTGTTACCGTTGCAGGCCGAGGATATGAAATGCGAGGATAAGAGGTGGATTCTAGAGTTGATAAAGGGTAGTGTTCTAGGTTTGATACAGACTTGTGCTAAACGGCATTTTTCGAGCTCAAACCAGCTCAAACCAGGCTTTACTGCAGGTCCATAAAAGTCTCTGAATCCAGAAGGTTCTGGATAACTTCGGGATAACTTTAAACCATTTGTACTCTTTAAAAATGTTGTCACATTTGCAGTCCCTACGAATTGACAGTCGATGAACCGCACGGAGTTTTTCAAGCAGTAAACATCGATGCAATTACTTACAGTCCGTATTTTAAAGATTCATAATCCTAAAGCAGAATAGATTTTTGAAGATTCATAATCCTAAAGCAGAATATTCCCTTTCAGGTGTTGGCGAATTTATCTGTGTGACTTGTAATATCTCCAACAGTTGCTCAATTCTCATCACAGTTGCCATAATTTGCAACAAAACCCAAGTGGTAACTGAAAACTTTTGCTCTTGGTGCATGACTGTTTAGGAGATTTGTGCATCCGCTTCACAGTTCATGATTAATGGCCGCGAGTGGGAGTGGAACAACTACACGAAATTGTGATTATCTCTTGTTATTTGATATCTTTTTAATTCAGAGAATTGCTTGGTGAAAACGCGATTCTGACTCAGGAGTTGCTTGTCAATTCAACGCTTATCTATTTGCATTTGAATGAAGTCATTCCCGGGGATAACAAAGCGATTTCTTTTCGAGCAATCGATGCGGGTGTTCTTCTGAAAATGGAATAGTCAAAAGCTTTTTTTGTATTAGAAATTGGTGTAATCATTTCAAAAATCATTTCAAAAAGCTGGATTTCAGTTTAAAAGGGGTAATTATTTCAGTGAGTACAATGTTTACTTTGCATTTAGGAATTGACGATGCTATGTCAAGAAGCCACCTTTATGCTTGTTCCCGGCTATGGACGAAATATAGATGACAGCCGTTTGGGTTTCATCTTTCCGGCACAAAATCGAAATTCATGGATTTCCATTGCAGGAACGGTGAATACAAGAGACAGCCACGTGTTGGGAGTTTTCGAAATGTAAGCAATATAAGCAATACTTGTTCTAGGACTTTACTTTACTTTACTTTCAAGGGTCGACGGGGTGCCGGTTGTGAATATGAATTTGTGAGTGGAGCGCCAACGTTGACCAAGAAATATCCGAAGAGATTGCTCGGCACTTTCCAGGTTTAAATGCATTGCATTGTTTATTTTCTGCTTAATTTCGTAGATGCATCTATTCAATAAAACAATATTGTAAATTTAGAGACGAGGATCGATTTGTCCTCAATTCCTTACCTCGACCCTTTACAGTTTTCACGTTCCAGCTGGTTGCTCTCCAAAAGTCGAAATGCATTACTACACAAAATTTAAGTTTATCAAATACAGTAAATTTAATTTAGAGAGGGGTTCAACTCTTCGGATCGGGGTTTATCATTGACAGATCAACCTACCGTAAATATACTGTAATAGTACCCTATCCCCATAATGACGGTGCGGAGTGTTGGCGTAGTCTAAGTTTTGGACGATTTTTTCTCGACACTGGTTTATGCTACTATTTTGCTTAGGTATCACAAAAATAGCCCTTGAATTTCAGCTATTTTTTGATACCAAAACGTATTTTCGAAAGTACAGGCGCTTTGAAAAAAGTAAATACTAAAAAACTTATGCGACTACGCGACTGTACGAGAGCGGGGGTGGGGTACTATTACAGTATATCCGGCAATCAATCCACTTCTTGATCTCAAAAGGGGTAGAAGGCAAAGAAATAGCGTTTAATAACGAATTTGATCATTGAATTTCTTTATCTAGAATCTTATAAGTACTTTTTTCAAGTATTTAATCATTTTAGTGATCGGTCAAACAAGACAACACAAGAACTGTGCTCCGGGAAACTTTGACTAACTTCTCAAGGATATCAAAATGCTTGGGAATGTCCCCGTCATAACTTTGACGCATCACAGGCACGATGACACGAACTCATCACATGTTGTGGGGCTATCTTTGGTTATTTGCTTCTCTTACGAGTCCCTATTCTGAGGCATGACAATTCTTCTATTCAGATCGGTTTCTGCCTGCAAGTGGACGTTAAGAGTGTTCCATCTCGATTGGGTCTGCCAATTTGAAATTGCAGTTTTTCACCGATAGGTTGTTATGAGATTCGATTCCTTCAACCTAAACAGCACTCGAAATTTATAGATAGCTATTGATTTTAATTTCCAAGTAATTACATAAGTTTATGTCAAACCTTAGAGTACACCTGGCTTATCTTTTTGACTAACTGACTTCTGAATCTGGTTAGAAAAGAAAGCAACCTAGGAGTCTCTCTACTGTCATAAGAACAAACAAAGTCATCCAGTCATTTTTCAGTGGTACCGATTAACATTTTCATTTCGATGGTGGCGACTCCGCTTCCCAGAAAGTTTTCCATCTCGGATGTGAGAGGCGTTTCATTGAGAATTCTAAGAAGTTAGACAAGTCATATGAAGAAAATTGCAGGTGGATTGGAAAAATATATATTAAAACACGATGCTGGCTATAAAATCGTTCTTTTCTTGGTCCTAAAAGTGCAAAGATCTCAAATTTGCACTGAGAGTTGCGATAACGCCTGTCACTAAAGTTTCTTTGCCTCAACCATACGTTTTTGTTTTTATTTTTATTTTTTTTGAAGTGTGTATTTGCATGAAGAAATTGAAATTCTTCATAATCGGATCGCTTTCTCAGTGCAAGTGGATGTTGAGATCATATCGGTTTCTTTTTCTAGTCTATGAATAGTA